ATTGTACTTCGTTCAGTTACGTATTGCTGGTCAAAGATTGCTCAGATGTGCAGTAGGACGTTGAACGCCGACAGCTCTCGCATAAGATATAGGTGGTGTACTAGATTGGGTGCCTGTTTCCTTATCAGGCGATTTGATTGAATTCGCGGAAGACATGGCTCAGCCTCTTTCGACGACGACCAAAAAAATATTTTTGGAGCTGAATTGCGACATTGAACGTGAAACTTTCACACAAGGTGCTGTTGGCCAAGCCGAGCCCATTGCTCTAATAAAAACCCCACGTTTCATTGTAAAGTTTGGAGATACAGGCACCTTTGTGTTTGTAAGCGTGATGCTATATGACGAGTGGTCTTTGTTCACTGTCAAGTAGGTGGACCTTGGCAGAGCAAAAGATGCAGAGGGTCGTGTTGTGTAACACAGCTGCATTTGCATGAATGGAAGGGTCAACGTATAATTACTTTATGGATCATCTAGGAACAGGCATGTATTGCTAGCTAACGGCCACTTTTATCCAATCATCATTGTTGCGAGATCCACTGCATGGGAACGATGCCCCTGCTCTAGACATTCATTTCCATGATTAAAGTAGGTTGATCCGAGCTGATTTGACTGAGCTGCGGTCAAAGAGAGATCACATCACTCTGGACATAAAGCACGCTCGATGTAGCTCAACCGATGTAATCTTGTGCGAGCGTAACTCAACCAAATCAGCTCGGATCAACCTACTTTAATCATGGAAATGAACGTCTGGAGCAGGAGAATCGTCCACCTACAATAGAATGCACAAAGGTTGGGAATGCACAAAAGTAGCTATTAGCTGCCAATGTATGACATCGAAGTGAGGGTTGCGTACCTTTCATGCATTGTCCCTGAAGTCCTGACTTTTTAGCTGAGTTACCCAAAGAGGTCCTTCTGCATCTTTTGCTCTCCAAGATCTAGCTACTTGGCAATGAACAAAGACCACTTCTCATATAGCATCACGCTTACAAACATCAAGGTGCCTGTATCTCCGAACTTTACAATCAAACGTGGGGTTTTGAATAGAGCAATGTGCTCGGCTTGGTCAACTGCACCTTGGGTGCAAGTTTCACGATCAAGCTTGCCGATCCCAGATTTCGCAATGTCGCCACCAGCCAAACTGGATCTGGCGGTCGACCTCTTCGACGACGACGACCAAAAAATATTTTTTGGGCTGTTTGCGACATTGAACGCGAAACTTTCACACAAGGTGCTGTTGACCAAGCCGAGCCCATCTATATATTAAAACCGAGAGGTAAGTTTCCCCATTTGGACTCTTACAGTCCTGATTTGGCTAAACCCACTTTTTCACCAATCATGCCGCCTCCCTAACTCTTTTTTTCACACGCCCATCCCTCCTCTTCTCTCTCACCCATTACTCTTCTCACGTTCCTCATCGCTTTTGTGTTGAATCGACAATACTAGCTCTCTTCTCCAATGACCAATCACATGGCTACTACATTTTCATTCATGCATCCCTATTCTTCCCTCCTTTTCCTCATTCCCCATTTCACTTTCCTCATTCCACGTTTCACGTTCCTCATTCACCATTTCACGTTCCTCATTCACCATTTCACGTTCCTCATTCCACGTTTCACGTTCCTCATTCACAATTCCACGTTCTTCACTCCACGTTTCACGTTCCTCATTCGCTTTTGTTTTGTATCGATAATAAAGCTCCCTTTGCCACAGCCACATTTGGTGCATGATGATCACGTTGCTCAATCAACAATAAGCCTTCTTGCCACAGCCACATTTGGCATGGATCACGTTGCTCAATCAACAATAAGCCTTATCTCACAATGCAATCGTCAATAAACCTCTCTTTGCCACAGCCACATTTGGTGCATGGATCACATTGCTCAATCAACAATAAGCCTTATCCAACAATGCAATCGTCAATAAACCTCTCTTTGCCACACCCACATTTGGTGCATGGATCACATTGCTCAATCAACAATAAGCCTTATCCAACAATGCAATCGTCAATAAACCTCTCTTTGCCACACCCACGTTTTCGTGCATGATGATCACGTTGCTCAATCAACAATAAGCCTTATCCAACAATGCAATAGACAATAAAGATTTCTTGCCAAGACTACCTTTTGTGCATTATCACACGACTTCTTAACAATACGTATATATATGGAGCCCTTGGATGGCAGATCCACATTACAAACACTCCCAAATGAGCACTCAGCAGGTGCGTTTTGCGGTCAATGGGCGTATCTTCATGCACAATTCTTATTAATCACGAACATCCTTATAGACTTCAAACACTCGACCTTGCCGTTGTGGATCCATATCCCACCAACGTACTTCTAATTCTTCTTGCCGTCTCAATGCTCGCAATCTACGCCCTCAATTGCATAGCCAAGAGGAAGCTAATACACGCAATACACGCAATACACGTCGTCGACTGAATGATGAAGAGGAAGCTAATACACGCAATACACGTCGTCGACTGAATGATGAAGAGGAGGCTGATACACGCAATACACGCAATACACGTCGTCAACTGAATGGTGAAGAACAACCCAACGAGCCATCAATTGCAAGCATAAATAATGCACCTACCAATCCCACTGTAAGATAATAGATGAAGCATTATGCAAAGTGTTGCATTTAAGCTAATCATATACAATAGCGGTTGTGCCCTCAATGCAATTCTCCAACACATCGTAGTCGACGCAGTGCTCAATGCCCCTTCAATCGTGACAACATCGTGTCCGAACATGGTGCACAATACAAGTTGGCATGTCATGCTGATTCATTCTTGCCGGAGCATGTATATGGTCCCAATGTCTCCCAGCAACCAGATGCAACATACCGGCGTCACACATTCCCAGCAATGGATGTATCATGTCCATTTTGTGGTGCCCTAATGTGGATGGAAGAGAAGGTGGTGGGATCAAGCAGAATAAATCCGCGTTTCGCTCTTTGTTGTTCGCAAGGGAACACACGCTTACCTATCCCAAATGAGCCTCCAAGTGAAATTATCGACCTCATCACAGCTGATCGCACGTCAAGAAACCAGAGCCATGTCAATTTCATGAACAACATCAGAGCCTATAACTCCATGTTTGCGTTTTGTTCAATCAAAGCCAACTACGATAGGCGACTGGCTGATGGCTCTGATGGTGTACCCACTTATCGTATCAATGGCACCATGTACCACCATATGGGAGCTCTCTCAGCACGAGAAGGCCAAGAACCTAAATTCTCCCAGATCTATTTTTTGGATGAACAAGAACAAATGGCTCGCCGAACAACACTTTTTTCGGGATTGGATAACGAGATTATCGAGATGTTGCAACGATTGATTTCAACAGTGAACCCGATGGCGTTGCGTTTTCGAAGTGCATACGAAATCCACAGCAACAATCCTGTCAGCGAAGTCCAAGTTGTCATCAAATCTGCACGTCAACTAGGACGTCGTTTTGACACCCCAACATGCGCAGAGGTGGCAGCTGTACCTGTTGAAAACGCCGTGGATGGATCGATAGAGCCATACGATATTGTTGTCAGTAACCGTCAAGGAGGACTTCTTCAAATCATCAACTCTCTCCACAAGTCGTATATGGCATTGCATTATGTCTTGATGTTCCCATATGGCGATGATGGGTGGTTCCATACTATGACATTGCTCTATTAAAAACCCCACGTTTCATTGTAAAGTTTGGAGATACAGGCACCTTTGTGTTTGTAAGCGTGATACTGTATGAAGAGTGGTCTTTGTTCATTGTCAAGTAGGTGGACCCTGGCAGAGCAAAAGATGCAGAAGGACCTCTTTGGGTAACTCAGCTACTTTGCATGATTGGAATGACCAATGTATGATAGCATATACACTATCTATGATTGGCAGCTAACAGCCACTTCCTCCCAATCCCAACTTTTGTTCATTGTATGACATTGGAATGATGCTCCTGCTCCAGCCCATCATTTCCATCTTTCAATTGTCTTGATCCGAGACGATTTGACTGAGCTACGCCCAAACAGTGAATATGAAAATTAATGAATCGCAGACCCTGCGAATGTCTCCGTCTTTCAAGCTTTTGGAAGCTCCCATTCCAAATTTTCAAATGAACCATGAGGTTTTTATTAGAAAAAACGTTGATCAGCATGCGAGAGCACCCTTCTGACCAATTTTCAAGTAGGAAGTGGACAACTTCGGGGCGGTGGGCCGTCCGCTCTTTTGATCCCATCATCCATCATTTGGGCCGCCCCGCATTTTGAATCTTCACAACGAAGTCTGCGACTTTTAAATGAATGAAGTTGATCAGCATATTGCAGCGAATCTTCTGACAAAGTTTCAGGTTCGAAATGGGGAATCCCAAGATAATGCATACTATTTCGATGAATCATGAATCTGGGGCTGACCTGCATTCCGACTTACATAGTAAACCCCACGTTTTACCCTCCCATTCCAATTTTTATAGTGAAGCATGAGGTCTTTTTTAGGGAAACGTGATCAGAATGACCAAGAGCATCTTGTGTGAAAGTTTCAGGATCAAGAGGGGGTAATCTCAATATCAAGGTTTGGATGCACAGTGTTCATGCATTTATACAAGAGGTGCCCGACCTTTTTAATTTCCACTTCTTCCACTCCTGCGTATTCCTTTTCCTCCCATTCTCAACTGTTGCCCCATTCAAGTATACAACTACCACCTGCGAACGATTGTCCTGCTTCAATCCTTCATGTCAATCGTACACTTGCCTTGATTCGATTGTCTTTGACTCAATAGCGAGTTCATGGCGTGTACACAGCCTTCTTGCCACCCTTCTACAACACACGAGTCTCTTGACACAACACACGCTCTTGCACGCTCCTCTGCCACAATCAAACGTAACAGCATTCATTGTGGCAGTTGCTATTCGCTCCATTGTCTCAAGCAGCGTTCACAGCCTTGCCAATCGACCACAACACACGATCTTGCACGTTCCTCTACCAACAATCAAACGAACAGCAGCTGCCATTAGCCAGGTCTCTACTCCATTGTCTCTTGCCTCAAGTTACTTGCAGCAAACAGCCTTATGGTCTTTATTACGTGAACAGCATGTAACCATTGTATACAAACAGCTTTATTTACGTGTAGCAACTTGCTTTGATACGTACGGATTCCAATGGATGACACTATATCAGCTATCAAGTACGTTGCAATACGAGCAATCTTCGCATGGTTGAGCTGCGATAGCAAATGATCAAGAGATTGACCAACAGCCGGATGGAAAAGGAAACACATCAGCAGAGGTCACATGGCTCTTTTCAACCAACATGTTGGATTTGATGGATGGATGCAATCAAGTGCAGTGATGAGGAATCCGGGAATGTTGCTTTGGTTACTTGTCGCGTTGTCAGCAGGAAGGATGGATCGTGTCACGTGGAAACGGCTGAGGATGGTGATGGATTGGATGGATTGGATTATATCGGCGAAAGGCACTTTACAGCCATGGATGATATTGGAATACTCAAGTCAATGCATGCAGCAGCTATTTTACAAGGATGTTTATGACGGCAGGAACCAAGAACACAATAACACAATTATCCCTTATGCCTCTATGTGGTGCATCCTTATCTCGTTCAATTTACATTACTGTTCCTTTGTCATATTCACTTGATAAACATCCACAACACCATGTCTTATTCTTTGACTTATCCATTGAATGAAAATTGGACTCAGTTTGATGTTTAGGAGGGTATCGTACCATAAGCTTAAATGTGCAAGATGTGGATTACTTGGTTGGCTTCCGGATTGAAAGGGGGGAATAGAAATATGAAGGTCGGGAAGCGAGGTTGGATCATGTACATCATCGTATCGAGATGCTTTTGTTCTTTTGTCACATTACATGATTCGTTCATTAAAGCTTCATAGTTCACGTACTGATAGACTAAAAGCAGGGGAGATCCTCGAGATTGATGGTGGCTAACATGATGCTTGCTACAGAAGCTTGGTTCATTGTAAGCTTAATTCATTATGTTCAAGGAAGAGTGAGTTGTGATACAATGCTTCATGAGCACATGAACATACCATACTTGCCTATGACACTGTATTATGCAACCTTGTATAGGAACGGACCAATCCAAATAGGATAGTTGCAAATCCACTGCTTTACCAAGTAGGCATCCTACACAGCAAATCAAAGTAATACATCGTTGGATCATCTGTTCCTTGTATTCCTTCCTTTCTTCATGATCCCATATGGCCATCCAACCATCAACTCAGGAATAAAACGACAATGTTGGACAGCGTTACGATGGCTTATAGTATAGCCGAAACGGGCATAGAAATCGAAAATGCGGGGTGGGTGGCTTTTGGTAGGAGATCAATAGGCCGCAACCCAGCAGCGATGTTTCTGTCATCCTCTTTTTCTCCTTTCGACACTCTTGTTGACAACACCGCCATGGCCAACTCAATCACCATTCCCTCTGCTTGCGACTTTCACCTTCACGTTCGTCAGGATGAAATGATGCGTATGGTCACACCCAAGGTTCCCGAAGGTGGTGTGTCTGTGGCCTATATCATGGTAACGTTTCATCATATAAAGCACAGCAACGCTTTATGAAGGTGGCCCCAACTTATGAACGAATACAAAATATAGCCCAACACTGTGCCTCCCATCAAGACCACTGATCAGGCTTTGGCATACAAGAAGGAGCTTGAAGCTCTTGCTCCTCAAGTCACCTTTTACATGACCTTGTATCTTTCACCCGAATTGACTGTGGAAGAAATCCGTAAGGCTAGCAAGGCTGGTGTTGCAGGTAAGATGACATTGGCTTTGAGAGAGGTGTATGAATATGGCTTATTGAGATCCTGTGTATAGGTGTCAAATCGTATCCTCGTGGTGTGACCACCAACAGTGATTCGGGCATTGAGTCATATGAAATTTACTATCCCATTTTCAAGGCTATGGAAGAGGAAGGCATGGTTTTGAATCTTCATGGTGAAATTCCCAGTGATCCCACCAATGATATTTGCGTGATGAATGCCGAAGAACGTTTCTTGCCTCAGCTTGAAAAGATCCACAAGGCTTTCCCCAAGCTTAAGATTGTGCTCGAACACGCCACTTCCAAGGCTGCTGTTGAGATGGTCAAGAGTCTCGGTGATACCGTTGGATGCAGCATCACTGTGCATCACTTACAACTTATTGTCGATGATTGGGCTGGTCAACCCCACCACTTTTGCAAGCCTGTTGCCAAGTTCCCCCATGATCGTGATGCTCTTCGTGAAGTCGTTTCTTCAGGCCATCCTCGTTTCTTCCTTGGTACTGATTCTGCTCCCCATCCAGCTCATGCAAAGGAAGGTGCACGTGCTTGTGCCGGTGTTTTCACTACTCCTCTCGTTTTGCCTTATCTCGCCAAGATCTTTGAGGAAATCGGTTGTCTTGATAAGCTCGAAAACTTTGCTTGCCACTTTGGTAGCCAATTCTATGGTTTGTCTCAAAAGGAAGGCTTTGAACATCGCAAGGTTACCCTTGTCAAGGAAACCAACACCGTTGTTCCTGAAAACTACCCTGTGTCCGCTTCCAATGCTGAGGCTGGCGTCGTGATTCCCTTCCTCACCGGCCGTGATCTTGGCTGGAAGATTGCCTCCAACTACTATTAGACACACACGCACACACACATTCTCTCGTCGTCCTCAATGCTACGATTTTGTATTCAATGTCTTTTTGCATAATAAATGTACAGTCAAATTTTTTGTATCATCATCATCATCATCATAATACATGTGCCTGCTTCTTTTTCATGGGGTTGTCTTCTAATGCTACTCCTTCGTCATCCATTGAGCTGTATGTGTTTAAAAACGATTGCATGTCTTGCTCGAATCGACCTTCATCAATGCTCTTGCGGACTGATATCATGAATTGCTCAAGTTGAAAGACGTTGTGTCTATGTATGCAATCACGCATTTAGTATCATGCAGCAATCGGATCAATTACGACTTACATCATAAGCAATAAAGGTCCCAACATTTCGTGTGCATCCAAGAGATGGTGTATGTAAGCACGTGAATGTGGCGTAGAACAGCTGTAACATGTGCATGATGGATCAAGTGGAATAAACGACTGTGACATGGATTCTTCCCATAAATCGATTGTCTTCGTGGTTGGCAAGGAGGGCTGTCCAAATCTGAATGTGATTGCACGGCCTTTCTCAGTCATTTCGTACGCATAGCTGTTGTCAAACATATCAATGCCGATCGAAACACCCTTCAATATTCTCTCTATTGTATCCACAATGAGCATTTGATATATAGCCATCCTTTCCAATGAGACCTACCTGGTGTAGATAATCCATATGCAAGCTTTGGTTTGTTGGTAGGAAGCTCCTTCAATGATGTCTCGAAAGCGTCAATCCAGCCTTCGCCTTCCAATTCGAATGCGTTCAAAACAAAGCCTGTTATAAAGTACAAGAATGAGTATCATCAAGGGAGGTCGTTGTTATGATCCGTATTTACCATCCACATCCTTTTCTGCTGTTGCTTTAGCAGATCGAATTCGTTCCATGTCGTTGTTATATCCGACCACAGGTGCAAATAAAGGGATGTTCAATTCCTAATGAATGAAATGCCATTGTTTAGATAGACGTATGCTTATTTTACCTTATAATGCATACCTTTGCTTTGTGCTGACATGTCTCGAGCCATCGCAAGGTGCGATCAGAAGCTTTCCGGATTCGTTTGTTCTTGACATCCTCGCCTGCTTTGATTACATCCGCTGGTGTTGCAGCCCAATCGGGACGATACGCTTCGATGGCCTTGATCCAAACATCCGTGGTTACCTTGCGTACGCCTCCATGTGTATCCACCGCCACATAGCTCTCCGTATTGGCTGCAGCAGGATCCAATTTGGATGCATCACGCACATCGCAAAAGAGCAAATGATTCTATTCCATATACACCACGTGAGCCAATGAGAGAAGTTTGACATGTGGATCATTCCATTACCGGCAAATTGATATAGCTGTGAAGACCCTTTGTATACTTGAACGAAGGTGGTTGGCTTTGTTCAACACTGATAGCCAATGAGTACATGAATGGTGATGATGATAATGTATTGCTTGCAACTTACAAGTGTTCTAGAGCAACGTGCACCATATCCACTGGCAAAAGGTTGAGATTGTCCGGCACCAAATGAGGAACTGATCCACGAATGCTGTAAGCGATCAATGCAGGTGTTTGTATTGACTTGTCCTTTGTCGAGAAATGCAGGGTGCCTCGACGAATCGTAGCCGGATCGTTATGGGTGGTGAATTGCATAGCGTTGTTGCTGAAGAAGAACGATCAAATTTTACTGGCTTCAAGTTGTCCTTTCGCATTGGCGGTCTTTCGAGTGGATTGATTCATAGCAACTGCTTCACAAGGCCCACTTTACATTGCATATGCCCACTACTGGAGACATCATTACCATATAGCAGATAAAGTAATACCTTTTTTTTCTTGGCAACCATATATTATGTGTATCAATCAACAAATTTGGTTGCCATGTGAACCTTCTTGTTAATCATAAAATGGATCATGCAATTGAATGCTTTCCGATTGATGTGTTACATGAGTAACGATTCATTTTCTTCCTCCATATTCTACCAACATCACAACATGAGATGCTTTTTCTACCATGGCTGGTAGGCGTATGTATGTAATGGCGTAAAACAATACATAGGAGAAGAAGGGTCCTAGTCGGGAAATCTTTTGCAAAGACACTAGTGCATGAACAGGCAATTTTTACAAATACTGCATTAAAAGGGGTAGAAAACGGTGGTCGAGTCCGCGCAGGATAACGCCAAATCGTGCTAAAATTAAGAGACTACTGCATGGCATATATACAATGCTGCGATACAACTAGATAAACATACATCCGTGCTTGCGGCTCGGGGCGCCATTCAAAATAGGAACGTAAACCGTCAACAAATAGTAGATTGCGTTTTCTCTTTTGCCACGATGCTCATCAATGATGGCAATTGTGTGTGGTCGCTGATTTTGTGAGGAAGAGAGCAATTGAGGAGAAAGGATGACGTGAATTGCAAGGGCGTATCGGATGTAAATACCCATCGAATGCTTAAGGTTGCTCACTGCTCCTTCAATTGCAATCCTCGTGTCATTCTTCCGTAATGGGACAAAAAGGAAATCCATTGCTCATTGACATCACATTGTATTGTGTTGTGCACCCAACTATGAATGGATTAGGTTGATCCCTCTTGTTTCCATGGGAACGTGCAGCATCGGGGAGTTGTTAGAAAGGGAGGTGATCTCATTGATGCAATTAAGATTCAGCAAGTGCTGTGCTCTGCCAAAGGATTATTACGCCAAGAAAACACGCACCGCCCTACAGCCATCCATACCCATCATCATCATCATCACTCCGCACACATGGCACATACACGATTGCCGATCATCAAAGGACAATCCTTTTCATTTGTTCAAGCTGGGCTATCACTTTGGGCTGTATTACATTGCACAATTCGACAGCAGAGGCGAGAATTATAATCGTCATGGAAAACAAGGATGATGATGGTATCAGGAACAATCAATGAATCCCGCACGCGGGTAAAACCGAAAGGGCGGGCAATGTTTTGAAACCTATTACAGCTTTAGGTGTTTCAGCTACCCATAATAATGCAATGCGAGTTACGTATTCTTCGTATGCAATTGCTGCAGATGCCATTACGTATGCATCCTTTGCATCAATACAAGATGATGGGTAAAGCCGTGTATATACATGTATGCAATTCTTGCTATGCCATTACAATGGCCCCATTGCCACCCAAAACAAAGCGTGGCAAAAGCATTCGTATCATCAGCGACGCATCCCCAAAGTCATTCTTCCTGGAAGTTGATCGGCGAGCATGTGCTTGATGCATATTCTGTGTATACAAATGATCAACCTTTGAAAGTTTGTTACACATGGACATGTGCGTTGCCGAATTCCTTTGATCTGACGGTGTACCCTAAACCGGTCGTTTGTTTACAAATCATTGGCCACAACCCCTTTCTAAATCTATTTCTGCCGTTGTCGAGAACAGCCATTCTGCTACACGACAAATGATTCTCTTCCATGACTGTGCAACAGGCTGAGCAAAGTTGACATTCAGATAAAGGGTACTTATTTTTGTTGTAATGTTTGTACTTGTGGTACCATTGGCCTGGAAGATACGTGGTGTATGTGCAGGTGTGTGTAACAAGGCAAGTGGTAAAAAAGAACTTAAAATAGAGAAATACGAGCTTGAGACCAAACCAAGAATAGCGATATTATCAAAATCAGGTATGAGCCTTCTCTTACTGCCAAGTGTCACACGAGATGCTAAATTTTCAATCACTGTAGTTCCCCGATTTAACAACTGCAAAAGTATTTCCGCTCTTGAGCTGTTGAATAAAAGGCGAAGGTGATCCTGTTGACGTGTATTCCAATCTCTTTTTTTTTTCTTTGCCCCTTTTTGTCATTCCTTTCTTGCTATTACATCCCTAACACCCTATTGTCTCCGATGTACACCAAGACAATTGCAGCCGCTTTGGCACTCATCCAATCGAGCAGCCTACTTGTTACTGCTGGTTCGGCCACCGATTATTGGAAGAACTTCAACTCGAGCGTCGATCCTACCAACATTAACATCCCCGATATTCCTCAAACAACCTCGTATGATGAAACCCAAGAGTGCGTTACCTATCAGCCTCAAGGCATCAACATTGTCCAAAGCGAATGGCCTACGCCTTGGGAGACCGCCACTAGCAATGGCATGAACACCTCGCAAGAATTCCAAGACCTTTACAATTCCATCCCATGGTCAAGCATGCCTAATATCTCGGTGCGCACATTGGGTGCTGATGGATCGGTTGACATGACCAATTATGATCAAAACGCTGATCCTGATTGCTGGTGGTCAGCATCCACTTGTACCAAGCCCAAGCATTCCGATGTCAATGAAGATATTTATGCTTGCCCTGAACCTGAGACATGGGGTCTTACCTATGATGATGGTCCCAATTGCTCCCACAATGCCTTTTATGATTTCCTTCAACAACAAGAATTGAAGGCAACCATGTTTTACATTGGTTCCAACGTCATTGATTGGCCCTATGGTGCTATGCGTGGTATCAAGGATGGTCACCACATTGCCGACCATACATGGTCTCATCAACTTATGACCACTCTCACCAACCAAGAAGTACTTGCCGAACTCTACTACACCCAAAAGGCCATCAAACTGGTAACAGGCATTACGCCCCGTTATTGGCGACCTGTAAGTTGTTATAGCAACATCCCTTTTATAGCTTCGTATTCTAACCTTGGTTTCATTATCACCTTTTAGGCTTTTGGTGATGTTGATGATCGTGTCCGCTGGATTGCCACCCAATTGAACTTGACCACTATTCTCTGGAACTTGGATACCGATGACTGGGCAGCCGGTAACAGCATCCCCGTTCAAACTATTCAACAAACCTATGATGATTACATTGAAATGGGCAAGAATGGCACCTTTGCTACCAGCGGTAACATTGTATTGACTCACGTAAGTATTTTAAAAGCTATCGTTTTTATTGATGTGCCGTTGCTAACGACCCCATGAATAATAGGAAATCGATAACACTACTATGGAGTTGGCTGTTGAAAACATTCCCAAGATCAAGGAAGCTTACAAGAATGTCATTGACGTTGCCACTTGTATGAACATCACTCACCCTTACATGGAAGAAAACATCTCGTGGGCCGCCTTTGGCAAGTCTAACTCAAGCGATGGCACTTCAGCTAGCGGTGATTCTTCAAGCGATTCGCAAGGCGGTAGCTCTGCTGCTTCTGCTCTTGTTGGCACCAAGACTGGTGCTGTTCTTGCCATGGTTGGTGCTGCTGTTGCCTTCTTGGCTTAGATTGCTGAGCATCCCCCACGCACCCATACGCACAAAAAAACCCTTCCAATCTCAACACCCGTTAAAACACAAACCTAGTAACACCTACTCTTCGTCCCTCGAATCTATTAGAATTGGGTTTTTATGTAGTGTATCAGCTAATCGCTTTGCCATTTGCAAGCGATGCAGAAAATGACTTATAAACAACCATTTCTTATATGGATTAATGATACTCGCATTTGCCATTCTTGATGACCTTGTAGTACAATAGATAATCATAGCTACGCCTTGTGTGATGCATCAATTTAGTTTTTTATCCTTACTACAAGACCACGCATGACACAAATGAGTACCAATCTAATGCAGGATTCCACAAGTTCACAGCAATACACCCTTTCATATAGAGTGACATCCCAAGTTGACAAGTATTCAATACCTCAAGCAACAATAATGACCATAAAGAGCTTGCTACAATGACTATGTTAATTCAAGTCATACAAGTTACCATGAACAATCATTGTCGATCAATGAAGGAGCATCCTACAATATAGTCAACGACAAAGAAGCCAACGTCCGTATAATGAAAATGATAGGATGTCATTGTTTGCTTTCATTCAATCAATCGAGAAATCCCCTTAATAGCCCTAATGTATGTATAGCTACAAGCATCATCTATATTTATTCAATCATTGGATGGTTCTAGTTATCAGCAATCCCTTTGAAGAATGTCTTGCAGCATACGTTTCTAATTAGGTGGATCATTGTCAGCAAACGAGTGTTCCTGCGCTGGGTTCCAAACGACCTGTCGACTTGAGCGACGCGCAAGCGGGTTCTTCCAGTGCTATCTATTATCCCTTTTTTTCAGCAACCATGGCACAACAAATGGAAATTGACTTTGATGTACCCAAGTTCCTTCACGATGAGCGTCAAAAAGCGCCTTCACAACTACAACACTACTTTACAACGTTTGAGGACTTATACGAGAGAAAGTGAGTGGCATTACCCTTACCACGGCTCCATCACGCGCCCTCGCGTTGCTTTTGCTCATGCTTGGTGTTCTGTTCCTGTTAGACTCTGGCACCAGTTGACACAATCGATCCTCGAGTTCTTTGAGCAACCAGAATCAACGCCCCATCAGATCCCTATCTTTCAGCAATTCATTGCCGAGTGGGAGAGCAAAATCAACAAGTTGTCGCTTGTGCAGATTGCGTTGCGAGCAGCGAGCAACTGTGCCCGTAAGTATGATACAAAAGGATGGGTGGATGTCTCTTGTACTCAATGAATGGGATGATAGAATTGGAGGATTCAGTACAGTTCCTGAATGATATCACAAAGAAAGTCGACACACCTGAAACCAAAGATGTCTATGTGCTTGCACTGATGGAGACCGCCAAATTCAAGCTTCAGCTGAATCAATTCGACGACGTTAAGAAGGCCATTGACGAATCCGAAAAGATCTTGGATCAATTCGATAGCGTTGAAACCATCATTTATGCCAGCTTTTATCGTGTCAGCGCTGATTATTACAAGGCCAAGGCAGAGTATGCACAGTATTACAAGAGCGCATTGCTTTTCCTCGCATGTATCAACATTGATGAGATCTCACCCGAGGAACGCGTCAGCCGTGCTTATGATTTGGCCATTGCCGCATTGCTTGGTGATATGATTTACAACTTTGGTGAATTGGTAAGGAAGGATCATGGAATGATGAAGATGGTGTATAAACTTATGATGGTGGTGTTTTTTAGTTAATGCATCCTATCTTGGATTCCCTTTCCAACACTGAAAACGATTGGCTACGATCCCTGCTCTTTGCATTCAACAGTGGCGACATTGGCAAATTCGAAGCACTTGCTCCACATTTCAGCAAACAGGTAAATGAAGATACTTTTATACCACACACACGTACATGTACACTAACATTTTCAAATATAGCCTTTATTACAACAAAACTCTGCAGCTCTCGGTCGCAAAATTTGTCTCATGTCATTGATTGAAGCAGTATTCCGTCGATCAAGCGATAACCGGGTGATCCCCTTTAGCGAAATCGCTGCTGAGACTCGGTTGCCAATTGATGAGGTAAGGATTGGGAAATTCGGGTAGTGTTTATTACTTGTATTGATCCTTGTTATTAGGTCGAGCATTTGGTCATGAAGGCTTTGTCACTCAAGCTTATTCGTGGCTCCATTGACCAAGTAGATCAATTGGTTATTGTTACTTGGGTGCAACCCCGTGTTCTCGACAAGGAACAAATCGATGGAATGCGACGACAAATCGAGGATTGGACTAACCAAGTCAAGAAGATTGGAACATTCGTTGGTGATCAAGGAGGCGAAGTATTTGCTCAATAGCTATATCATTCCATACTATATAAAAACGCATTTTAAAGTGTCATGAGAACCAAAGGCTGTTTTACATGTGGTAGTTGCTTTATTGATAGTAGACTACGGGATAAAAAAGAATGCTGGAATGGAATAGTGGGGCTCGAAGGATTATGCAAGATGGTGGAAATAAAGCTGGTCACGCATTGAATTTGCTGCTGGGGCCTAGCTACGCTTGCAGGTGTTGTTCCTTGAAGCCTCTTGTAACCCCCCACATGTCAGCTCGTTCGATCTTTTCCTCCTTGGCACGACAACAACCTGCCATTGCAGCCATTGCACAGCAATCCATTCGACGTGAACAATGTCGACTATTCCGTACTTCAGTCATGGCGTTGACGGCACAGCAACAACAACAACAGCAATCGGTTGCCAACGATGCCGAAAAAGTGACAAGAAAGTTTGTTGGCAAGTAGCGACATGGTTCATTTCATATGACGGCATAGGCTCATGGAGTATTGTTTGGAACAGATCATGTGCGCAAGAATCGTAACTTCAACAAGAGGGAACCTACACGCTTTATTCAGATCGACTCGTTACCCATGACAGCTACGTCTGAGGATATCCGCAAGCTTGCACGGGAAGCATTGCCAGATGGTGACAAGGCTATACAAGAGTGTAAGTGGATCATAAATTCTAGCCTTTTCTGGTGGATCAGTGTGAAAAAAGATGATAAATGGGATAGGAAAGGAGACTAATCATGTGATTATTGTATTGTAGTGTTGTTTGTTCGGGACGACTACTTTGAATTTGATGGACGATGTATGCTCGAGATGAAGACTGCTGAGGATGCCCAACGAGTGATCGAATACGGTAATCGACGAATGATTGGTGGTAATGTGCTTCGGTTGTCACATGTAAGTGTCGTTTTTATATCATGATCATGGGAATAGGATGTTGATTATGTTCATAGATTGACAAGTTGTCGGACAAGATGCGTCGCAATGAGTTGAACAGCGTTGGAGATGTTGAGAGTGCAGCAGGACGATCGGTGATGGTGGTTGGTTTCCCTACACCTACCAAGCCAGAGCATTTGTTGGGCTACCTGCGATCGAGAAATTTTTATCCTGCCGAGGGTTCCTTGGACAATGTCATCAAATTGAAAACGTACGTTGGGTTGTACACATTGCTGCTGACAAAGGTTGTTGCTAAAATTCCACACATCCACATAGACGAAACCAGGCAACCGTTTCCAAGTTCTTGGTCAAATTTGATTCTGAATCCGAGGCATGGCGAGCTGTGAGGATGTTCCATAATACCGACTTCTTTTCTCGCAAGCGTAATGAGAATTACAAGCTTCAAGTATCTGTTGTATATTAGAAATACATTTTTTTTAGACCATGGGAAGATCATTTGCCACGCGCTCTTGCCAATTGTTTGAATGAATGTTACACAGTCATGGGGTAGCTATTTTCACGTGTAGTCTTTGTGGCCCATGAAAGGAGATTATTACACGCATCAACAAGCGACAATTTGAACAATCCACCTTTCCCTCCTTTGTTTCATTTTTTCTTCCTTTCCTTTTCCCTCCTCCCCCTTTCCCTCTGAATGATGATGGACGAATTACATTCCTTTGACATTTGTCCTTTACGCTCTTCCTCTTCCTTATTTATCATTGATCGAAGAGATAGAAGCATTGTGACAGCAACCGATGAACTATTTGACATGTTGGGCTATGAAGCATCCGATATCATTGGCACATCCATCGATCAACTCGTACAAAAGACGCGCGGAAAGATGTGGATGGCTCTTCATGCAAAGGGCGATCGCATTTCATTGCAAGTATGCATACATCACAATCCACTACAAACGACAACAGAACTTGATTATTGGCTTGTGCGTCCCTGTCAACAGGTCGTATGTCGTCGTATACCTTATTCGATTCGAACGACTACCATCTTACTTTTATCACCTGTGGGAATCATTGATCGTGTCTATCATGTCAACAAGTATGAAAGACATGGCCTTGTACCTGCACCAGCTCAACATCAGCAACAACTAGTGGGGAAACCTATTATGGCATACATTCATTCGGATGATGTCCAGACATTATGTGGTCAACTCAGCACCGTTTATTACAACAATGAGCCCTCCTTTGACGTGCGGTGGTTGCATCAACGTGATGATCACGAGTACCAAAAGGTCACCCTGACAGCGACCAAGACCAGTTCCCGCATCACTTGCGTTGTTGAACGAGTGGATGCATTTCCAACCCTCATTGATTCAATACAACAATGGGCCATTGATTTACTCGCCTATCTATTATCCCAATGGCAACAAAGTAGACGCTATCTTTTGGAATTTGTCGATCATGCCACATCATCTAAAAATCAGCATGGATGGTATTCTTCCATTGTGCAAGTGGTCAAGAGCATGTATCCACCTGATGGCATCCTCACCATGCTCGAGAATTGGGTGGATCGAGTCAAGACAACATCCCAATCATCATTCTTATGACCCAACAACTTGTAATTTGCATCCACGTATACACACATTTCATCCTATATCCAATCCAATCCATCCACTATGTACACACTCACACACGCATGCTTCTGTTTCCCTTGTTTTTTTTTTTCTTTTGTATTGTTGGATTACAAATACACCATACTATATATATGTACAAGTTTCTTTTTCCATGTAGATGGGGTAGGGAGGAGAGAGAGAGACAAGAGTCCACGTCGTAAAGAAAATCCAATGCTTTTGATGGGGTGTCATTCAGTTATATACACGCACACACATGCAGAACCATCACGTCCTTGGATCATGGATGTCCATGCGTCATATGGTACTTGAGCCCACTCATTTGCCGATAACCCTTATTGCACAAGGCGCATCGATAAGGTCGAATAAGGATGTCCTCTTCACCTGTTTCCACATGTCCATGCTCACGATGGTACTTGAGACCATTCGCATTCTTGTAGGCTTTGGTACATCCTGGGATCGAGCATTTGTAAGGTCGTGTAGGATCATTAGCCGGGGTGATGTGAAGTGCTGGTGCGGTGGTAGTTTGGGCTGTGGTAGTTGTACTTGTAGTGCTCAAAGGTGGTAAGGATATGGGTTGATGATGAGTATGATGATGGTGTGGTGGTGCATTTGTATTAGGTGGGTACACAGAGGATTCGTCTTCTTCCATTTGAGTTGGATGCAATGTGCCACCAGGGATGATAGGCATTAAGGTGTCATCGTGATGTTGTTGTTGTTGTGGCTGTGGATGTTGCAATCGATAACTTGGGTCGTTGGAGGTACTGGTTGCTGTGTGATGATGAGGATGATGCGACGATTCAATCCCTTCCATCCTTGATATCGCAATACCCTCGTCCATATCATCATCGTTATCCACACGACGTCCTGACATGGCTCCCCGAATCGCTTGTGCAAGTAGTGGTGGCGGGTGTGAATCAACAGACTCTGCCATGGGCTCATGGTTATGGTGGTGATCTTCATAGTGTCGCAGCAAATGGTGGAGATCCTCAATCTTCTTGTTGCAGCATACAAGATCCCGGTAAAACATGGACTCAAGTTCTTGCCGATGTCCAAAACTATCTCGATGCTGGGTGTTGGCTGCTGCTGCAGCTGCTGCTGCCGCAGAAGGTGGCGACAATGACCAAGCCATGACCGATGTCGACGGTGGTGTTGGGATGGGCCTATGTATGAACTCACGGTAAGGAATCTCGGTCGATCTTTTGCTCTCTTGCTCGAATTGCTTACACTGCCAAGTTGAATCCTGGTATCGACGTATTGTGGGCGGTCGAATTGTGTGAATCGTCGTTGTTGAAGGCCATAAGTCTTTGTAGTGAACAAAAAGGAAAAAAATGACAGGGGGTAGGAAGAGCAAATTGATGCGGTCTTACTACTGTTGCATTATCCAGGCTGATAAATAGACTTGGCCACCGAGCTGCATTGGTTGCACAGCAACAGCTTTATTCTGAGCCCACTCTGTACTATGATACACTATGCTTTATGCTTGTCGACATATCCAAACATAGCCTAAATGACCTCTCGATACAATAAAATCAAATTTGCCACGTTGTTATCATTGTCATTATCACCAATGGTGCGTATACCGCTATTATGTATGATTGCTGGATTGAAAACGCGCCACTCCTTGTTGGCAACAGGATCGGCATTGCTGGTTGCACACATCCTTCACAATGACTCACCACCGGGGAGTTCCTTATTCCTTCTGCTTCAGGCTTAAAAAGACTTCCTACTTATTATTATGAATAAAGCGATCCGAGCGTCTGATTGCATTCATTGTATGGTTGCATGGGACATGGACATGATGCGTTTTCCTCTTAAAGTCTTCATGGCTATGTAAAGTCAAGCACAAGCACATGACGATACTCGATTCAGCTCGTCGTTTATATACCTTTGCGCAAATGCGATCCTTGATTTAGCACGTTGACGGCATGATGACCGAGTTGGCTAGAAGCTCATTCATCCATGATAAACCATAAACCTTCTTTCATTTTTGAAGTGCAAGACCCTGGATCCTTTTAACTTCAATCAATGTTTAGAGCTACCTTACACAAACTTTTGTGTACAAGTGTTTAAATTGTACATTACTCTTTGGTGCTGGAAGTTACTATGACAGGATGGTGGATGATCGCCTGATTCTAACAATGACATATGATAAAGTTGGTGCTCCTCGTTGTGGAGCTGTGCTATAGACATAGGTTGCTTTGATCATCATTGAGAGTAAAGAAGCTGCATCTAGATGTGAATGCTACCTTGTCAAAGGTGCAGCTTTTGTTGCCTCAAAGGTCAACAAGAGAACTTTCGTGTGGCAAGCAGCTTTTCAGACCAGCAGGAAATTGAAGAAATCCTTGATGTACGCTTATTCCCGGTGACCTCACCACCCCAAAGTGTACCACTCAAGCAGCGTATCCAATGCTTGAAATCCCACGCTATACACATTAGAATACGCTTACGGCATGAGGGCTTGATCAACAGGTTGATGTTGATCACTGTTCTATCCATTGACAAGTACACACTACGTATGACATCATGTTTGCTTTGACGATCATCGGTATCATGGCACATAAATGCTAAGGTATTATAGCCCATGAAGAAGGTTAAACTCTTTATTTGCATACGTATGCGAGCATGAAAATATGCAACATGGGTACATGGCATGTGCAAACAAAGAAAAACAGAAAATGTAAGCGGAAAACAGGATTGAGAGCGTTATGTTGCACAAGGATATTAACGCGTGGGATCTTCTCTTGAGCTTATGCAATGGGAATGGTGTATGGAAAGCGTTCCCAATAGGTGATTTCCATAAAAGAGTCATGTCCCAATTACCTCATCGCTAAAAAACCAAATGGAGCTATTTGATTCCTTGATTTGATTTACCGGAGTAACCTTTCCGACCACGCATTGCAACAACAAAAGGGTGCAAGTATACAAGAAACGAGAGAGAGAAAGAGAATGTGAGTGTGTGACAAACCAGCTTTTAGCTCGTTTCCTCTAGCGAGCGAATGCACGGCTCATCTATGCACGGGTACATGTGCGTTTACCATTGCTTTAAAAGACAAGCAAATGCATGTTCCCCGACTCACTGGCACGTTATGGTGCGTAATGGCTCCTCGAACATGGCTTATACTTACGTATCCTTGCCCATCAATGTTGTACAATGATCATTTGTGTAGCTGATTGGCCAACTGATAGCGCTACTGTGTGCAGCCATATCAAAAGCGAGTGAGAAAAAATGCCAAAAGAACGAATTGCAGCAGGTGTCAAAAAGCCAGACGAGGTCACATGGTACGAAAAAGGGAGGGAAAGCAAAGGAAAAAAGAAACTTGACAACCCTATCCAACAACGCACGGACAAGGGAAAGAAAAGGGAAACAGCAGCAGCAGCAGCAGCAGCACGAACACACGATGTACACACACAAGATTTAAGATTAAGCTTCTGCATGCAATAGCAAGCCGTAGTAATAGTAGCACCTGAAGGTATTTTGCATTGTGTGTTGGCGGCTGTCATTATCCATTGACACATTTTCTTTTTCAAACAAATTGCCATCCTCCCTATTCTGCACTCATATAGTTACTCTTTTTTGCAAGCGATCAGTCAGCAGAGCGTGGGAACGTGTTCGTTATTTTAATAAAGATTAGAAACACAGTGACAATGGAGATGAAGGAATGAGGTATATAGGTTGTGTTAGTGGTATTGTTGTATATGAATCATGTCTCCGTTCGGTTAGTAATGTCAAGAGGACAAAAAGCTGCACCGTGCTCATCCAGGGGCAACGATTTTGACCTTTTGGTATCACATTAGCCGAAAGATATTCTTGTCCCAAGTTATCAGGGCACACACACACACAGCATCGTTACAACAATCGAAACGTAAAGGACATGTGGTTATTGTGAAACATGGCCACCACAACAAAGCTATAAATTCGCCTTGTAGCCTTCACTCGTTCCAAAGTGAAGGGGATTGTGTAAATAAGCATGATGCTTTGATGATTGATTATACGAAAGATTATACCATGGTGATAGGCGTGATGGTAATGAGTATCCATTGGTGCGCAGTTATTTTTCAGCCGAGCGATCCTATCAACAAGGCTGGGTCATCTCCGCATCGGCGAAGGCCGTTGGGCACACCAAAACGATGATGGTGCACATATCGTTGTTCGTTGTTCGTTGAAACTCCTATGTTCCCCATTACCGCGCTTCCGCCACAAACTCCTCTTGTTTGAATCAAACAAAAGCTCACCTTGTAGCAGAGAGCTGAAACAAGGCAATGCATGTGGGAAAAGAAGATGTCGTCATTGTTCACAATGATAAAATAGAGAGGTCTGTAGCCAAGTAAAAAAAAGAAAGAAAGAAACCAGATGAATGAATGAACCAATATCTTACAACGATTGATCCGGGTACGTGGAAGAGGGCAAAAGCCCACCTTTTCTCGTGCAACATGGTCCCTACTTTCACTCACTCTCTTGAATGTGTGTGTGTGTGTGCGTGTGTGTCGCCCCGCAAAACTTGGTAGTAGCAGCAATCCCAAAATTTCCCCTTTTCTCCACCTACTCGTCTTTCTCTTTTCTTTCTCTTGTTTCACTTTTATCCCTTTTTGCCACATCCTCTTTTTTGACATCGCTCCTCCACAACAAATATCATTGGTGCATTGCCGAGAATATTAAAGAGCGAGAAAACAGACACTACACTACATACGCACACACAAGAGGGATACCCAACAACAATCGAGAAGAGAGAGATATTTTATTGCACTATTGTGTTCCTGATTCCTGCATCGCATCATGTTGGTTACCGAGACATTCCATGGCTTCATTGAGTCGACTCAAGATGTCCTCCTCATTTTCGAAGGCTGTCGACGAGGACTCCTTCCCAGGATTTGCCGACGTCTTCAAGAGAAGGAAAGAAAGATGATACAGTCTGGATCTGTGTTTGTGTTTGATGAACGAGAGTCAGGTAATCCTTGCGTGTGTGTGTGGATGAAGAAGAAGAAGAAGGGTTGATGTGTGTGTGACAAGGGCTCTTTTAAGAGGATGTACGACTAATGCAGAAATGCAGGTATCAAGCGTTGGACTGATGGTCGCGTATGGAGTCCATCGCGTATCCTAGGCAACTTTTTGATTTATCGTGAATTGGATAAACGAGCTCCTGGTGAGAAACGACATTCTTCATCCACCGCCACCTCTGCAGCAGCTGCTGGTGACATGCGTCAACGAAGCTATAGTGCTGATCATGGAGGAGGAGCAAGTGGTGGTGTATCCGCTGGTGTCGATCGTGGCAGAGAACGACAATTAGTCGGCAGCCTTTCCGATTCATACAAGTTTCGCAAGGATGGTCTTATCAAAAAGACAATGTCCATTGTTGTCAATGGTGTTGCTCAACATTTGATCTCGTACTATCATCCCAATGATGTTTTACAAGGAAGCTTGCGCACGCCTTCATCCGTCCCGGAACTTGCCAGCCTTGAAATCTCTCCAGAATTGCTGCTTAAGCAGAATTTCCGTATCCCACCTATGGTTGAACCTACCTTGGAGCAACAACAACATCATCATCACCATCATCATATCACTGGTGGAGATCCTATCGGCATGGGTCCTTTGACACCACCCGATTCATTTGGAGGTAAATTCATGCGTATACATGTTAAATGAATAGGATACTCATCATGATAATAGATCGTCGCATGCATCAATTACGTAGTATGTCGGTGGGATCATCTCAATTCATGTACCCTTATCGTATGGACCCTGATCCAAAGTATACGTCGCCTATGCCCATGTATGGTACCGGTTATGCACCTATTCCATCACCTACAAGTATGGCATCTTCTCCTAGTACGCCAATGCTTTCACCAGGTCGTCAATCGATGCATCATCATCAACAACATCATCATCAGCGTCATTATTCCACATCTTCCTTCCCACGCAACTATGCTCCCACTGCTGATATCATGCCACTAGCACAAAACAATGGTTTCTTTGCACCCACTAGTACAAGCACAAGTACAAGCACTAGTAGCGTGGATGCTAGTGGTAGTGGCAATTGCAGCAATCATCAACATCAACAACAACAACCACCCACCCATCCTCATATTAAGACCGAGCGCTCTATGGAAGCACCTGTGCAATCCAATGCCAACTTGGGGCAATTACTTAACCCAGTGCATCCATTGCATTCTGAATCTACACCGCAACCATTGTTCAGCACGAGCCAACCCTATCACAATTATCCCGCCACTGATCGCACCGATGATCTTAAACCAACTCCAGTTACAACCGCCGATCCAACCCCCACTGCCACATCTACCTCTACTCCTATTTCAACCGCTTCTGCAACACCCACAAATACATCTCCTACACATCCCAGTGGTGGTGGCAGCATAGACTTTGATGGATACATGTATTATCATAACCGCCAACAGCCGCTCAACAATAGTCAACATGTTCATCCGGATCTCTATCCAAGGACATTTATGAATCCTTTTTATCCTCAACTCGCTGGTGGAGATGTTGTCGACAATGACTTGTCTGATACAAATGGTCCTTTGATGCTCAAATGAGTGAATTCACCTATACACATATCTCTTGTCTTTTGATCTATGCCTGAAAAAACACCCACAACACCTCCATTACCTATCAAAATCACCCACCTTCCACCCGTGTAACTATATCTATATATACTGTATGTGTTTTCTTTGTCTTTTTTTTTTGTTTTCTTTCCCTTGAACCCGATCTATACACACAAAAACCTTCTCTTTGTTCCTCTCTTAAACACTCACTCACTCACAAAAAACATACACTCTCTTTACACGTTTAAAACTCCCTCACTCGCCCCTCCCCCAGGCATTCTGTATACGCGTCTATGGTCCCATTCTCCCTCAACACTCGACCTCCCTTGCTCTATATTTCTTTGTTTGCTTGTTTCTTCTGCTTAAACCTTTTGCTTTTGATAGTAATGTGATTTACAATCTCTTTTTTTTACATATAGCCAATCCCAATTTATATATATATATATACATAAAATCGTGGTCTTTTATACACATTCAATGGCGCAGTAATGGACAAGATCCACATGATAATCTCCCCTGTAATGATTAAGGAGAGACAACAAGAGACAAAGGGGAGATGACAATCAGGTGACCCGGATCATTATTGTATGACGACAGCATCCCATTACCGTGCTTGCAGCTGTTGGTCGGGGTGCTTAACTCACACACACATTACAGTGGTTCTCCAGCCCTTTCTTTTAACTTCCACCGCACGCACACGCTCGCCTCGTACTCTTTTGTCCCTCTTCCTTTCTCACTCTCTCTCTGTCTCACACGCTTACATCAACATGTCCAACGTAAGTAAAACCCTCATCTACCTCTTGTCCTTTGACTCACTCCTTGTTTCGATACCTTAGGAACGCGAAGATAAGGTGCGCATCTCTCTCTTTCTCTTCCTTTACAAACGAGACTGTCAATACTCCATGGCCCTTTTGGGTGTCCAATGGCAGAGATGACGACTTTTTGCAACATGTCTTCCTTACACTCTTCTCTTTTATAGGTCTACATGGCCAAGATTGCCGAGCAGGCTGAACGCTACGATGGTATGTTGTTTTTCTCTCTCTCTCTCTTTTTCTCCTATGTGTGTGTGTTTGTGTGTGGGTGCGCGTATCACTTCACATCATCACCCCCAACCCACATCCCTGAGTCTCCCTATTTCAATCTGCGTGATATGAGTCTCGATCTTTACTAACCTAATCCATAATAGAAATGGTTAACTACATGAAGGAAGTTGCCAAGGTATGTTTTGAACATGATGGAAATGTTTGGGGAATAAGCGTGTTCATATGTACACTTTATTATAGATGGGTGTCGATTTGTCGGTTGAAGAGCGTAACCTCTTGTCGGTCGCGTACAAGAACGTGATTGGTGCACGTCGTGCTTCCTGGCGAATTGTCTCGTCCATTGAGCAAAAGGAAGAAAGCAAAGGTCACGAAGCTCAAGTTGCCAAGATCAAGGAATACCGCAACAAGGTTGAAAAGGAGCTCTATGAAGTCTGCAACGACATTTTGAACCTTCTCTCCGAGTTCTTGATTCCCTCTGCCTCTGAAGGTGAAGCCAAGGTCTTTTATTACAAGATGTAAGTTTTTGTTGTTGTTATTGCTGTTGCGTCTACTATGTTGGAACGGTGACACTGAGCGAGAAAAACGCTTTCTAAATATAGGAAGGGCGACTATCATCGTTACGTCGCCGAGTATGCCACTGGTGAGGAGCGTAAATCCGCTGCATCAGCTGCCCACGAGGCCTACAAGACCGCGACAGATGTTGCTCAAGTCGACCTTGCTACCACTCACCCCATCCGATTGGGCCTGGCTCTTAACTTCTCCGTCTTTTACTATGAGATCCTCAACTCACCTGATCGTGCTTGTCACTTGGCTAAGCAAGCTTTCGATGATGCCATTGCCGAACTTGACACTCTCAGCGAAGAGTCTTACAAGGATTCCACTCTTATCATGCAGCTGCTGAGAGACAACTTGACTCTTTGGACCTCAGATTTGCAAGAAGGCAAGTATACACGTGAAGGGATGAATGACAAAGGAGATGATGGGATCATTGGGTTTTCATGTGTGATTAACCAACCACCTTTTCATTTTTTTCTTTCATATAGAGGGTGACAAGGCTGACAAGCCAAAGGAAGAAGAGACCCAAGAGTAAACCCTTTGATCACTCACACACGTTTTATATCGAAATCAACAATCCATCCTTGTCTCTTCTCCTCTTTCTTTCTCTCTCTCTCTCTCTCGTCATCGCATATATATCCATCCCTCTCTATGTCTCGCACCTTTGTGTGTTGTATCTATGAGAGAAATAAACCCCCTTCCTTCACGAATGGATTCCATTTGCACCAAGGTACGTCGTGCTGGACAAGTGAGACCAAGGCTGTGCAACGTGACATGATACTTTCACAAGGAGCGCGTGATGTTATGAGATCATGGGCGGTGGTTCCATATCATGTCTTGTTTAAAACAATGAAAAAAAGGATGGCTTGCAAAGATGAATGAAAAAACAAAATGGGTGGGGGTGCATCATACATCGACACATACACACACTATGAGTTGTTTTTCACGTTTCGTGGATGAGGAAAGTGATTGCACAATCCAGGAGGGTGGTGTTACAAGAGACACTGTGGATGAACACAAAAGGCACCCATCTCGGACAGCCTTCCTTTGCTACTGACGAACGTTTTAAAGTCGTTTCAAACTAGTATTTGGATGTTTATACCTTAGCGTTGTTTATGTTAAAGTCATTAAAGAATTGGCATGTGCATTTTTCTCTGCCTCTCACACGCGTGTCATTTTTACTCGGATCCGGGCTCCGTGGGGATACACCAATCAACGGAACAAATGCCGTGTATCATGCACTTGGAACACACGTAATTCTCGCTGTACTTGGATAAGGTACAATAATCGTAAACAGATCAAAGGATATGACGCTTTGTGAACAAATACACGTTTGCATGATTGTAGTAGTGGTTGACACTGGCAAACGCAGGGTCGGGTGGCGGCAATGATTGTTGTTTATGTAGCTGGTGTGCCATGTATATCGGGGTTGTACAAATGTACAGGCACCACACACTACCACCACTCACGTTGGATAATGGGCAATCACAAAATGGGTAGGACATAGGAGGAGAGTGTCGACGTCATCTTCTTCGTCTGCCATATGAGAGAGAAAGAGTGATTCCTTACACGTTGCTTGTGAAGCAAGTGGCTTTATATAGCATGTGCAAAAAGCTCAAATCATGGATCTAAAGCGGCGTCGCTGTCAGCTTTTACTTTACCCACGTGCACCAGCATATTGTACAGCGCACTAGTATAAGCAAAAGCACCGACATTTACCATCAGATTACTCATCACTTGTATCGGCACAACGATGCATTGTGTCAATTAGATTCGAACAAAACATGCTAGTGGCGGCTGTTGTAATCTTCCATATACCCATTTTGATGCTTCGTCATCACCATTGACATTATGTGAGGGCATTGTTCCGCGGTAGAGAAGCACCGTGATGGGATGAGCTAGTAACATTCGGATCGATTAAAATGACCAAAAAGATAGGACCTGCATAATAATGGGCGTGTGTGTGCGTGCGTGTGCCCCTTGAGCAACTGATAAAGAAAAACGCAGGGGTGGCAAGATCTATAAGATCCATGTATTTACTTGACCTGTACTACCATACAATGGTAACACAACGACCCGATGATGACGGTGGCGTGAGCAGCTGAACCCCATAATAACGTAAAGCTCTCAATCATCGCTCACAGGGGAAGCATGAATCGATGGTATTCATCCAACGTAGAAAAGGTGTGGATTTAGAAGCTGACATTGGTATGGTTTGCCTATTGAATTCTTGAAGAAAGTAAGGCTTGAAGGGCTATTGACGACCATCATCTTCCTCTTGTCCGCATTTGGACAAAAAATTTAAAGTGCTAAACGATCTCTCAACTATACAGCTGTTCCGAGTTTTCTTTTCAGGGATCACCCTGGATTATAATCATCGAGCATCATATGAGCCCTTGTGTGTGAACAAAATACGGCAAAAAAGGTCCCACAAAGGGCACCTGGTTTTGGGACAAACACGGGATCTTCCTTGGGAATACTGAAGCAGAGAATAGAAAATGGTCGCGTAGCTTTCATTACATTAGCAAAGATGATAACATGGATTGATGTGAGGATAGAGAATTATGAGACAGTCAAGGCAAAGAATACCCCGGTTCCTGGATGATCTTGTACCATCTTGAAAGATCTGATAAGCAAAGAGTGGACTTTTTCTCAGCAATTCATTTTCATATTAGCAGCTTGCTTGCCTGCGCCTAGGATAAAATCTACCCAATCATAACCCTTGCATGCATACAAAACACCCATGATACCAAACCGCCAATACGTATAGACACCCTAGCAAGCTCATAGTATAGGGGGTGTAAAAGTGAGATCTCATTGTTGCTGGGGCATTGATTACAGGGTTTATCCATTACTATGGGCCAAAGTTGTGCAACCACACAGCATTCGGCGCTCAAGATCTGATAATTTAGCATTATACAGGCAAGAATAATCGCGTAAAGCAAGAAAATTGCGACAATCAGAAATCGGGATCCGATGTCTCAAGGATAGATGATCGATGAGTGTTGAGTTGGGACGGGAAGAAGAATAAATAGGACCCATTGTCGTTTCATTTCTTTTTCGCTGTGTTCCATTTTCTTTTTGCTTCTCTCTCTTTTTGCCAGTTGCATACCCACCACCATCACCTTTTTACTTTTACATATCCTTTTCTTCTTCATACATTCCAAATGCCTGTTCCCTCTAGCACCGATAAAAACATTCACTATGGCAAATTTGCTACTACATCGCGTTTGATTGCTTGCCTTGTTACTGAAGGTCTTGTCAAAGCCTATTTGGTGCCATCCTCTTCCTCTGACGACATCGTTGGCGCATGTTTGGTGATGCGACAAACACCTCACGATGACAAGTTGTTGGTGGCTGTACCCTTGCGTGGTCTTCCCGAATTGAACCAAAAGGAGCATCTAGTCCGCAATGGTATCCGGTGTCCAAGAATTGAGCTCGTGGACCCTTGGGATATGGTGCCATTCATTTACGCTCCTTCGTCAAAAAAGGATGCTTCGGCTGCTCCTTTACCAGCACTTCAACCTGCTTCGGGTGCCGCCCTCAAGTCGATTACCAATCTTTTGAGCAGCGTCAACGTGTTGTCATCCGATAATACCCTTGTCGATAACTACGATGCCGTCCAACTTTGGGAACAATTTGCTCAAGACTATGGTGTTGCTACTGATTTAATCGAGTTGATCTCTTCTGAGCTTGCAAGTTCGATTGAACATCAAAGTAAGTATTATTATGCAGCTTGTGATAATCATGGCCATCATCACTTACCCATGAAAAACAACTTAGTTTATACATATGATCATCCCAAGCCCCTTCCTACCTTGGATTCACCAGCTATTCATTGGGAGCAATCGATTGTGGAAGGCCACGCCACGCATCCTGTAAGGTTTACTGATTGTGTGTTATGGGAATGAGCATTGACCATGTTTGGAAATTAGATGCACAAGGCTCGTCGCAGCTATGCTCCTTTGCCACCTTTAAACCCTGGTGAAGTGAATCTCGATCGACCCAACATTCGTCTCTTGTCTATTCCTCGGTCATCCATCCAATTACGTGGCGAGTTTGAACCCTTGGTCAAGCCACTGGTGGATGCCATGCTTGCCAAAAAGGCACCTGAGGCTGGTGCATGTGGCGATGACCGTGTCCTGATACCCGTGCATGAATTCCAAATCCCGAATGTGCAAGAACGATTCAAGGATGCTCAAGTATTACCAGAGGAAAACAGCGTAGCAGCACAAGCATTAACATCCATTCGCTCGGTGGCTATCCCTGATGTCCTCAAGGCTCATACAATCAAGCTTTGTGTTGGTATCAAGGTTTCATCAGCATTGCGTACCATTACACCCTACACTACCTATTTTGGACCTGGTTTCTCAGCCAACGTGGTGCCTCGACTCTCCTATGATCGCAAGATTCTTACCATTGAACGTGAACTCGCAAGTGCTGTGTATCGACATGAAGATACTGATGTTGCCAAACATTGCAGCTGCGTTGTCAGGGAAACGATTGAACATGAAGGTGAAATTAATGTCGTTGCTGCTTCCCTGGTTGAAAAGATCCAAAAGCCTGATACGGATGAGACCCTCTCACGACATGTTTGGGGATTGGATACGGAGGAGAAGCGGATTGCATTCTTGGATAGGTAATGTGTATACAGGGAAATGATAAAGGATAGCTCTCATGCTAACATGATCGACCTTATAGATACATTGAATACGCCCTCAAGGCTTTTGTACCACCTTGCTTAGAAAATGGAGTCGCATTTGAAGCTCATGGACAAAATACCATGGTACGATTTGATCGCAAGACCGGAGAGCTTAAAGGCTTTGTCATTCGTGATTTTGGTGGCGTCAAGGTACACAATGAGACTCTCAAGAGCACGTGTGGTGTGGAGTTGGATGTGCTTCCCGATAGCTGTGTGGTGGCAAATACCCGTGAAGAGTGCTACAAGCTCTTGTATCACACTCTCTTCCACTCACAGCTTCAACGTCTTATCCGTGTTCTTGGATTACATCACAATGGCCGTGGCTGGGACATGGTGCGAAAACACTTCACTGCGCTGGTGCCAAAGGATCATTCCATGTACGCATACTTTATGGAACAAGATAAGGTACCAGGCAAGTGCCTTGTTCGCATGAAGATCCAAGAATTGTATCGTGATGTAAGTTGATCAAAGGGAGGGTTGTTGTTGGAATCGAGGAACTCATGCATATCTTTATTTATCCAGTACATCTATGAACCTGTTCCAAACATGATTTTAAGTCGTCCTCAACAAATCATCCAATAATCCCATAGTCTTGCTTTGATAGCATATCCTACAATAAACCTATATCATCTCTTTTTGTATTTAGCACCTTATACAAGCCTTTGTCTTTTTCGAAATGAACCAACTCTCACACACAAAGCCGCCCATTCATCCGAGATGGTGGATAAAGAAAGGAGGGGATGTAAGGGGTGTGTGTGTGTGTTGACGCCTATTTCCTTTCACCAGCAGGCCAGCAGACAATCAAAATGACAACAACAATGATTCTGTTACAAAGGTTATGGGATGTATACACAACTTAGATTTACTTGGAAGAAGATATAGACAACGCAGTTATATGGACAAGATGGGTGGGGGAGGGGGAAAGGGTGAGGGGATAAAGTTTGTAAGCGAGTGTAGAAAAGAAAAAAAGTTGATACATATGTAAGAGAAAATGAGAGTTGTATACAAGTGGCTGATAACGGTGATGTTGTTTCCCTTGGAAGTGTGCCGTTAAAAGGGTGTTTTCGTATATGTGGATTGTTATGTACATCCTCTGTGCCCCTCTTGTCCTTTCAACAAGTGATGATACGATCGTCACCAACACTATAGGAACGAGGGCGCAAATCGGAATCGGCCGCAGCCGCCACTGCCATAGAAATCATAGCTGCTGCAACAGTAAAAGACGTGTCGTGTGGCAAGGGATTGACGGTGCGATAAACGGGAGAAGCACTGATGTCTCGATGTGGTGGTGCCATAATAGCTAGTAATTCTGCATGGGCTTCTTCTTGCTCACTCTTTTGTCCTGAGTATCTACTATTGTTGTATGCGTATCCATGTCAATACTGCTTCCCCCCTCTCATCGGAAATAAAAAACAGCAATGTTGAAACTGACCTATCCAAAATGCATGGCGTAGTGGTTGGCCTAATTGGCAGTGGTGAAATGATTACAGGCCCTTGCTCCTCCATTGCGTCCAGGTTCACAAAGAGAGTGAGTGAGTGGAAAAAGAAAGCGAGCTGAGTGAGAGAGAGAGAGAGAAAGAGGAAGGGAACAAGGAGAAAAGGCACACTGAGTGCTCGCTCAGTCACACAAAAGACTGACCAATGATGTCGGTGAGCAACTTGTTTTGGCATCTGCCGCTCGAGCCAAAGGGAAAACGACCCTCGCACGGTGGTACTCACCTTGTTGTTCCTTCCTCATTTGTACATTTGGATTTTTCCCAATGATGATTGGCACTTGAGAGCTCCCTTTTCCTCTTGGCGTGAAACAAGCCAAAATGCCCATATTTCGGTAGATCCCTTTGCAGTTGTCAATAACCTATGTATGCAAAAAGACATGTCAATGAGAACATAGATTACTGCCCTTTTCATTATCGGAAACTTTTATTGCAGATAACAAGTACAGCATTCTGCTGTGCAACAAATACCATTATAACATTGCATCAGGGGCAACCATGCACTCACTCTTATCACCAATGGGTAAACCTTCCAGCTGTGGGCGTGAACAACAAGAAAAAAGGCACATGATTTTCCATTCGCAATTCCCTTTGGGGCTATCATCATGCCACCAATGTTGAAAGTAGAAGGGTGGTCCATTGTATGTTGGTTGGCCATTAGAAGCACACAACTTGAATGAATCAATGTCGTTGTTTATTACATCGAATCATACGCAATCTCAAACACAAAGAAAGCGCGTGGATGGGCAATGCGGTGGGACATTTAGCATTTGCCCAAGTGTCACCTCGGAATCCACATAAAGTTCAGCCACCTCCCTGTTAAGGACCAAAGTAGGGGAAAGGAAAGAGACAAATCATTTATCTAGCGTTATTGCTGTCGGATACCAAGACATGATGTTTAAAGGATGTTCATACATTGTTGTTGAAACATTCCACCCTTTCACGCGTGACGTTCTCATCAATGCTATAAATGACATGTTGCATTGCATTATAAAAATGGTATGATATTTGAAGCGACAATGAATTTACTGGAAACAAAGGATGTTGGTGGTGATACTTAGTAGGGGTGAAAAGGTTTTCGTCTGACGTATGTGTGTGTGTGTGTGTGTGTGTGCGTGATCTTGAGACGTGTATGTACCTTGCATGTCACATTGACAATAACCAAGGGCATAATGTTTACCAGCACAAGCCCGTTTCTAGCAGCTTCATAAAGGTAGATAAGATAGCAACAATAACAGGGGTGTCAATTTTTGCAAGATTTATTACCACTGTAACCAAGAGACGCATGAATGATAATGGTAGCATGGATCCACGATGTTACTTTAGTACCTATTCTTACATTTAAACGGGGAACTTGGTAGCATCCATTCGAGCTTTGACTAAGTTTGGCGTGAACGGGCCAGTTCAATCTGACACGCTTGGGCTGCGGAACCTGAAAGGGAGCATCTCTCGTTCACACATCTTGTCTCCCACTTGCTCTTTTTCCTTTTCTTCCTTTTTTCTCACTCTGCTTAACGACCAACGTGTGCATCCAAGTGGGCGACCTTCCATTTCAGCTGCAATTCGACAATCTAGATTCCATTAAACACAAGCTTCAATCTGTAACTCATGCAGCGCAACATGGATTTGCGTGTGGGTAACAAGTACCGCATTGGTCGCAAGATCGGGTCCGGCTCATTTGGAGACATCTACCTTGGTAAGACATCGCTATCCACTTTATTTCGCGTTCTATATACTAAGCTCTTATCGTCTTACTGCCTAGGCACCAATATCGTCACCAATGAGGAAGTGGCTATCAAATTAGAGTCGATCAAGGCCAAGCATCCACAACTGGAATACGAGGCAAAAGTCTACAGAGCTTTACAAGGTGGAGTGGGGATCCCATTTGTACGGTGGTATGGCACCGAATGCGATTACAACGCCATGGTGATCGACTTGCTTGGACGTATGTATATATACGGTTCTCTTTGTTTTTGCTTTCAGTCTACTTGGATCATCATCTCACACACGTCTTTTTTCATGCAACTCTCGAATCTCGTCTAAATACAGCATCTTTGGAGGATCTGTTCAACTTTTGCAACCGCAAATTCAGCCTGAAGACCGTGCTTTTACTCGCAGACCAAATGGTAAGTACAAGAAGAGAAAAAGACATCAGAGTGGAAGAGATGGGATGCGGTCTTTCAAGAGAGAGAAGGGAGAACAGGGAGAAGCAAGATGAGGAGGAGGAGGTGTTCATGTATGGGGATTGCATGCGGGGAAAGGGGAGGAGAAGAAGAAGAAGAAGGATTGTGTTTGCAAGAGGATCACTGATTAACTGATTTGGTCATATTAGCTTTCTCGTATCGAGTATATCCATTCGAAGAATTTCATTCATCGTGATATCAAGCCTGATAACTTTTTGATGGGTATCGGCAAGCGCGGCAACCAAGTGAATGTGATCGACTTTGGATTGGCCAAAAAGTATCGTGATCCACGCACGCATCTCCATATCCCTTACAGGGAAAACAAGAATTTGACGGGAACAGCTCGTTATGCAAGCATTAATACCCATCTTGGTGTCGGTAAGTTTGCATCTTTTTATTTATCTTTGGAGGGCTTGGATCTGAATACGAGTCATTTGTATTAGAACAATCTCGACGAGACGATCTTGAGTCATTGGGCTATGTTCTCATGTACTTTTGCCGTGGTCAGCTTCCTTGGCAAGGTCTCAAGGCGGGTACCAAGAAACAGAAATACGATCGTATCATGGAAAAGAAGATGACAACACCCACCGAATTACTCTGCCGAGGATTCCCCAGCGAATTCGCCATCTATCTCAACTACACGCGTTCACTACGATTCGATGATAAGCCTGATTACAGCTACCTACGCAAACTATTCCGAGATTTGTTTGTTCGAGATGGACATCAATATGACTATGTATTTGATTGGACAGTTTTCAAGATGGCAAGTGGAATTAGGGAAAACGAGATACCTTCTAGTTGTATGCTGACTCTTGTGGGATAGGAAAAGGAAAGCATGCAACAACAACAAAGACAACAGCAGCAACGTGATCGAACTGGAAGAGATAGAGGAGATGAAGGCGAGGACCAAGATTATCCTGGAAGAATGCTAGCATCCTCGTCTCGTCGCATGATGGATAATCCAGGAGGAGCAGTGGCATCATCATCTCGTGCCGTTATGCCACCAACAGGCACCATGCCATCAGATCCTGTCAATGCATCATCATCCTTCCGCCGATCCGCCTCTGCAACAAGAACTCCCATGCCTGGTCTTGGTGACAGCAGTGGGTTGGCAACGCCTTCACGTAACATACCACCTGCAAACGTAAGCAACACGGACCTATTTCGTTGACAATTCTACTCACATTGCTCATACTTTTATAGCCATGATTCAACACAAGAAGCGAAGACTAGCCCGTTGTATGCGACCTGGATCCTTCTGTTATTCTTTAAGCACCCTCTGTTTTTTCTCATTGCATAGTACATCATGAATTGCGTAGGACTTTATTCTTTTTCCCCCGTTGATGATCCTTTACTTTTTTCTCTCTCTCTCTTTTTATATCTGTTAGTCATAACTAAAGCTTGGGAAGTCGTCCTTGAGTAACTTCGGGAGATCATAATGCTATCTATTCACTAGTGTGTCGTTTTTCAATTATGGGATCGATTCCTCTTTCGTTATAAAGTTAGCTAACTCTGCTAGAGATTTATTCGCATATACGTTTGTTGTCAATAAACAAATCTACATGCATATAAAGATCATTGGCAATGTATAGTAGAAAAAGGTTTGGTTATGACGTTAACTGCCTGGTACGCCTGCCTTCCTTGAAGTCACTTGCTAACCACTTTTAACGATGTAGGATCACTCTTACTGTGTAGGCAATAGGGTTTCAAAAGTGCTTAAAAAAGATCGCGCGCTTCGTCTACAATACGTGTAGCAGGTGTCTCTTTATGTCAAAAAAGACAATCCGAGAAAGCAGAAGCAATGATGGAGGTGCATGTAATAAAGATAGCTGTGTACCACAGGCTCACATTTCCAATCCCTTACGGTTATTATTGATCTTTATTCACATCTTAGAAAGAAATCATATGCGCATACATATACAAGAATGACTTTGTTCTTTATCAAATTGATGTTCATCGTGTATCGCTGATCAATCTTAGTGGGTGGTTGATGTGGCATTCATATGATCAATGTCAGAGGATAAAAGACGCATTGTAAGTAGCTGATTTCCAGAGCCTGAAAACGGTGCTTGACAACTGCAACCATCAGATGATTGAATATCTTGATGCCCCAAAGATCGCTTGCTTGCTTTATAGAGTCCACCCAAAGGCCCACGTTGATGTCGTTTTCAAAGCAATAGAACTCGCCAATAACAAGGAGACCAAAAGACCTGGCAATGATGGAGCCTACATTTGGTAGTCCGTCGGACGACCAGAGGATGCATGTTCAAATTGAAGCGGCAGCATGAGTGGCACCGATTTACGCAAAGACAATATGGCCATCGCGCCAAGATAGTACAGTACAATGACCTCCTTGATGTGTTGTTGATAATGTAATATGTATAGCCGAGCGAGGGCCTGCCATTCTATTCCATTTGTAAGTGCACTTGCATGCGACACATCCCATAATGAACAACCTTACCTTGTGGTACTTCTCAATGGCATCCTTCCCACAAATAAAAACCCGTATCTCCATGCCATCCCTATTGTGCTGCTGCTCTTCTTCCATTACAAGCTCGTCAATCAACAAGTCTTGCGTTGCAGATCCAATACCATGCTTACCATTGAGCCAACGTAAAGCATTCTTGTTTGGGGTCAGTATCTTGCTGGTGCCAGAGGTGTCATCATCCAACATGTCAAAGCTATAACAAATGCAACGTAAGATAACAATCATAGCATTTGCTTTTCTTGTCAGCATACCCAAAGCAGCAATGCAAAGACGTGATCCTTGTGTGACAACAATGGAAAAGAATACACTCGACACACGAAGCCCCCTTTAAACATTGTATGAACGCGAGAACAGCAAACTACACGCCAACTTTAGTACCTCAATGTCCAACTTGAATAATAAAGCAATGTAGCGATTGAACGTACATGTTGTATTGCAATGGGAGCTTGAGTCATGGGTCGATCGCGCGTGTACTTGTTGTTGAATGTCTGCAACTGGAAAGTGTCGCCATGACCACCTCTCCACCCAATTGACGCTGTCCACTGAAAGGAATACCAGCGTTTAGTGTGTTGTAGTTTGTAAATGGAGGTACTCTTACCTTGCTTTGTGAAGTGGGAGTGAAGAAGAAGGAGCTCTTTGTCGTTCCTCCCATGTCCCAATTTGTGCGCAACATGCGACCCCGCTTGCAACAGTTTCTGTTGTGAATACGTACCCCACAATAATAGCCTATACACTTGGGTCAATAATAACGAGCATTACTCGATCTTGTAATTAAGCCATACATCATTTTACTTTGGCGGGATTGGCGTCTATCAGGTCTGTGCACATCAATGCAGATCGACTCCTGGATTTGTGCAACCAATCCATGGCTCCCCTACCAAACATACAAAATGTATAAATTCATTGTCACCGTCATTGTCATAATGAATAGCTTTTTCATGATTGGATGCTGTTTATGTACTTCCTAAAGGCAGCCATCATTCACTTATAAGGTCAACTGTCAGTGACGCGTATGTGTAACCACCACGTGCGATTTCACTCAGCTCTCCATCTTTCCGTTAATGCAGTCGACACCATCCACAAGGAGAACGCAACTCCATCACGCTTAAAGCATAGGTAGAACATAAATGAGCCTGTATCTCTAAACTTTACAATCAAACGTGGGGTCTTTAATAGAACAAAGCTGCTCGGCGGGGTGAAAGCGATCTTGTGTCAAACTATGAAGTCGATCGTGGCCGATCCCAGATTCACCCAATGTCGCTACCAGCCAAAAAATATTTTCGTCGTCGTCGAAAAAAAATTCAAGAGGTCGATCCACTTTGGCTGGTGGCGACATGGCGAAATCTGGGAATGGCCACAATGGACTTCATTCTTTGACACAAGATTCCTTTCACCCCGACGAGCAACTCTGTTCTCTTATAGACTCCACGTTTGATTGTGAAATCTTGAGATATGACTGTCTTTATGTTTTCATTATGCTGTAAGCGTGATGGTATATGCAAGGTGGCCTTTGTTCATTGTCGATCAACTAGACCCTGACAGAGCAAAAGATGCAGAGAGTCGTGTTGTGTAACACAGCTACCTTTGCATGAATGGAAGGGTTGATGGATGATACTTTATACACTATTCAATGAAGCTCATCATTGCCGGCTAACAGCCATTTGTTTCACATCAACTCTTTTGGCAAACCCGCTGCATGGGAACGATGCTCCTGCTCCAGACATTCATTTCCATGCTTCAATTATATTGGTCCGAGCTGATTTGGTTGAGCTACGATCAAAGAGAGATTACATCAATCCATACATCAGCATACGTTCGAATGTCTCAGCTGATTAATCCTTGTTTGACCGTAACTCAACCAAATCGGCGCGGATCAAGAAACTTTGATGATGGAAATCCTCGGCTGGAGCAGGAGCGTTGTTCACATGACATAGAATGGACTACAGTGGCGATAGGGATGAATTGGCTGATAGCTCGCATCTTGTGGATTATTATCAATAGTATGTGAGTATCATGCATTGGCCCTTCTAGTATTACCAAATGAGCTGTGCTACACAAACGCGTCCATGTGCATCTTTTGCTCTGTCAGGGTCTACCTACTTGACAATGAACAAAGACCTCTTTTCATATAGCATCACGCTTACGGCATAGGTAAACATAAAGGTGCCTGTATCTCCAAACTTTACAATCAAGCCTGGGGGTCTTTAATAGAACAACGTTGCTCGTCGGGGTCAAAGGAATCATGTGTGCCAGTTTCACGATCGTGGTTGCCAATGGGTGAATCTGGGGTTGCCCATGACGAACTTGAGACTTGGGCAGTAGGTGTATTCAGGCACGCTGAGCATCTTTGTTCTATTAAAGACCCCATGCTTGATTGTAGAATTCTGAAATAAGGGCGTCTTTATGTTTTCTATACGCTTTATGTGTGATGGTATATGAAAAGTGGTCTTTGCTCATTGTCGATAGTCTCACTCATATGAGTCAGAGTGCAGGACTTGTTTGTGTAACAAACTGAGGACGGCATTTGAAAGGTCAATGCTATTGGTGGAGAAATGCATGATTGTACTGTAGACTCATCCCCTATAGAAAGGTCCGGCTATCAGAGCCCGTGTGGACACTCTTTCAAGCTAACCATGGTATGCTTGATAAGCCAAAAATAATAAATGCAGTAGAAGTCTATTTGTGAAAGTGCATGAAGCTTGAAATGTAACTTGCTTTTCATCCATCATCACCCATTCTTCACACAGCATATGATAATAATGATCTATTTGCATCAGCCAATTGCAGCAGCTTGCTCATCTCATTTTATTGATGCCCTTTAAGACCATCATCCTTTCTAGGACCATACCACTATCATACTAAAAGCTATACAATACAATCATGGAGACCACCATCGTTTGACCACCAAAGTCGAATCATCCGAACCTTTATCGGTGCTGTTTCCTTGCTTGGAATCTCGTTTGAGCAAAGGACGTCCATAATTGGATCAACAAGTTGCTCGTCTCAAAGTGTCCTTGATCCTGTCATCGTCGTTGTTGCTATAGAAAGATACGTCGACAACGGTTAATTTGATCCACCAGCACGCTGTGCCTTTTGAAATACATAACCTTACCACTTTCATCTTGTTTGATACCTCCGTCACCCATCATTGCCCAGAATCCTTGGTGAATTGTGTGATGTCGCCAATGTTGCGTGCTCGATGGTTGCGTTTGCGGATCCATTACTACCGGTATCATTCATATAAACGCACTTCTTGTGACCATTGCCATGGGATCATCCAACGTAATAAGCTCAAAGTGAGATACGCCTTATATCAAATAAACCATCGCTTTTGTCTTGGACCTTGTGGAATGGAATGAACGATACCTTGTTAGCACTCTGGCAGTTTAAGAAAAGTAGGAAGAAGTGTTTGGCGATACCTGGTTGTGTTGCTCCAGTCATGGGTGGATCGCAGTTACTCTCTTGGCCAATGAGGAAGGAACATGGGTCACCTATCGCTGTTTGACACGCTTCATGGTTGTTCGTTTTCATCATTGACGTTGTTGTTGTTGTTGTTGTTGCGATGGAAACGGTATTAGCGAGTGCTACAGTATCGAGGAGTCGGTGTCGAGTTGGTGTTGTGAGAAAGAGGAAACGCCGCCATGGATACCAACCTGCCAATTCATATACAGCTATGGAAGCATAGAAGAAAATCAATTCAAGCCTGTACCTTTTAACCATTTCACATGATCAGTACCCAAGGCAGGCCCTTTATGTGAAACGTTGGTAGTTGCTTTTTGGGGGATTGGAAAGATGGATTTCATTCTTTCTTTAGTGAGGATGAATGAAGAGCAAGTAAGAGACCGGGTAATTACAAAAGTGATAGCCATGCTTGCCATGGTTTGAGGGGTGATTTGGTTATGTGATGCTTGCCCATTTGCTTTGATCTACAAGAGATGATCACCCTAGGGTTTAGTGAACACCATACGATCTATTGATGCTATCGCGATTTTAGATTGATAGAGAGGAGGATAACGATTGCGATGTGGGTTGAGGATGATTGCTATGTACGATGATTACGACAATGGCGGTAACGGCGATACGACAATGACACAAACAAGCATGATTTACGTTTCTTTTGGCAAGATGTTACTGCTTCTTAATGAAGTCCCATGCGTTGAGACTGGTAAGATGGCTTGAATCATCCTTTGTTATGTCGAGTAGCTCATACATCGAACAAGCACTCATTGTGATCATTCAGGGGTTCTCTTTGTTGGTAACAAAGAATATGCCAACATCTACAATACTATATGAAAACACCTCACGTAAAGAATGATACGCTATTTATTGACGTATATGGTACTAATACTGGTGATGGTGATATAGGTGTAAGTGATGCTTTCAAGATGGATGATAGGAAATGCCGAATGTTGCCACGACGAACGCGAGTACTGCTGGTTCTTGTGGTAAGCAGAAACCTTGATCCTTCAATAATCCAAAGCCTCTATGTCATCCTGCTCAATAGTACAAGTGCTGCTACTGCTGATTGTGATAAACATAACAAAGATGCAAAAATGATGCTGATAAAGTGCTCGTGATGATGATGATGATGTGTGTGTGTGTGTGTGGGACAGCAATTACTTAGCATCTCAGCTGCGGGAAATACACTGATTGAAGCCAAATACCAACCATACAAAGGAGCGCTATTTTTGTTGTTTTGGTGTCAGCAACTTGTCCTTTCTCCTGTTGTTTCGCTTCTCAACCCGCTTCCCAGTACAATGACAGACCCTCATTCCAAGAGCGAGGACGACAAGATTCAAGATATGCTTCAACAAAGTTCAGATCAATGGGGTGATCAACAGGATCAGCAGGCAACGTAAGCGCTTGACGACGACGCCAAAGGATAAAGATACTGATCTCCAATGACATAACCTTCTACTAGTGCGAACACCGCCAGCCCAAAGCAGCCTGGACGATCACCACAGGCGTTTCGAAATCCAATGATGCCGGCTATGCCTTCTGGTTTCAACCCCATGATGAATATGGCTATGCTCAATCCGCAGCTTCAGTTCCAACTTATGATGCAGCAGCAAATGCAGCAAATGCAGCAATCCAAGGCGACGCAATCCAATATTCCACCAGAGACCCAAAAGCCGCCTGTAGGATACGTGTGTTTCAAATGTCGACAACCAGGTAAGAGACGAGTGACATGTATCCAATCCATTTGTACATGGCATTGATTGGTGTTCCCTTCCCTCCTAGGCCATTGGATCTATTATTGCCCGAATGTGCCCAAGGGACAATTTGTACCACGACCTGGCATGAATGGAACGTAAGTAGTAGTGTATAAAGAGAGAGATCACAATGCCTCATGTACTGACATGATACTTTTCATTGGTAGTTTCCCACAACGTAGTGTTCAAGAAGGACATAAGAAGCAAAAGCCCAACGAATTAACATGTCGCATTTGTGGAAATCTGATGAAGGATGCAGTGCTGGTGCCTTGTTGCGGCAAGTCATTCTGTAAAGAATGTACGTATATCGGTATTCCCAAATTCACCATATTCTTTCCTGCATTGGTCATGATGACGTGGGCGCTGTTTGCCTCGACTGCTAGTTTGTTGTTATCCATTGTTGTTCTATGCATCGGGGGCAGGGATTGGATCCATCCTAGCAATGACAACTTGTCTTGCTTTGTGGATAGATTTTTTTGCTTACGGATGCGATGCCGGGGGATCATGTGATTCGACAGACAGGTGGATATGGGAAAGAGTGACAGGGGTGGAGGTGCAGCGAGAGAGAGAAAGGGAGGGGGAAAAGACAACACATGTAAGATGATGGGGCGAAAGAAGAGGATGGAGAAAAGATGTAAGGATAAAAGAGATAAGGATCATAATGATAAGGACTGGCTGGCAGTCGTAGGCAATGTACACGATTAATGCGGAAAGTTGTGCCTTGATCCTTTTTTATATTCTATGGGTTGATATATAAGAATCTAGTATCTAATATAAAAAATGTATCTTGTTACATAGGCATCACCAAGACTCTTGATGAGACACACAAATGCCCGATTTGTAACAAGGATGGTCTTGAATCTCGGCAAGTGATCCCCAATCGTTCCCTTCGAAATACTATTGAGGCGTACAAAGAGCAAAATGCCAAAGAGGCTGAGGAGGCTGCAGCCATGGCAACAGAGACACAGCAAGAATCATCCGAAGCTACAGCTGCCATGGATACCGGAGCCAACAATGCTGAAAGTGCCCAGGACAAGAATGAGGAAGCAATGCAGGATAAAGAACAAGAACAGAATACAGCAGAGCAATCTACCAGAGCAAGCGATGTGAGTGAGAGAATAAAATTGATTAGGACGAAATCGCCAATGCTTACGTTATCATGGTTTCCATAGCAAAAGCAAAGCAACACACCTGTCAAAGGAGGAGGTATGCCTATCCAAGTGTTCGAATCCGAAGAACGTACACCACGAGCCAAGCACAAGAGTCAAGATACCATCATGTCAGAGGCAATGCCACCTACGCCATTCAATGCCAATCCTATGATGATGGGGGCTCCACCTGGCGAGATGAACTGGATGATGGGTATGCCACCAGGAATGAACCCAGCAGCTGCTGCTGCTATGATGCGAATGAATTTCGGTATGGGAGAAGGTAAAGTTGATATGATAAAATGGGATGATGATCCATGTCTAATGCAATGCAATGATGATTAGGTATGGGTGGACACGATATGGATATGGGAGTCCCACCTGGCATGCCACCCTTTATGAACCCTGCTTTCCAAGGTGGTTTTGGTGGACCTGAAGAGATGTTTAATGGAATGGGTGGTCCTATACCAGGTATGCCACCACCTGAAATGATGCCGTTTGGTGCTGGTGGTCCAATGCCAGCAAATCCTTTCAGAGCTGGTTTTAGTACACGTGGAGGTCGTGGCAGAGGCTCTATTCCCAGATATCCAGGCACAACAACAAGTTCACGAGCACGATCCAATGATCAAAACACCCCTGCCAGTACAAGTAGTGAACCCAAGCAAGCAGATGAGAATGATAAAGAAGTGAAGGATAATACAGAAGATGAAGTCGTTTCCACATCATCACGTGTTGAGCGAGAAGAAAGTAGCCGACATCACCGTAGCAGCAGCTCTCGATATCATCATCGTTCTCGTTCTCGAACACCATCACGTTCTCGTTCGCCAAGTTCTCGTTATCGTCGACGTTCAAAAAGTCGATCTCGATCTCGATCGCCTAAACGTAGCCGAAGACGATCGTCGAGTCGCTCACCTTCTCGATCCACACACCGACGATCCTCACAAGATGATAGACGCGATAAGGACAAGGAAAGAGGAAGAGAAAGGGATAAAGATCGACATTCATCTTCACGCCATCGAAGCTCTCGCCATCATTCATCTCGTTACAGGAGCCGTGAGCGTGATAGAAGTCGTGATCGGGATAGTCGTAGCAAAGATAGGAGTAGCCGTGATAAAAGCCGTGAAAGAAGCCGACGTCGTGATCGTGATAGGCGATAAAGGAGAAATCAATGTATAGTGTCCGTTACCTTTTGATGCAAATTGAAATAAAGTCAAAGCAATCATTTCGAATTGAATGTAAAGATACACGTATATGTCATGAGATCTAGGGAAAAGCTTGTACTCACAATAGACTTCTTTGTGTAACCTAATCTAAAGATTTCAGTTTATTGCTCGTGAGAAATGATTTCTAATACATCCTTGGCATGAGTATTCTCTACATATGAACGTTATCTATGCATCGTGTAAAAGTGACAATGTCATCATCCGTCATCCAAGATGACCCCCATGACAGCCATGATCCATAATGCTATCGATAGCAAGATATCCAACAAGTTGTAATTGTATGTATCCATGGTATGTAATGAGCATTCAGCAAGATAAAAAGTGAATCCCCCATCGTTGACGCGTACCTTGGATGACTTGGAAAAGCGCCCGGGGAGATCAGATCAATCCACACGCACCCTTTGGGAAAAGGGCTTCCGTTACACAATTCTTGTTTTCATCCTTTCTTCTTTCGCCAACAACAACAACGATGCCGGAGACGACAGGGCCTGCTAATCAGCAAAACCGGCCTAATGAGGAGGAGACCTTCATGTCCAAGTATGGCGGCACCATCTTGCGTGGATTCATAATGTGGTTGGCCATGCAATACTTTTGGGGTATGTCCTGCTGCTGTCAAATGAGCTAGTGGCTATCAAACACGATCGTTGCAAGTGCACTCACATGAGCCATTAGGCAACAAGAGTAATGTCCAACCACAGCAACCAGCACCTTCACCTGACAATCAAGGAGCACCTGTAACGACTGAGCAACCAGTTGAATACTACCCTGTTCTTCCTGCCGGTGTCTACTACAGCCCTTATCCACCTCAAATCCCTGCCAGCTTGTTACCTTCCACAGCGATGCCCCTTTGGTCAAACCAGAATCCTGTCGATCTTAGCGTGTATGTAAGTGAGGAGGAGTACTTTGTCAACTACAAGAGTGAGCCATCATGGTATACTTCCAACATCATGCTCGATGGTTCCTTGGAGCCACGTGTCCATCATCTGGATATCCCTACCACACAAGTAAGTTGAATGGAGGATGTTGTATAGTGTCCTTTATACACTAATCATGTGATTTAGCACCTTCAACACAATGGCAGTCTCTATGCTCACATCTTTGTCACACGTAATGGTGCACCTATCGATCCCAATAACCCTGGATACTCTCCTGATGAAATTGTGTATTACAGACATCGTAAGTATGTGGATCCATATATATATGATATAAGTATTAAGATGGCATGTCCCCCAATAGTCTTGACCAAGTATTATCCAAAGAAGACTCAAGTCAAGCAAAAGAATCTGTTGCATCGAGGTGAAGAGGATCAAGAGGAAGAGGAGGAGAGCCAAGATCAAGTTGTACCTGAGCAACAACAGGATGAGGAGCAAACTGATATGGGAGGATTACTCGGCAATTGGACACGTCGTGCACCCAATGTCGCTTATTGGCACGAGAATATGACCATCTCCATTATCAATGACCCCAAATCACCCATTGCCAAGAATATGATGCAGCCTGCCACTATGAAGTGTAAGGAACAATGAACCCATCGGATGCCTATTTTTACTGACATAGGTGCTTTTTAGACATCCCACTTACCAATTTGCGTGATGAATCTGGAAAGATTGGATTTTATCGCCCCATCATTTTCCCCAACGAGTTCTGGCACCTTCGATCCAACGCTTTCCCCATCAATGAGACTGTTTCGTAAGTATATGACAATGAGATACCAAAGGATCACAATGAAAACTAATGAGAGCTGCGTATATAGTGTATTGCCATTGACGATTCATTTGGAGCCATTATCCATGTGGAAATTCAGCATCTACGCTTCTTTTGATGAATCCATGAAACAGCAAGCAAATAATCCACTTGGTGGCATGTCGTCGTCTGAAACGGATGAATTGAAACGGATGTTGATGGAAACCAATCCTTATCTTTTGGCTACCACGGCTGCAGTGAGTTTGCTTCACAGTGCATTTGAGTTTCTCGCTTTCAAGAATGGTAAACAATCAGCCAAGGCGATCATCATGATGAGGTTTTAATGCTTTTGTGTATTAGATATCGCCTTTTGGAAGAAAAAGGACAACAGCACGGGCGTCTCCGTACGCAGTCTTCTTACCAACATCTTTTTCCAAATTGTGATTTTCCTTTATCTCATGGACAACAATCAAGAAACGTCATGGATGATTCTTATCAGTCAAGGCATTGGATTAGTGATTGAAGTATGGAAGGTGTTCAAGGCACTTAAATACGAGCTTGTGTGGACACCAGGCTCGTTGATTCCTTCTATCGGCTCCCGTGACACCGAGAATACTGAAATCGAAGACGAGACTGCCCAATATGACGCCATTGCTTTCAAGTACCTTTCATGGATTGCATATCCGCTTCTGGGTGGTTACGCAGTATACTCATTGTTGTATGACGAGCACAAGAGCTGGTACTCCTATGTCCTCAAGACATTGGTCGAATTCGTGTACATGTTTGGTTTCATCACCATGATTCCTCAACTTTACATCAACTATCGACTCAAGAGTGTAAGTGAAAAGAGGAAGAAGAGGAGAAGCGGGCATCCATACATCATCATGCTTATGATCCTTGCTTGTATTTTGTAGGTCGCCCACATGCCTTGGAAGACGCTCATGTACAAATCACTCAACACATTTATCGGTAATAATGAACAAGACGCCCACATGTATGTAGTGCTCCGCATCTCACTATTACCATGATAGATGATCTTTTCGCATTTGTCATCAAGATGCCGACACTCCACCGCTTGGCTTGTTTGCGTGACGACGTCGTGTTTTTCGTGTACTTGTACCAGCGATACAAATACAAGGTTGATCCCACCCGCGTCAATGAATTTGGTCAAGTCGGCGAGGATCAAAAGGAGGAGGAGAAGGAGCAAGACGGCAATGGAGACAAAAAGGAGACCAAAAAGAACAAATAATGAATGGGACATGTTGATGTTAAAGTAGTGTTCTTTGATCATGTATAAAGTTGTTGTTTTTTCGTTTATATGTACTGGATAAAATTGTGCCAGATGACACCACGCGACGACTCCTGATGCTATGTATGTGGTACCACCCGATCACAAAACAGGGTGACAATTGACAAATTGTACCTGCATGTCAATCTGATCATTAAACACCTTAAATTTGTTGTGTATTACGCGACTAATAAGTTGTGCTGAGTTTCGTATGTGTGATCCATCTTTGCGACAAGGAGTATGTAATGTATGTATGTATGTATGCAGCTTTATGAAACAAGTTAGCAGCCAAGTTGCATGATAGTAATAAAGGAAATGCTAGTGGTTGTTATTTCTTGGATCAAACCTTGTTTCAAAAAGTGTTTGGCGGGATGCTATGACATTTCAAGGCATGTCACGGGGCCTGAAAAAGGAGAAGAACAAGACCGCCATCATCATGTGTGACAACAGCCAAGTGGTTATTATGAAGCAATAGCAGCTGATTAAGACCACCTTCCTTTTTCCTTCTTCAGTGCTCGTGTGCCTTGGATGTTTAATCCGCAGTAACAGGAAATACATGACGTTATTTGTGATACACGCCTGCAGCAACTCTTTTTCAACATACGCTTGTGGGTAGTCGTAATAGCAATATAGTCTGGATAAATTCAGCGGCTGGTGTAATTAAGCATCATGATGAAGCGTAATAACCCCTTCTTTTTATTAGCTAGCCTCCATAATACTACATCTCAGTCATTTTCAATAAGCGCTTATGGTTTCCAACATGAGAGAGCGTGGTTCTCCTTTGCCATGAATCTCTTGCAAAAAGACTGATCAACAATGCTAAACGATGTCTAATTAATGGCCATTAGTACTGGACCAATCATCGAAAGTGTGGCTCAATTTGCCTTCCAGCCATCTTTTGTGGCACAGTTTGACAGATAGAACTGTATCAAAAAAGGAAAACAGGCGAAAAAACAGCCTGTGTTGGGGGTACGAAAGCAAAAAAACAAGCACAAAGGTGGTGTTGTGTGTGAGTCACTGTTAAAGGTTTCATGGAGAACAATGATTGAAAAAGACATGATTGTGGATGATACACCTTTACTCCTTCTTACCGATATTGGAAACAGGGTGCATGAGGATACTACTACAATGAAACAGGGACGCAGCAGCAGTGATTCTTTGTTGTCGGTAAATGGTGACACCCCCTTTTGTTTGTCAACTCGTGTGGTACGATCGTTTAAATTGGCGGGAAATATTGGAGTTGCATGAGTTGTATATAAACGCATGCCCTTGGCATTTACAGTCGCCTTGCTTTTCGCCCTCTCTCTCTCTATACGCTTTTACAACTTTTTGTGTACCACACTATACTACGCAACAATGCATTGTATGTCTATGACCATTCCCCATTGTCACCTTCATGGACGCCATTTTGAATTCTGTCCTGGTTGTGGTGTCGACGTTTCGAGGTTTTCTCATGAAGACCATTGCCCGTACGCGCGACAGTAAATAAGCAGCAGCACGTGCGAGAAATGTACTACCTACAAAAAAACTCTGCCAACAACCACAAGACAAAAAAAAATATAACGCTACAATACCCGGCCTGCCATGTTTCCTCCATTCTTTCCCGCACACCACCGCCAAGCTCGTCCTCTTTTTACGACCGCCACTTTATACAACAACAACTACTATAGATATACCATATTCCAAGACTTTGCTATTACCCTTACGCATATTGCATCCATACCAAACGCGCATGTACTAGACTACTTATGTTATGCTATTCCTTTTTTTATTCATCAATGTACACAATATACATCATGGGCATCATCTTTTTTCTTTCTCAATCATATGATTCTTCTACGTATTGTGAGTGGTGTTGATGAGGTGGGTGATCGGAATCGGATGGAAGCAAACCAAAAGAGATATCGTTTTGCCGAAAATTGCTTTTATTACTATTATTAGCATGTAGAGAAGGAGGAGGAGGAGTGTGTGTGAGAGAGTGAGTGGGAAAGAGTGACAAGATATATATATATATGCACAAGGGAAGGAGGTAGAAAGGAAGGGTAATAGGTAGGATGCTGGGCGTTTATTCATCTTGAGAAATGCTTGTCTTGCGAGCAGAATCACTTTCGACCAATCGTAACTGATACACTTCCTTTTGTGCCAAGATCTTGTCGACCCACAATTGACGAGTAGCTGCATTGCTTGTATACAGGGTTACAGGGGGTGATCCACCACGACCATGATGATAAAAGACGATGCCATAACTTCCAATTGCACTTGATGTTGGGATGGTTGCAGTGGGAGGAGGGACAGGTCCAGAGGAAGATGAAGATGTAGTAGTAGAGTTGTTGGTTGCCGTGGTGCTGGTCGTTGTCATGGATTGAGATGATTTCATGGAAGGAGTCGGGGTTGATGAAGAATCAGCCGAAACAGGCGTTGTAGCTGTTTGTGCTGTGGATGCTGAAGTTGAAGGTCTTGGTGAAATAACACCACCATTACCAGGTGACGAGGATGAGGCTGTTGGCTTGTTATGACGACCTTGGGGTTGAACATCAACAACGGACAATGAAAGCACATCCAATGGAATAGGCTAAAGAGATTTTATAGGTGAGCAAGTTGAATGGGATAGCATTGTGTGTGTGTGTGTGTTGCTTACCTTACGAGACACCTTGTAATGTTCAAGATGATTTTGCATCTTGGTTTTGCTCAACACCAGATAATGATCAAACAAGAATACTTGCATCTCGGATGAATCTGAAGAACTATTGCCCTTGCGCTTCAAGCGTCCCTGCATCAGTAATTGCCGCTCAGGATCCTGCAACTTTAAATCCTGCATAGTCTCTTTCCATTAGTATCCCTGTAACCTGTATTCCTCATCCCTTTCCTCAACTTCTTACCGTAAAGATGCTTGTTGATTTGAAGATCATACGCTCATCAATTTGCCGCAAGGTAAATGCACGTTCCACGCGACCTGTTTCACTGTTGACTTGCTCCAACAAATGGGTGATTTGCTCCATGACTTGTGGAATGATCTCGAGATCGGGATTGCCCTCAGGGGTGCGTTTCAAAATCTCTCGCAACAACAAGTTGTATCGGCCGAGGCGTGTAGTTGGCTTGGTGAGGTAACCATTCAATTCAAGTCGTCGAGATTCAGGCTTACGCTCGGTTTGGCTGACAAATTGAGCAAATCGTGGATTGCGTCGCTTCTCGAGCTCAAAGTTATGCTTGCCAATCACTTGATGAGCACCATAAGAAATATAGGGGTCGAATTGCCGAACAAAAGACATCATCACGTCACCAATGGTATCCACCAAATCCTGTTGCTTTCGTCGCTTGGAGAGTGCATAAGTGAATCCCGTGGTGACTCGACGAATATCAGCGAGATTCCAAAAGATTTGCTGCACCACTTGTTCACGTCGTTCTGTGCCTTGGCTCAGGATGTCGGTAGTCATTAGAGGGATTACATAGTGCTATGATACCCTTTGTATAAGAAAAACGGATGTATCCTTTAACCAGCCCACCGAGACTTACGTTATGTACATAATCAAGGTCTTTGGAAAAGTCCTCTTCGGTATAAATAAGCTCGTATATACACTCTTGACGTTTTCGTTCTTCGGGTGGCGTTGCTGCAACCACATCTTTGGGAACAGAATGAATCCATAAAGCGCGTGTATTCTCCTACAATAGACTCAATCTCAGAGATCACGTTCCTTATCCTGCCATGGTGCATGTTGTCTTACCTTGTCGGGTAACGATGATTGGCTTGCCGAACGCTTGATGACCTGGATCGCAAATATAGAGAGAGAATGAGCATTCATGATTTATACCATGCATGTCAAATAGATATCTTACCTTGCGCATGGTGCCTGGACAATTGGGTGAGTAACATGGCGTGCCACTGTTACATGTGGGCGAGTAACAAGGCGTCAATGCGGTAAAGACACCTGTGGCCAAGTTGGCATCACTACCACCTATTCATAGCACACACTGTTTAGCCCATGCATCCATATCCCCATCCACCTATTTATATATATGCCTTTACCAACCTTCTTTGGCACGGTCAATGGTGGGTGCTTCAAATCGATACAATTCGCTCGTGTCATCTCGTAGCCGATGTTCACCGTCAATATCTCGGAAGAGTCCTTGAGCTTCAAGCGAGCGACCAATCATCAGGGCGCGATTGCGATCGTGTTGGTTGTCATTGCCGTGGATGATCTCGACGAGACGATCCTGTCAAGAGATGTGCAAAATAGGGTTGGTTTTTGTACAACGTTGGGAAAAGAACAAGAGGTGGGGGGGGAGGAGAAAGAAAGCTTAACTTACCACCGCTTCCTTGCCAGTGAACAAGTAATGATATTCGACACCATCCCGCACGACGTCATCTGGCATAATTCGATTATACATTTCTCGGGCAACATGAGACAAAAGTGCCGAGTCGACATGGCCTGTGGATAACCCGTAATGTGAAAAGAACTCGTTTTGTTGGTCTTCAGTCTCGTAAGCCATAGGTGATACAGCAGCTAATGGAGCTTGTGCGGCCAGCGCTATATGGTTGCTCTCTATATCGAGTTTATAAATATATCACAAAAAGATCGTCAGGGGTCCGTCCATTCAAATCCATCATCACACGACACACATATGCAATGCATGTACGCTCCTGCCACCAAAAAAAGTAACACGTTCTCTTCCTCTCCTCACAACATTTACCTGTTGTTGCTGTGCTTTGTTTTCTTTGTGGTGTCGTGTAATCATCATCATCGTCATCATCATCCGATGATACGTATTCGTGCAATGAATTCCACTCGTGGTTTTGACTGGATGATGAATTGGATCGTGCCACCGTTGGGTCCATCTGCTCTTTTCCACCTTCTTCAAGTGGATGTTGCGTTTTGGTATTGATGGGTGTGGGTGATGTAGTCGTCGTAGTCGATCCACCATTGGCAGCAGAAGAAGAAGATGATGAGGCTGCTGCTGCTGCTGCTGCTGCCGCCGCCGCTGCTGCAGCGGCTTCATTGTTTTTCCTAGCTCGTCGTTTTTCGGCAAGGCTGGCAAAAAAAGACGGCGATTTAGTGCGACATGGTGTCGAGGTTGTTGTTGATAATGATGGCGGTGTTGCTGGGCAGTTACTATCAGCCGATTCATCACTTGCGTTACTTGGATGTCGTGTAGCACTGGTGGTAGTAGAGGTAGTGGTGGTGGTAGTGGCAGTGGTAGTGGTAGTAGTAGTAGCAGATGAATTTGGAGCTGGGTTAGTAGGCGAACGCATGTCATAAAGAATGTTAACGGCCTTGGCAGCCGTTGCAGCTGCAGCCAAGCTCTGGTTTCTAACGGGAAGTTGTTGTCTCATGTAACTTTTTTTAATATCGTCGGAAATCGTATTAGGTTGTGGTAGTGACGAGGGTGATGGTCGACGTATCACATAGGCGCCCTGGTGCCTGTATGGGTTTTGGTTTGCTGTCGGCTCACCGATAATGACGTTGGGTGGTGGACTTGGCATGTGTGTGGGTTGTTGGTCCGTGTGTGTATGTATTTTGATTGTGTGGGTGTGTGTGTGAAAGGAAAAAAGAGAGAGAGGTTATGTATGTATGTGTGAAAGAAAGAAAGAGGGGGAGAAAGGGTGGTTGGGTGAAGGGAGAAATGAGATAATATGGGGGATGACGGAGATGTGTAAAAAGAAAAAAGAGAGAGAAGGAAAGCGAGGAGTAAGAGAAAAGCCGAGAAAAGGTAACGGGGCACTAACTTTGGAGCCCTTGTTCTCTATTCAAGCACATCACAGACACAGACCGCACAAACACTCGTTCTCTTACAAACGATGTAAGTATCAACAATACACACACTCCCGCATTGCACCACAAGAGAGCACGGTATTTGGCTGGCCGACAACCGTTACCAGGTTTGGCTACACTTGATTTGATGGCAAACCAGAAGCCCTATTTCCTCTTGCGGTTTGGGATCGTTTCGACGTTCCACTTCTGTACTTCCTCCCCCTTTATCGTATCTGTTGTCTTTTTAAATAGCAGCACAACACTTATTGTAATAATCAATTGCCAAGACACGCTTATTGCTATGTGCACTAAACGGATCGCGTGTACTTTTCGCCGTTGACCCCACGCTCATTCTTACTGGTTACCTTCTCATCATCACAAAAATAGAGAGCAATTCTCAAATAAGCTTTCTTTGTACTTTGGGATCGTGTATGCGTAACTTTGTAATTATTACAAACACGCACTGGTACTACCAGCGAGCTATGGATTAATGAAAGATCCACGTGAAGGGGAGATTGCAAGGCGGAAATTAGGTTTTAGGTGGTGGCTGGTGATCATTGTTGTGACCCCATAAAAGTATCCCGCCACAATAGGCCAGCAGCATGTGCCACCCAATGATGTCAAAGGTAATAAAGCAAAAGAGAGCAACAAGCGCTATCAGCTTAATTACAAGAAAAGGAGATTACGCAGGGTGTCACACAATCGCTGGTAGATCGGATTATGACAATCATCATTTTCTTGGTTTTCGGAGCGACTTGGTTTATTACACCCGTTCCTCTCACCTTGCTAGGCTAAAGAAAGAATAGGCTCAAGTGCCTCCTGATCTCTTACTTTGACTCCTAATAAAAAGGCAACTACTATTCTCATTGCTCCATGGTCCACTACAGCTTGAATATGGCTAACAATGATGGGGTAGCTGCAGCATACCAACAAGTCGGATTCTCAATGATGCATGTTCAGTTTTGATGATTGGATGCGTTGTTGGGTTATGCATTCGGAAGCGATATTACGATATCATGTGTCAGCATGATAGTTCACACCTACTTGATAATCTACAAGAAGGCTAAACGCATCTTGCTGTGTAATTGCTTATGAACCATGGTTTCATTGCCATAGCAACGATACTCCTTGATCATAAATCCAATCATCTACGCTGATGTATACGTTTTGGAAGAGCATGTTAGCTCGTCAGCAGACGCGCCCTCGTTAATAAATGATAGGATCGATCTCATACAGCATCCTGATGCATTTTAACACGATCCAGAAATCACCAAGGGAGCGAATACGGTGTTTTTTCATCGACCTGGTAAAGGTCCTTTACCATCTTTTCCATCTCGTGGCATCAAGGAATGCTAATTGACTAGGCACAAAGGCTATGGGTTATGAAAAAGCAAGTGCAATATGATCCAGCATATCCAATTATCCGGTTTTAGCACTAAATTTCATTATTCAATGAACCTGCCGCAAGAAGTGGTGCGAATTTAAAAGTAGCAGCGATCCCAAAACAGCCATTAAAAGGTGTCTGACCATCATGCTGTCATACAAAAGCTTCATGCTACGTGCTTGTTCAACATCCCAAGAGGTGCGTACAATGCGTAAAGTGTGCAAGGAATTGTTGTCAGTAGACGGCAGCACAAGGATGTCCAGGATTGAAACAACCATTCTTTTGCAGCCAATTTGGAAGCAAAAATGATCTTGAGCAGAAGGGATGCGAGAGAATACAAGAAATCCCATGATCAGCTCTATCAGAAACCCCTTCAGATATCTCACCTACAACCGGTTATTAGACACCATCCCTCCTTTCCCTGGGGAGACTGCCCTTTTATTGCTACAATCAACGTGTTTTTGAGAAAAAGAGAGATTAGGTGCCTCCCTTTCTACACTCATCACCTCCCTCCCTCTTGTTTCATGCCTTTGGCTTTCCCACTTTTCCCTCTTTTTTTCTCGTCTTTTAATCACCACCACTACTACCAGGCGCACTTGAATTCTGTTTGATATGGCTGGCGACCGATACACCATTAGTCGGGATCGGATGGCAGATTTGCGTGTAAGCAGTTGATTGAATCGTATAGCCAACATGAGATCATTAATCATTTGAGAATGACTTTTAGGCCAGCACTGACAGGTACATTCTGCTTTGTTTTGAGATTTGATTGTTTTCATTCTTAATGACTTGCATGCATAGTACCGAAGCCTTTGGACCTCGTCGTGGTGCAAGAGGAAATCGTCGATCGACTAGTCCTCGTCGTCATCAATCACCCACTGCAACACGACAACCACAACAACAAGCATCACCCACGCCATCACCGGTACGACAACAACAGCAGCGGCCTGTAGATGATCATGTGGCTGATCTTTCAACTATGGATGGGTATTTATCCGAGGTAGGTTGCATACATCTTCATAGCGGCATTACGAGCATGCATGATAAATAAATGCGACTTTACGTTTAGGTTGGATTAATTAGCGATGCGATTGACCAAGTAAAAGCTGACATTGAGCGACAAGAACAACTACACAGCCAAGCTTTGGAATCTGCCACAAATGATCAGCAAGCGACTCGTATTACTCAAGCATCCAAAGTGATGGCGGATCAAATATCGGATCAAAATAATCGTATCAAGCGGAGAATACAAGGTACGTGTTCAAGGAGGAGGGAGGAAGATTGTAAAAGGAGACAAACCTATAACAAGAGTGCAACCATACGTAGCATTGATGAGCCATTGTGGTGGACCCGATGGCAAAATACGACACATGCAAGCACAACGACTCAAACAAGACTTTGTCAATGTCATCCAGCAATACCAAAATACCGAAAACACATTTTCGAAACGATATCGACAACAAGTGGCAAGGCAAATTCGTATTGGTATGGGACGACGCATCCATGTCAAAAAGCTGCATGATCATCTAACCAAGACCTTAGTCAAACCGGATGTAACGGAAGAAGAGATCGATGCCATTATGGATTCGGACCAACAAAACCAGGTCTTTGCCCAAAGCGTAAGTTGATCACTATCATCGCCAGGTGATCCATGATTAACCCACAGCAACAACATCATGCAGCTACTAAAAAGTAATCGAAGCGGACAAGCTCAATCGGTGCTAAGTCAAGTTCAAACGCGCCACGATGACATAAAGCGAATTGAAAAAACATTACTGGAGCTCCACCAATTATTTGTGGATATGCAAACGTTGGTAGAACATCAGGGCAATACATTGACTGAGATAGAAGACCATGCTGAAACAGCTGCTGGTGATATCGAAAAAGGTGTGCATCATGTAGATGATGCTATCAAGATTGCAAAACGTACACGAGCAGTGAGTCAATAATGGGTGTCTCATTGTTCATCATCATGCTGATTCATTGTCTACATTAGAAAAAATGGTGTTGCTTCATTATTGTCCTCATCCTTCTCATTGTGGCAGCCTTCCTCATTTGGTGGTTTGCATTTAATCACAAGGTAAAGAAATCCACTGTTGTTTAGCTACATTATGGCTTATACTGTGCTCTATTTACATAGGGTGTCGGTGGTAATCCTTAACACTGGGCATCATTTTAGTTAATATAAGGGTGTGAAATGAAAGAGTTATATCCATGGAAAGATCCACTATCAATGTATTTTCCAAATCATGTCAATGCAAAGTTAAGATAAGCGTGGTGTGTGAGTGTGTGAGAGAGAAAAAAGAAAATGCTATCAGAGGAAAAGAAGAAACAAGAGAAAGGATTGTACACAAAGGGTAGTGGTGGTGGGGGAAGACGACTATGTAATGGGTGGTGATATGATGATGGATATGGAATACAAGGAGGGGGAGATCTTGTGGTATAGTAGTGAAAGCTTAAATCATCTCGTCTGTATCCATGATTGAAGAGGATGACAAGGACGAAAAAGATGCCGAATAGGGCGCCATAAGAGTGTTGCGATTTGATGTAGTAGTGGTAGAGGTAGTGTCGTCGTGGTGTTGCAGTATATCAAATTCGTGCACTTCCATGATAGTTTGCCAATGATTGGGTTGATCAGGACGTGTTCTTCGCATCAACATGACAGCACGTGTATCATTGAATTGGATGGCCCATACCGTCATTGATGGCTGACTCATTTGCCGAATGAATTGACCCTGACGCATATCCCACAATTTGATACGACCATCATTCCCAGCACTGATCATGCGTCGATCATCGAATTGAAGACATGTCACTGAGTTGTCATGAGCTGATACTTGTTCAACGCATTCGTAATGTTGTAAATCCCACATGCGTAAGCATCCATCCGATCCACCACTCACAAGCGTATTCCCGCTTAATTGAAGCTGCCCCACAAGTGAAGTATGTCCATGAAGTGTCGCCAAGCATTGGCCTGTTTCAGGTGACCAGACACGGATATTCGAATCAAGCGAACCGGTAACAACACGATGACCATCAAAGGCGATAGCGTAGATTTGTGAATAATGTCCTTCAAGCACGTGTTGACATCTTCCTGTACGTAAATCCCATAATCGTGCGGTCGAGTCGTATGATCCCGAAGCTACAATATCGCCACTGATATCCAAGCAACGTACACTTGTTTGATGCCCATGCAGGAGATGCAGCATGACACCCCTTTGAATATCCCATACACGCACCGTTGCATCTCTTGAGCCTGTCACGGCAATACGTTTGTCCCTCATCTTGAGACACCGCACCGTGGAAGTATGTCCTCGCAACACATGCTTAAGACGACCCGTGTCCAAATTCCAAACCCGTACATCGCTATATGATCATGATCAGCCAACGTTTCAAACACCCACATTATTATTATTTACCGGTCGCAGGCACCCGATACAAGGACGCGTTCTGGATCATGTCGTTCACCACCCTTAAAGTGTAATGCCCATACGCCACCTTCATGTCCTTCCAGTGTACGAATCTTGCGTGCTGTTTGGGTATCAAAGACTTCGATTCGATGGTTGTCACAGCCAACGACAATGTATTTATCATCAAACTGCAACGATGTCACCAAGACGTCACCAAATCCATCCTCGACCACTTTAACGTGGCCACCATGCGCCCATGCTGAAGCGATGTTGTACTTGCGCTTAAAGTATTCACGATACGAAAAGTTGAGTCGACGGCTGGGAGGGTCTAGCAATTCGCCACCAGAGATACTTGAATTACGTCGGCGGTTGTATTGGTGTTTCATGCACAACAGCTTCCACGTGGCTTCATCCTTGAGTAATGAGTTCCAGAAGGTGGATACACACGATGCACGCGCCAACGTCTTTGGATCATCAATAAAGGATAATACATGAAGCGATATTTCAATAGGCAACTCCTTTAAAAAGTCAATCTTGAGGCGAGGAGCAATGACATCGTTGAGATACGTCAGCTGAGTACTATCGCAGCAGTTGACAATCTCGTATAATAAATATTGTTTTTGTTGAGAGGTGAGTTGTTGAAAGAGTGTCTTGAATTGTATGATGGTGCTTTGTTGTTCATCGGTAAAGAGAGTGGCAAGACGTGTATCATCATCATCATCATCATCCCCACCATCACCACTGCTGCTGCTGCTGTTGTAGGATGATGACTTTGTATTCAATAAAGCTGCTCTTGCTAAGGGCGGTGACAATGGTAGTGCCGTGGTGAAAAAGTTGGGAGGTGTCGCAGGAGGACTGAAGTCATGGGAAGATCCATTTACATCCATGAACAATGGTCGAGATGGAGTTGATAGATGGGAGAGAGAGAATAGAATGTGGGTGATGAGAAAGGAGAAAGAGGAAAAGAAGAAACACAAAGGAGTGAGATTGTTGGGGCCCGACCGCGGAAAAGAACGTAGAAAAGGGGTCAAAACATAAGGTAGACTGATATGGAAAGAGTCGTGTGGAGAGTGAGTGTAAAAGTGGTGCTGTATGCTTTTGAAAGAGAGAGAGCAGCATGTGTGTGTGTCACTCATTGCTGGTGCTGCATGAATCCATATTGAAAGCCCACCATCATTCTCCTTCTTCAACATGTATGTCACTGCATAAATAAAATGTCATTTTTTAGTTGAGCAGTAAATAGCAAAAGCATACCAACATTAAGCTCTGTCACAATATGAGTAGTCGCTTTTGAATATCGATGTGCTGATCAAATCAGCAAACCTGGTCCTGTTGTAGATTAAATGGGATCGGGTATTCATCACAATATGGAACTCGCCTTGATCCTACATACTGGAACACACACAGCTGGATGCGTAAGTCACCAATCGTCGACAACAAAGAACATGCACTTGCAACTGTGTTCCTGAAAATGATGGCTCAAGGAAGAAGAGCATTGAATAAGAGTGCAGATGAGACGAGGCGTGTAATTTATTGATCGAGTAAAAGGGATTTATAAGACATGGATTAACCCTAAGCAAGTATCATTATATAATTGCCAATCTATTCGGGCGATCTTATATATGTTGATTGCGCAAAGTGTAAGTTGTTTCTTGTCTACTTTATAAAAAAATGTATGGTCGATTAGGCTTTTTGGGTACAATGCGAGTCGAGGCGTGTTTGAATGTTCTTTATAACAGTCTGATTGGCTTTTGAAATTGATGAAGGTATGATTTCAGCCATTTCTTCATAGCATGGTTCAATTCAACGTTTCTAATTACTGGTATTTTTGCCTGATTGCCGATGAGTGCTGTGAGATCCACCAGAAGCTGCTTGATTTTGCCGTCGTTGCATTGATCATATAAATTAGGTTGATCCTGATGATGGCAATGTGGTTGATCCTGATGATGGACTTGAGCACAAGCATATTTGATATGTGGTTCATGCATCCAATCCTTGTTGAGCAATAATGCTGTTGCGTTATCCAACTCGAAGTATTGGCGACCAGAGAGCAATCTGCTGATATGGTGACTTGTGAACAAGCGATGCGAAATCGTCAAAGTGGGCGGGTTGACTTCATATTCATCGAAGCATGTATTTATGCCACCTACAAAGGAGTACCAAATTCCCCGTCAGATTGAGAGGTTGCCTTTTGCCTACAAATATACCTACCACAAAGCTCCATCAAGGAAGACAACCAAATGTCATAGGCGCCAATGAGCACTTCAAGTGGTAAAGAAGCAATGATGTGAGCTACATAGATGAATGCATGAGTACCCTCATTTTGGGGATCACATAATAAAGGATATCCTTGAGACTTACCAAAGACCATTGACTATTGATGATATGCATACAAGTAGAAAGAAAGAGCGTATGGTGATGTTGGTGCAAAGAGCCTTGTTTATATATGATTGGGCGTGGGAATTGTTGTCATGATGGATCAAACTGATAAAGTGGTCAAGCATCTTGGAGTAGTACTGAGTCGAAGTGATGGAAAACCAACAGCTGATAAATCCATCTGCCACTTGAAAGGTGATTTTTGTAGGTGACAAAAGTATGTCCCCATCCAAGATATCCTTATCCTTCAACATACACCGAAGGTCTTCATTTCAATTTCATCATCAACGTCGTTGTCACCGTTTGTCACTGAGGAAGAAGAATGAGGGGTGACATCATCGAGTCTGAGACGAACACGCTTGGTGAGAGGTACCGAAATCGAGGTAGGTAGACAACGAGGAGGAGGAAGACGAAGAAGAAGAACAAGAGACAGAGGAAGAAGTGGAAGCAGCAGCAGTAGCAATAGCAGTAGTCGGAGTAAGAGCACGAGCTCAATGAGACATCAGCAAAAGAAGTACAGTATCGCCAAGAGCATTGCTCTCAAGGTGGATATTGGAAGTCGAACGCAAGGAGATGATGATGATGGCTACTAAAGTTCAATTGCTTAATGAACGCCTATTCAGTTCATTATTAGCAAACATATACAATAAACGCCCTTTTCATTGTTTGTTTCATTGTACTTGCCTTTTCCATATACACAAAGACCCTTTGTTGTTGGTTACTGGAAACCGAAAACCATGGTGTAGTAGTGTAGTTGAGCCGAAACAAAACGCCAAACAAAACCAGCCAACGTCTTGAGACCAAACTTTCCCTCTATACAAGCTGACGCGTCAATGTAACCAATTCGACTGCAACATTGGACTCTGAATGGACCTGTTGACACCAAGCGTAGAGCGGGAATAGCAACGAGCAAAAGGAAGCAACAATATCGCCATGGCAACCACCAACCACCAACCACGCTCATTCCTCAGCACTTGGACACACTCACTCCCTGACAATGCATGTTCAGAGCTACATTAATACCTCACAGCCAACAAGAGCACTCTTCTATAATACATTACCTTGATCGAGATGTCGTGAATGGAATAAGGAAAGGTGGGAGAAAAAGAAGAGAAGCGTTGTCTCAAGTCGTGGAGCTACCGACCCCCAAGTTTAAATCCCCTACTGCTATTACACTGAGGCCACTCAATGACCCCCCCCCCACACACACACCATCCACCCATCGTCATCATCACCATCACGATGGACAATAGGTACAAGTAAATAAAAGAAATGATGATCCTCACGTATAGCAAAAGGGTGTGTGCCATTTTACACTTTACATGATAATGATGATCCAACAACAGCCATTGCCTTTACTACCAGGTTACCTCGAATCAAGAAAGTTAAATGATGGGAATGATGGGCTGGAGCAGATGAGTCGTTCGTATGCATTGGATTGGACAACAAAGACGAATGGGAGGAATGGGCAGTTTACAAATAACTTTGCAAAATGATTTTTCTCATATTGGGCGATGCTTCTGTGTTTGAGCGTTTTGCAGTCAAATCCTCTCGGATCATGAAAGTTGAAGGATGGGGATGATGGGCTGGTGCAGCACAATCGTTCGTATGCATTGGATTGGACAACAATGGAGAATGAGAGGACTAAGGTTATTAGCTGGCATTTTGAACTCTTCCTGAATAGTGTACAAGAATCATGCATCGCCTGTGCTGAATGACTCAAGTTACACAAACACGCCCTCTGCATCTTTTGCTCTATTATAGTCATACTATTTTACATTAAACAAAGACCACTTCTCATATAGCATCACCCTTACAGCATATGTAAAACACAAAGGTGTCTGTATCTCCAAACTTTACAATCAAACGTGGGCTCTTTAATAGATCAACGTGCTCGTCGGGGTCAAAGGAATCTTGTGTCAAAGTATGAAGTTCATTGCGGGCAATCCCAGATTTCGCAATGTCGTCACCAGCCAAACTGGATCCGGGGGTCGACCTCTTGAAACTTTTTTCGACGACCAAAAAAATATTTTTTGGGCTGTTTGCGACATTGAACGTAAAACTTTCACACAAGGTGCTGTTGGCCCAGCCGAGCACATTGTCCTAATCAAAACCCCACGTTTCGTTGTAAAGTTTGGAGATACAGGCACCTTTATGTTTGTAAGCGTGATGCTATATGAAGAGTGGTCTTTGTTCATTGTCAAGTAGGTGGACGCTGGCAGAGCAAAAGATGCAGAGGGTCGTGTTGTGTAACACAACTACGTTTGCATGAATGGAAGGGTCAATGTATAATTACTTTATGGATCATCTAGGAACAGGCATGTATTGCTAGCTAACGGCCACTTTTATCCAATCATCATTGTTGCGAGATCCACTGCATGGGAACGATGCCCCTGCTCCAGACATTCATTTCCATGATTAAAGTAGGTTGATCCGAGCTGATTTGACTGAGCTGCAGTCAAATAGAGATTACATCACTCTGGACATAAAGCACGCTCGATGTAGCTCAACCGATGTATTCTTGTGTGAGCGTAACTCCACCAAATCAGCTCGGATCAACCTACTTTGATCATGGAAATGAATGTCTAGAGCAGGGGCGTCGTTCCCATGCAGTGGATCTCGCAACAATGATGATTGGATAAAAGTGGCCGTTAGCTAGCAATGTATGACATAAAAGTGAGGGTTGCGTACCTTTCATGCATTGTCCCTGAAGTCCTGACTTTTGAGCTGAGTTACCCAAAGAGGTCCTTCTGCATCTTTGGCTCTGCCAGGGTCCACCTACTTGGCAATGAACAAAGACCACTTCTCATATAGCATCACGCTTCGCTGTAAGGGTTCTGCCATCTCAAACTTTACAATGAAACGTGGGGTTTTGAATAGAACAATGGGCTCGGCTTGGCCAACAGCACATTGTGTGAAAGTTTCAAGTTCGTAGTAGTAATCCCAGATTTCGCAATGTCGCCACCAGCCAAACTGGATCCAGGGCTCAACCTTCTCGACGACGACGACCAAAAAATATTTTGCAGGCTGTTTGCGACATTGAACGCGAAACTTTCACACAAACCTTGTAACAACCGAGCCCATATTCAAAACCCCGCAGACGTTATAAAAATTTTAGAGATACAGGCACCTTGTAAGCACCTATATGTAAGCGTGATGGAGTTGCTTTTCCTATTGGATGGTGTCGGCGCATTAACGGAAAGATGAAGAGCTGAGTGAAACGCACGTAGGTGGTGCAGACATCCTTGACAGGTTGCTACACAAATGGATGATGATGATTGCCTTTTTGTGAAGGTACGTAAGTAAACAGCATCCAATAATGAAGGTGTGTCAGGGTATCATCACATTTGCATGTAGAAGAAAGTCAAACTGCATAAACCAGTTTGTATATGTAAAAAGATACATATACATATGAATGAAATTCACTCGTCCTGAAACTCAATGGAGGGATCTCTTCACTTTTTCTCTTCTCAAGCTCATCCCACTTCCCACTCCTCCTTATTGTATCACAAAAGCCATGTACTTCTTGCATGACCAATAACCGGACCACCTTTATTATTCCATCTTCGAAGCAATAGTATGTAATCCACAAGCTAGCAACCTCCAACAAGCGTGTAATAAATAAACAATGCTTTATTTCATCTAGCTATCTTGCTATGTACTGTACATTGCCACCACCATCGTCGTAGTCATCCTCCGTCATCATTCCTACTCGTACTGTAAAGAGAAAGATATGGAAGGTGGTGGTGTGACAAGCATAGAAATGATCGACATCAATGGTAGAAGTTAAGCACAAACCAAAAGGAGGGACGGGTTCACTCTCTCTCTCTCTCTCCCTCAACAAAAAATGACCTGAACGCATCCTCTTGTACAGTGGATCGCCGGTTGGGATTAAGTCTGAGGAGCTACGTGTAATGTTGCCTATGCATACATCGAGCAATGTGGAATTTCTCCTGAAGCGAGAATGAATGTCGAGCTGAGAATACATGATTGTTTTATGATAATATATAGCTATTACAATAAGTTGATAGGAAATAAAGTATATGGATGGAATAAACTAAGGTTCAATGGTATGGCTAAGCTTTCGAATGGTATCTGGGTCAGATGCACGTACTTCAGCGCATAAAAAGTAAAGCTCATCATCTCGTTCAAAAGAGTAACGGCGTGCCAAATTTTGAAAAGTGAGGACACGCTTGATGACGGTGGCAGTGATGCGATGCTTTCGAAAGTTGACGAGTGGCTGTTTGAGCAGGGACGGCGTAATGGACATGGTGCGATTGTTTGCATAGTAGATACGATGATGGTCATGCGAGGGTTGCAAATAAGGGGGTTGCTCCGAGTTAAAGACAAGGTCGGATAGGTAAATACCAAGGAATGGGATACATCCACCAAAGGGAATCTTGATCTTGCTTTTGCCAAATCCATGATTGTTGGTGCCTGGCATTTCGACCTGTACTTCCACTGGGGACATGCCATATTCTTCAGCTACCTCAGTCATGCTATCTCGGATATGCTTCCAATTCTTCATGGGTGATGTAAACGCTGACAATTGATCCAGGATACGCATCTCATTGGAGCCCACTCTATCCCACGTTTTGCGTAATCGTGATACGGCTGGCGATTGCAATCCAAGAAGGATTTGGACCAAGGTAGCAAAGTTACAATACAGCTTGCATTTCTATTTCGATTCCCATAAGCATATGACAACCCAAAGATAAAAAGAAGGGACATACCTGTGCCAATCGAATAAACTTTTCCACCACCTTGACACGCTCATCCAATGCTCGTGTATGTACAATCTCACTAGCCACCCATTGACATACGTCGTTGAAGCGCTTGATCACTTGCTCAATACCACCTTCATGTTCACGTCGTGCAAGTTGCATTTGTCGCGTGCGGCGTGTATAGTTGATATCAGGATCATCCAAATCATCGGTGTATTCACTATATTCGTCACCCATCCCGGTGCTGGTAGCAGGCATCTTTGTCCAACGGCAATGCACCATCTCTTCCCAATCAATACCAAGGAGTGCTTGTGCTTCAATAAGACATAGTTGCTTAGCCATACGCTCCGATCGATAATACAGGATAAATGGCTTGGGATAAACGGCTGATGTACGTCTTGAAGGTGATTCTGAAGGTGGTAGACTCGATGGGATATGGGGTTTTGGCAAATCAAGTTCAACAATGCGTGTAGGACTCGTAGCTGAAGTAGGTTGCTGGTGGTGTGGCATATCAGGATGTGAAATAGATGACATTTTGGCATCATCATTCGAAGACGCTAAGGAGGGTCGTGCCACACGATCAGGCAAGCTTTTGGATTCTGCAGCAACGCTGATTGAACGACGACTCTTGCTTGCAGCATCACTTTCAGCCGTACTTTCCACTTCTTGTAAATGCGTTTGTTGATCCATAGCGTCTTCTTGGTTTGGCATAGGTGGCAAAGAGTTGACAATATGCTGAGATCGATGCAAGAGCTTCCTTTCACGTAAAGTAGGTGAATCAGGTGTAGGTGAAGAGGGTTCACTGGTAGCGCGTGTTGATGCAAAAAACTCGGCTCGATTCATCTCCTCTTCCTTTTCACGCCGTTCTCGCTCGTTTTCCAATTTTGCAACCAATTGCTTGTCATCCTCATCCTCATCTTCATCACTGGTTTCTTCTTCATCTTCATCATCGTCATCGTCATCAGAGCTCATTTCAACGTCCGTTGTACCAGGTGAAAGTGCACTTTCCAATGAATCATCCGTCAACACGCTGGATCGTGAGCTTTCAGGTACTCTCGTTTGCTGTTGTTGTTCTTCTTCTTCGTCTTCTTGTGGGATGGGTGTGGGTGGTGCTTCTTTGAGACTGGATGATGTTGTATTGAGATCCACCGACATGGCACGTCTTTGTTGTTCCATACGCTTCATATACGATGACTTTACAGCTTCAATTTCTTGTCGTTGATCACGGCGTCGGAATCTTGGAATGGATGTGCTTGACATGTTGCGTCGTACGCCTGTTGTAGGTGAAGCACGTGACATATCCATAGGACTTGCCGCACCACTGATTCCTCTCCCACTTGATCCTCCTTTGGCCGTACGAACGCTACCAACCACCACGACAGGTGCCAATCTTGTATCTTGAACAGCCATGTTGCCATGATGTCGATCACTCACGTTCATACTGCTCACCAACGCTGTCTTTCGACGAATTGAACTTTGTGCCAACTTGGCTCGTACCATTTCTTCAATGCGTTCTTGGTCTTCAGTAGGCGGTGGAGGTGGGATCACTTTGACTCTTTCAGACGCTGATGAGCTCACATAGTACACTTTTTTGAGTCGTCGCACCACACGCTTCAAACTCTTGACAATGCGCTGGTCACGTGGCGAATTGCGGATGAGTCGGTGATAAGGTAGCTCATTCAGGAACGATGTCAGGTACACACGCAATTCTCGGCATGGGATAAAATCGTGCACAAAGTAGTTGAGAAGCCAATGTCGTAGCACCACAAACGTACTAGTATAAAGCAAGTCTTAGTATGAAGATGTGGTGAAGGGCATCAACTGATTTATACTCACCGTATGCGTACAATACGCCTGCATTCGTCGTCGTTTTGGAGAGCCCATCGAAATCGCAATGTGAGTAGCTTGCATAGTTGTGTAGGAGAAATGAACGCTCGATAGGTGAGGAAGAAATCGGTCATGAATGTATAGTCTATGTGATGTGATGTGTTAATCCAACGACTTATTCATTCCCCCCCCCCAACGACCCCAAAAAGCTTACCTAATGTGTTTGTAAGCTTCTCCACAAGCTTTTCAATGGTGGCAGCTTCAATCACTTTGGGTAACTTTGCAAGTTGTGTATGGCCAGTGGTATTGTTGTTGTTGTTGTTGTCATGGAAATCTCGATGCTTGTCTTTGCGACCATGTCTCTTTGCAAACTTGAAGAGGATGGATTCACGTACATCATCATTGGTTGAGGATGCAAGCTGGGAATGTGGTCTGTTTCTCCTTAAGGGTAATGATGATTTGGAAACAAGTTTGAATCCATCCGGTAACAGTTGCCCTGACCATCGACCCCTGCGTCGTTGTTTAGATGTATCAGCAGCAGCAGCAGCAGGTGGAGTAGGATTGGATACTGTGGCGGTGGTGTTGGATGAGAAACCTTTGATATTGGGAGGTGCTGTTTGTGTCGATGCAAAAGATGCTGTGGATGAAGCTCCAGGTGGTGGTTGTGGTGATGATGGAATTGTCTTTCCTGCAATGGTGGTAGTTGCCATGGAAGCAGATACAGCTTGTGGATCAGGACCCCAAACAACGATACGTTCATCATCATCGGATAATAAAAGATCGAAAATGGCGGGAGGTTCTGTGAATACCAAAGGTGGTGTCATATCATTCATATGCTGCTGCTGTTGTTGTTGTTCAGATCCAGCAATTGATACCTCCTCATGATCCAACGTAAGCCCTGATAAGGATGAAGATGCCACTGATGATGCTCGTGGTTGAAAAGTTGTCAATATCGATAAGGGTGGTGCCGTGGAAGGTCGTTCAATACGTGCTGCTCGGGTACTGATGCTCTTACTGCTCATGACCATCAAATCATTAAACTCGCTGACCACTGGAATATCAGGCAAAGAGAAATTGGGTGGTGGTGGTGATGGTGATGATGTCGATGTTGATGATGTTATTGTTGAATGATGATGTTGGTTGTCTGTAGCAACAGGAGGAGTTGTAGTCGTAAGGGGAGCAGTTGTAGCAGTAGAAGATGCATTGCTATCAAAGACTGAATCGACCAAATGGGTAATTGAAGCACCACTTTTCCTCTTTTCTCGTGTGTGTGTTGTAGATGTTCCTCCAATAGGACTACTGACAATCGATTTACTCGTGATAGAAACGAAGCCATCCTCTGCCAAGTGATTGTTGTTATTGTTGTCGTCTGATCCTGCTGCCGAATGTGAACCGGTGCTAGTGCTGATAGGCCCTTCATGGTATGCTGCAACTTGTCGTTCCCAGAATATCTTGGACTCTGTATATTCGCGTACACCAAACACGGTTGCAAGTGCTGCACGCTCACGTCCACCTTCGCTATTGTCATTCATCAACTCGGGAGGAATCAAGGAGTTGTTGCGTTTTCGGCGTGGTGCTGGTATGGCTGATTCTTGTCCAAGCGGCATCTCGGTTGTCACGGACCCACCGCCATGCTGTTGTTGGTGCTTCTCATCACCCTCATTGCCCATGCTAATACGATTGTCGCCCGTCGTATGAAATGATATGCAAACAAAGCAGTAATAAATGAGTTGAAAGAAGAAAGAGTATAGTTTGAATACGCCAAACTTTTTTTATCCACCTCCCATCATCCAAGAACCCGCGCTCCTTTGTTGCACTTACCCAAAAAGAGGTGTGTCATTTGCATTGATGTTATCAGCAGGCGTGGGACTGGGAGTATACAATCGATCCATTGTGCGTGTCCAAGGAGACACTGGATATTGGTCATGCTGCTGAAAGGGTATCGTTGATGACATGATGTCGTAATTATGCTGGGTTGTTGTTACTAGTAATAGCGGGTGTCGTCGTTGTTGTATATGCCGTTATATAAAAAAGTAGAATGCTGCATGCAGCCAAGGAAAACAAAAACACAGTGTGCGTGTGTGTGTGTGTGTCTTAGCCACGTTGAATAAAAAAAGGAATTCATCAAAACAAAAAACATGGCTTCTTTTTATATTGATCAAGGATGGTTTCACATGAGTTGTTAACCTTTTTGATGCAAATGTGCTACCAACACAGTTCAGGGCACGCGTGTTGCAGCAGCGGCATCATTCATCTCATCAACCTAATCACATCATTTTGGTTGTCGAATAGCACCACTTTTTGATCACTATTTCTCCCTTTGCCTGTACTGTACCCCCCTTTTTATCTTATGGCTATGGCGGCAAGGGAGACATGATCTTAAATGAGCAATAAGCTCTTCCATTAAACGGAGTTATCACTCCTCATTATTGATCGTTGGCTCCCGCGTGGTTTGACAATGTCACACAAAACCTGATCATTGCTCTTCAGACGAGGCACTTTTTTTATATGATGTGTACTCGGTGATCTGCAAACCTTGTACATACATTGCTAGAGCTGGGAATGTCATTCATGACAACGGCTAATGATGCTATCCAAAGAAACATGCATGGAGCACAACTATGTAACTGCTTTCTCCTAGGTGGTTGTAATACTATTGTACCATGATGAATTGCATAGCATGCAGGTGTACGTACAGCTATACAAGCCATATGGATGATCGACATTGCACACCTGGATAAGGATGATCTTTATTACGTGTCTTGTGAGTGAAAAGGTGATGTAAAAAAGGGTGGAAACAATGGGTACGGTGGTTGGGAACGTCATGATTCCAATTTCATTGTGCCTCTAGGAAGCTATATATAATGATCTCGGCTAGCCTAGGTTTCATTATAAGTCCATCAATGAGACATGCTAGTAGTATGATCACGAAACAATGAAGAAGAAGCTGAAATTATGTAGGGTCGTCATGGATACCTTGTAGCAAAAAAAGAAGATTCTGTATCCTAAAAGGAGTTGCCAGGCGACGTTTACAAGGAGCAATGAATTGCTTTTGCTCGAATGCATGTTGCCAGCAGAGCATGTACGGTATTAACAAAGATCTAGTGATGGATCATGTCCACAAACAGCTTGTCTTTTATTGTCGTAGCCAGGGAGAAAGGTTTCAAAGAAAGCTCGCAAGTGTAATTGAGTATGGCTCACACATCATCAACTCCAACCACGTTTTTAGATATGGATATGGCTTAGACCGGCATGGTGGTAAAAGTCAAACTGTGATTTTGAGATCCAAGGGGAGAGGGGGGAAGGGAGTGTTTGCATGAAGACGGTGGAATTTCCGAGTGCCGGTTATCCAACCCGCTTCTTTCTTTTTCTCTATCAAACACAAAACCATGGCAAAGGCAGGCAGAAAACGACAACAAAAAAATGCACCAGCACACAGCAACAAGAAACCCAAACGCGTTCCAGAGGATGACAATGCTACAGAGCCTGATCGCGAGGTATACACAAGCAGCTTTATTATGTTCTCTTTTAGCTAATGTAGCGATCGTTGACAGATCGAGGACAATCAAGACCATGAGTTAGGTAAATGACTGCGTTCTATATACGATCGAAGGAAAAAAGAAGGCTAACTAATACTGTTGCAGAGGTGGAAGCTTTACTCGATGACTTTGAGCAACAAGTCAAGTCATCAGCACTTGAGGAGGCTATTCGAGAAATGAAAGAAGGATCAGCAAGTGATAGTGACAGCACGGACAATGAAGAAGAAGACGAGAATGAAGCCATGAGCGAGGATGAGAGACCAGCAGATGATGGCAATATGGATGTTGATGATGAAGAACGGATACCAGATACCAAATCAGAAGACAAACCATCCACCTTCAGAGATCGATACATGGGCAAAGTAACTCAGGCTTTTAGCACAGACCTCGACAAGATTCGGCAGGTGAGCATTATTATGATAAATAGGATCTCTTTATTATCAACGAAGCTTACCACGATGACATCTAGGAACCGAACTTTGATGCGTCACAATTGACGTTGTTGATTGATTCATTAGAAGCAGGCATTGATATCTTTTCAGACTTGGAGAAGGAGATTGTCATGCGGCAATAGCAATAAATTTTAGTGGCTTGATACACTTGTACTCTCTCTCTCTTTGTCTCTCTTTCTCTTTGTGCTTGAGTGTTTGATATGTCCAGCTACGAGAAAAAAACCAGCAATCGCAAAGGCGACAATCGTAAAAAGGGCCAAGCTCACCAAAACACAACAGCTTGGAAGCCAAACAAGAATTCCAAAAAGACAAAGGAGATCAACGCCTTGCCAGTTTACGGATTGTGCCAGCGATGTACCGACGTTATCCTTTGGCGTAAGAAATACAGAAAATACAAGCCGTTGACTACTGTAAAACGATGGTGAGTTGATGATGAATACAACTTTCGAAGGATCAAAGGTTGCCCTGGATACGTCAAAGCTAATGCATAATAACTTGTGATAGCACCAACTGTCAAGAGAAGGCCATCAAAGAAGCCTACCATGTGCTTTGTGATAATTGTGCACGAGCCAAAAAAGTCTGTGCAAAGTGCTTGGAGAGCAAGGAGATTGTCACTGAGTATGTATACATACATGTGCATGTGTGGGAGGATGATGGATGATCAGAGGTTAATAGGCCTGTCATTTGTATAGTAAAAGCGAGATCAAGACGAATAAGGATATGCAACGTGAAGAGCAGGAACAAATGCGATTACTTAAAAAGATGCCATTGCGACAACAACGAAGCTACTTGAGAAAACTTGAACGAGGCGATGAAGTGCCCGAGCTCAATGAAGAAGATTTCGAAGACAGCGACTTTGACTTTGGCAGTGATTTTGACAGCGATTTTGAAGATGAAGATGATGATGATGAACGCAATGACCAGGAAAAGAAGACCACAGATGCAGTAGATGAAAAATTATCATCCAAGGCAGAAGCAAGCCTGAAGCTTTGAATAGAATTACATGTTTTTATTCCCCCAATCATCTTGTAGCATTATCTATTTGTATCTATCTATTGACCCAGATTTATAAACTTCCATCGTTTGCTCAATTCTCGTACATTTCTCCTGAATGGTAACCAAGACTCAAGTCCATTCTCGGGCACTTTCCAGGAACCCATTGGATCGTGGGTGATCGGAGTGATCTATAAAGAGCATATCCCTGTGTCAATGCCAGATCAAGAAAACCTCTAAAAAGAACTTACCATCAGCTCGGTGTGCCTTGTTTGTGCCTTTTGGGTATCCACATCACTGATTGTGAGCATAACATCCTCGCTTTCACTGTCGCCTTTGTATCGTGCTTCATCTCTAAATGATACTTCTAAAAGATCCATGGTGCCCATGTCGTCAAACTTCAATGATGGTAGGCAATCAAAGTCGGTGTATCTAGGTAGGAAAGTAAGTCATTTGAATCCCATCATCCTATAACAACAACATACCCAGTAAGTTCACATTGATCCACAGCCTCTTGTAATTCTGCTGGCATGTCTTTTTGTACCAAATGAGCAGGAACGGCTTGTCCACTACCGGCAAATAGCACATATTGTTTGGCTAATAATCGTAGATCCACATTCCTAAAAGTAGTCCATTGATCAGCACTTTGCCAACCATCATGTACCACACACCTACTTTTCCAATCCAATAATATCGATGGTGGATCGATTGTATTCGCCCATGACACGCTCCAGCTCAAGATCACCATCATCCTGGATAATGAATTCAATCTGCAAGCGTTTCAATTGGTCACTTGGTAAAGAAGAAGATGCCTGCCCACCAAAGTTGGGAAGTAAGTTCTTGCTGACATATTCCAAGATCACACGTCGTCGATAAGGGGAGGAACCAGCACTTATGACTGGAAGAAAAGATCGTGTAATCGTTGGCGGCGGTTGACTATACGTCGTTGTCAATAAAAGTTCCCTTGCAATCGTCACAACATGCATACCTTTGGAAAAAGATGTGCCTTCGATTGGATGTGGAAATGTAATCATGCAGCTTTTGGGTACTGAAATGGTGATGCAAAGGAGGTGTCAGGAACCGCATGCTTGCTTCTGCTGGGTTTTCAAAAAGTACATTGCCAAATCTATGCAAATGGGTCAGCTGCATGGTTCAAGTCATATGTAATCCATCCATCCATTTACCTTGCTTCCAAGCTGATATTAGCATGCACCGTCTCTGGTAAACTTTGCATCATGAGACGTCTAATAGCTGAATCATTCACCCAATCGTCCTTCTTTTCACTATATCGACGTATAAGCATAGGCTTAAAAAGCCACATGTGTCAACTTGCCTTTCCAAATGGTATAATCCTTTTGCAATAGACTAAAAAAACTTCTTTAGTAAGAGCATAAACCAAGAACGCGATTGTATTTACCTTTTCATCGCGTCCCAAGTTAATTCTACTCCAACCAGAATATTTGACAGTGACAGGCATGGCCTTAGCATCGTGTATAGGCGTAAAGGATAGAGTCGGCTTGTCCGATTCATTCGAAAGTTGTATATAGAGATCATCTGCTGCATCCAATGATTGAGTCGTTGTCAGGTCGAGATCCGCTAAGGTTTTGGCCAGCAACCATTTTGCATGATCAATGTCGTTGTTTGAACGTGCTGCCAATGTGAGCTACAAACAACATCCCATTTTCAGTCACTTGGAATCCCAGACTACTATTATTACAATGACATACCTTATCCTCTTGGACGGTGATAAACGCCTTGGTTTCTTTGGAGATGTGTGGAAGAAACGGCTTGATAGCATTGAGCACCTCATCGATAACGACACCTTCTTTCAATGGCGGCATGTTGATATGGTCGTTTACAATGGAAGATAGGTATTCTTTGATTTCCATGCGTGCAGCATCCACCGATCGGCTGTATCCTTCGATCATGTACTGGTTCATGTCGGCCAACACGGTAATCTGGACATTGTGCTTTTCCTCAATAGCTCTTAGCGTATCGCCATCCTCACCGATGATGAAAAAGAGCTCTTGTCGATTGGTTTTGCAATGGCGTTGCCTGCTATCCATTTTCTTTTTGATCGCCTGCTGACGCACCATTTCTCGGCTCTCAAATCCCCACACATGGCGTATGATCATATCAATGATTTGCTGCTTTCGATGTTGCTTGGATACGCGATGTTGTTGTGTCTGCAGATACTCTCGCAATTGCGGTACTGTGAACCCCTCGTTGAGCTGCTTGACAAGGTTGTCGTATCTCTCGTTGGTTAAAACATGCTGCTTCTTGCTCCTTGGACGAATCGCTTCAATCGATTGGATAAAATCGCTGGCTTGGTCATTATGCTGTTCACTGATCAACTGTTTGAAAAGACGATCGGCTCGATCGGGCTCGTTTTCTCGTACAAATCGGCTACAATGGAAATGTCGTCTTGTAGATACTCGTTTCGAAGGCTGAATGGCGTGGTTAAGCTGAACACGGCATGTTGCTGTTACCACTCGTTGCTTCGAAAAGAGTCTCCAACGCAGCATTGCCAAAAAGACTGAGGGAGAATGAAAGAGGTGGAAGACCTGTCAACAGCAAATGGCCGCAATGGAAGCAAGTCCGCACGTGGGCTTTACACCACACGCACAGCATAGCCTTTGGTCACATGATAATAAAGCAATGCTTCATCTGCAATAGCGCGAACGAATATCATGAGGGATTTGATTGTAAACAGGCCATGACAATGAAAATGTTGCAATCCATTATCTCTGGATTATCCCAAAGCTACATAGCTTTCACCCCCACCACCATTGAAGGTTAGACACCCGAATGCTGAAAAGATGAGCATCAGCAGTATCCCAAAGTTGTAGAAATGCAGTTTCCCAAAAATACAGAAAACAAGATACTCGAATTCTTTCCACGGTCTGTTACATTAGAATGTTACACACAGCAAATGCTATTAAAGAAAGCGTGTGTGTGAATTGCATGGAATCTTTTCATCGTTCCGCGGCCATCACAAGCATTCTTTGACCTTCTGCAATGGGCACATGATGATGATACTATCGCAAGTAAGGCTGTGGATGAAGCCGATAAGGTTGTACACACATGTGCAACTACTGCACAAAATGCCTCTTATACAAACAACATGGATCATGGCGATGATGTAGAGTTCTTAGATTCCCATCGTTGTTGTTTTGGTCATGTCAATGACAAAAAAGGCATCGTGTTGGTAAAGAAAAACAAATACAGACGTATCAAGATTGTGGATTGGTAGCTATCACAGGTACATGTATATATGTGTGTAGAGCAAAGAACAAGTTTTACAAGGCCACCCAGTGTGAGCAAAAGTTTCTTGATTATAGTTACATTCGAATAGTCTAAAATACAATAAAGAGAGCGGTGTACGTAGGGAGATTTTGTGTGCACATTGTACAGTAACAATGCCATCTCATGACTGATTGGCACCTGTGTTACCACTAAGGACTTGTGCGGCTTGGTTGGTCTAAGAAAAAGAACACTTTTTAGCGAACCCAATCCAAAAAAGGAGAAAAAAAGGAGACATACCTGAGCAGATGAGAAACGACGCATCTCGTTAGGATCCATAGAAAGCTTCTTGTTAAGCCCAAGCAAACGACGACCAAAGTTGCGAGGGCGTTCCATAGCACGAAGCGAACGTGTGCGGTTTGAATAAAAGCGTGCAGATGCTGAACCGGACATAACAGAGGAACGACGCGATCGAGTACCTTCTTGATGAGGCAAAGGTGCAATGTTCTTGGGACGGAAGAGACGTTGCATACCAAACTTGATTAAATCGAGTGGTGGGAACCATACAAAATTCCAAACCCATACGATACCAGCCCAAGGCCAACCACAGCCTTCAATGTTGGTAAAGCCCCAGTTGGCATAAACAGCAATGCAAGTAGCAACAATTTGGGCAACGACAAATGCCGACAAAAGTAGGGTCGATGGTCGTTCCATGAAAAAGAATCCATGAGAACGTGTCACAAAGATGAGACCTTGCGAAATGCTTGCCACTTGCAAATAGATGATCGAATGGAATACGGGATGATTTACATCATCATAGGTGCCCACACCAAACTTGGATTGGAAAAAGTTGGTCTTGTGGGCAACAGCAAAGAATGCAATGGTGGATGCTGCAAGATACAAGCCGTAAACGATAGCATAAGAAAAGATCTCAAATAGGTTCCAGCTATCTGGGAAAGGTGATGGACGCACACGATCCTTGGAAATAGTCATGATGGTACCATCATTGATGACGGCAATGATAAGAACAAGGAAAGGCGGGAAATCGAATTGGAAAGCAAAGCACATGATGGCAAAACCCACCACAATACGAATTGTCACCGAGCATGTGTAAATTGAATAATTACGCATGCGTTGGAAAATACGACGAGAGTGAATCAAGGCTTCAATGATCACTGATAAACCTGGTTCGGTCAATACAATATCGGCAGCAGAGCGTGCAGCATCCGATGCATCAGCAACAGCAACACCCACGTTTGATTTGGAGAGTGCTGGGGCATCGTTCACACCATCACCTGTCATGGCTGTCATGTGACCCATTGCTTGCAACCGCTCCACAATCTCGTACTTGTGCTCTGGATATACACCAGCAAAGCCGTCCGCTTGAAGTACCAATTCATCCACCGTTGAGTAACCTGAACCAGCTGGTGGGCCCTCCTTGAGAGTTTTGGAAAGGTACATGTTGTCACCCATACCAAGTCGACGACCCGTTTCCTTGGCAATAGCAAGCTGGTCACCAGTAATCATCTTGACTTGCACACCAAGTTCAATGGCTCGATCAATGGTCTCCTTGGTATCCGAACGAGGTGGATCGTAAATAGGCAACAAGCCAATCAACTTGAATCCCAAGCCTTCACCTTCAGGATCACCACTAGGGACTTCATCAACGGCAACAGCAAGTGAACGAAGGCCACGGCGTGCAAATTCATCAACATCATCTTCAAGCTGCTTGATTTGCTCATCGGTCTTGTCACGAGTGCATAGATCCATGATAAAGGCTGACATGCCTTTTGTTGCACGTAAAACTTTGCCATCCGATTCACGGCGATAGGTGATCTCTGTACGCTTGACAACAGGATTGAAAGGCTTAAAGTCGAGTTCTTCAATACCTTCACGAGCTTGCTTGGGATCGGGCAACGAGTTGACAATGCAAAAATCAATGGCATCTTGATTTTCGGTACGTGAAGCATAAGCAGAGATCAAAAGGATATCATCAATATCAGGTTCACCATAACGTTTCACTGTGGGCTTGTCGACAATGAGCTTGTTCAACGTTAAGGTACCCGTCTTATCCGAACACAAGATGGTAACGGCTGCCATTTCTTCAATAGCTGTAATGCGCGTAACGATGGCCTTGTGTTCAGCAAGTTGCTTAGCACCAATAGCCAGTGTGACCGACAACACCGTCGGCATGGCAATAGGGATACCACCAATGAGCAATACAAGCAAGTTGTCGATACCACGTCGATACTCGTACTTGAAAGCAGGATACATGACCAAGATTTCGACCACAAGGAAGATACCAATGCTGCACAAGCAAAAGTTACCAATGCGTGCAAGGATGGTTTGTAAATGGCCCATATCATCACCAGCTTCGCCAACCAATTTGGCAGCACGACCAAAGAAGGTGTTGAGACCAGTGCCAATAACGACGGCTTCAGCTTCACCTTGCTTGACGGTGGATCCAGAAAAGACTTCATCACCCGCTTCTTTGCCAACAGGTAATGATTCACCCGTGAGAGCAGCTTGATCAATGGATACAGCACCATGAGCTGTAATAAGACGACCATCGGCAGGTACAACATCACCGAGCTTAATGTTGATAATGTCACCAGGAACTAAACTTGCAGCTTCCATGGTCTTCCATTCACCATCACGCTTGACTTTGCATTCAGGTGCCAATGCATCCATCAAGGCCTTGACAGCATTGCCTGCTTGACGTTCTTCAAGAAAGCCGATCACCGAGTTGGCAAGCAACAGCAAAATGATACCCACAAAATCAGGCCAATCTGGTGGTCGACCACCACCATTGGATACAGCAATAGCAACAAGAGCAGCAGCTTCCATGACCCATGACAATGGATTCCACATAAAACCAAGAAATTGCAAGAAGGGGTTGACTTCCTTGGTCTCAATCTTGTTTGGCCCAAACTTTTCAGTACGTGCCGCTGCATCAGAGGAAGTAAGACCATCTAAGCTTGTCCTATAATAATAAATGTAAGTACCTTTCATCATCATGTAAGAATGATTTTCAACTTACTGCAAGAGGGCAAGCACGTCGTTCGTATCCATAGTTGACATGTCATACTTTTCCTTGTCATAGAGCTCCTCCACCGTGAGAGATTTCATATCGGGCATATCACCTTGGGGTTGTTGTTGCTTCTTTTCATCTTGAACTTCATCATTCGTGACAACTTGAGTCGACACAATCTCCTCTTTGGTATCGCCATTGGTAGGCTTTTCATTGCTTGGGTCGTCTGCCGCCATTATGCAAGAGCAAAACGATGATAGGAAAGAAGAAAAAGGGAGAAACCACGCGGGACACTTGTTTAAAGCTCAATGCAGCGGATCAAGTGATAGTGATAAAACAGGCACGATCCTGCGTGGAAAAAAGTGAGATGATAGATGGGAGCAAGAAGGTGTGATTAGAAAAAAAGGTACCTGCCGAGTAAAATGTTTGTTATATATACGACAAAATCTGATGGGAAAGTGATGCAGGTGCAGTGTATGTGTGTATGTGTCTCTTGCAACCACGAAAAAGTTTTACCCTGCTCCAAAGTGATCAGCGTACGTTCTTTTTGTCCTAAAAAGGACCTATACTGGTTCTACGTCGTGTGCGTGTGCAACTCAAAGGTGGATTGTGAAACATCCCCCAGCTTTATCTTTCTTTTTTCCATGTCGCCCCCATCCGATCAGCAGTATACGACTGAGGTATTTTACGTAAAGGGAAAAGGCGTACACAACACAAAAAGAGACATACACAAAGAGGAGATAACGACAACCATCCCTTAATAAGCAAATCACTCCGCCTCTTGTTTCCCATCACCCATACCTGTGCTCTCATGCTTTCGTCAAGTATGCAAAACACGCTGCACACAATGAAAATTGATAGCTGCTTCTGTTTTCATAGCTGATGCAAAATGCATGCGAGTCGCCGTCATTGCTACATGCTCATGTAAAAGATCAAGAGCTCTGAAGCAAGCTGCCAATTGTTCATGCATCATCATCATCATCATCACCAACAAGGAAGCTGTTGGCATCACAAAAGATAGGAAGGCGTAATGATGATCTTTCTTTTTCCTCCATCTAATCAGGTTCAAGATCATCTTACATGATACTCTCTTCACTTGGAATGCATTGATCCTTTAACGTAGATACAAAAACAAATGGCAATGAGAGGGTAATGGATCGCGATCACACACAAGATGATCGGTCTTAATTCACCCCGATCGATTGTAGCATGATAGAAATCTCAAATCCCGACCGTGTCGTCATGGCGCGTGCGCAACGGAGGTGTATGAGAGGGGGAAATCAATGATGCGACAAGTCAAGGACCATCTTCTCCCACGTGTCGAGCACATTTTTCAGCCGCCCGTGTATTGAATATCTCATATTTGAATCACACACAGAGTGCCCCTTGTCTCTTACTTCCATTCTTGATCACGCACATATACACACCATAATGACCTGACGTCATGTTGTATTCTTGTCGAGTGCCACCATGTTGAAAGAAATAATCACCTTTCGGATTCAAAAGACTACAAAGTTGGGTTGAATGAATGGCCCCAAGAAGCGAAAATTTACAATGCTATTATCTTGGGAGGGTAAACCTTTCTTAGCTTTTTACTTCGGATGGGGGGTATGTCCGGTTTCCGAATGGGAAGGTAGTTTTACCACGCATGAGGTAGTAGGCGTCCATATACACTATCAACAAGTACCACCTTCCTCTGACGCTTTTTGGACCAACACACCACACGTATGCCTTCATGGTAATCGTGATTTACACGTTCCCCCTTTCAAAAAGGGTAGATCGGATTGGCATACAGTTGAGCGAAGATGATGATATTCAATATTCCCACATCCATCCCAGACAAACATTTGCATCAGGCCCATACAGAGTTTTATCGATTGTCGTCATCATTAATGGTGCGATAACTGTCAGACGGCCAAATAGAGAGGTAATGTGGACTCCAACTCACATGTGTGCGTTGTGTGTGTGTGTGCATGCATCCGCTCAGCATTTTTAGGGTGCCACAAGAAGAGTCTTTTTTACTATCGACGGCTGATCATGTGGCGAAGGGAAAAGAAAACACCACGTTGCCACAAAGGCGTCCAATTTTAAACATGGTTTGCCTAGGACAATGAATACACCTGCATTAGCCTAAAGTTTCATATCCGAAACACAATTTACGGATTCCATTCCCCACATTGCGTAGCAAATAGCAGCTACAACGTCATGAACATGATATTGGATTGCACTAAACGAGGGAGAGGTATCCTGCTGTCATGGTTACGATTTGGAAAAGTTCGCCAACTTGTCGATGAATGCTTCCAATTCATTGTCTAGAACGCGTATGCACACAACTTTGGTTTTTGTTTTGATGCGTTTCACAAAGCACACGCCTCGCTAGGTATGTCATGATCTGCTCTCCTATAGTAGATCAGCCATTCTTTGTATTCACAAAGTCCAACTACTACTAATGTCGCTGCCATTATCCATCCCATATTTCAATCCAACTTTGAGTAAGAAAACCATGTTGATTTATATACACAATGCTATGATGTACAAGAGGTGAAATTTACTTGCTGGTTAATAAGGAGGAGGACGAGGTCAAGCTATGGTTAATGGGTGAATCCAAGCGAAGTACTGATGGTAATCGAGCCGAACCACGTGATGGAAGTAAACGCATCAAGCCAACCTCACTTTTTCTAGGCCAAATGAGCCACCAAGGATCACATTGGAATGAGATAGGTTGCATCCACCGCTCCCCAGGTCTTGACTTTAGCCGGTGTGTAGGTGTATCGTGTACCTTGTAGGAAAACATGGCTGATTGTCCATCCACGCGCTTATCATACTGCTGGGTAAGCGCATACTTAATATCCAGTTTCAGCGGCTTGCTCATTATGGAATCCAGCACCATAATGTCTGCATCGCCTGCAGGTGATTCATCCAAAAGAGATACCCGATACAAACTTGGTTTGCGTAACACCTTGGAGCTGAACATCTGGAACGACAATCCTGGTTCAACAGGGACAAAAATAAACATTGATCCATTGTTGTTCTCATGCTTCTCGAAAATCATGTCGATAGAAAACTGCCACCGAGATTCTTGATCGAAAAAGAGACGTAAACGTGATGGGCTGGCATGGCCTTTCAATGCACTGCATAAAAAGGGTGATCGCGAAGGAGGTGGTGATGATGGAGGTGGTGATGCCAGATACTCGGCAAGTGCCTGTACACCGATGTGGTATAAGCGAGTGTTCACAACGCTGATTACAAGCAGATCACGCAATCCAAGTTGACGAAGGATATGTAACACAAGCTCATTAGGGATATTGTTAAACGATGACGATGAGTCTGCTGATGATGGTGGTTGTTGTTGTTGTTGACGATAGGAGAAGGAGGAGGAGGAAAGTGATGTCAAGGTGGTGCTGTGACTATTGGATTGCAATAAAGTATTGAAGAATGTCATATCTATCACCCTTGCAAAAGGAAGAAAAGAGTAGGTGCTGGGTAATGGAGATGCAACAAAAGAAAAGAAAAGAACGGAAGAAAAAGAGGAAATCCGAGAAGGTGTGAGATAGGGTTAAAGGTGAGTGTTTCAAGCATGATGTGCTTACCCCGCATTTCATTGGTCAATGACGATCATCTGCTACCAATAGACACTCGCACCTTTCCATTGCATGGATGACACAGAGTAGTAATACAGCCAAGGAGATAGTAGTAGCCATGTGGCAAGAGCACCCAAGAATGGTCCTTCATGCATAAATCGGGGTCATAAGAGATATCCATATTAAGGACAAGCAAGGACTATAAGCAACAATGGCATACCATCAATACAAAGGGAGCAGCACTAGCACGCAAAAGGCACCCAGACATACACGAGAAAAGGGGTCCTTCTTTGCTCTTGGATCGGCATTGTCCTTCATTTTGCAACATTGTACAAGCCATCGGCAATGGAGTTCAGAGATGGAATAGCAACAGCTGTCATTGACAATAAACGTTCCTCTTCTTGCGAATCGCAGCAAATGGGTTGGGTGCAAGGTGTCTTATCATGAGTGCAGTCTTTCGGAAATGTTGTTTGACAGGCCGATAATACCAGCTCAAGAAGAAGAAAGAGCTTCATTTATCAACGTGATGACGTCCAAATGATATCGCCACATCAACCATACGCTCATTACATGTATCCAAGCATGTCAAACAATGGGGGGGGGTTGATCTATATTGGTGTCTCACTACTACGGTCTCTGAATGATGGGGAGGAATAAAGAATACGTGCTATCATCTAAGACGAGTTGAAGAGCCAAATAGATATAGTTACACATTTCCAGAAACGTCTCTCCATTCATCATGCCAATACAGCATTCTTTATTCTTTCTTGATCGCCGTCATACAACTTCTCAATTGCACGTAGTAGCATTACTTTACTTGTTATGCATGGCTCAACCATAAAGACAAAGATGAAATACAAGCCATTACTTGTAAGACGATGTATGCAATGTCGTTTTATAGAATCTAGACGAAGAATAAAGTGGATGAGTCGGCGTTATTATGCTTGCAAAGAGAAGAGAGGAAAAAGAACGTCATGGGTTGATCATGCAATTATCGTTACACAACCAATCACAGACCACCTGTGAAACAATGAATGCTGTCATCATGATGAAATGACACGCGGTTATAAAAGATGCTTTGATTCATCCATGTTATACCCTATCTTTCATACCACACACATCCACGAAAAAATGTTTGCACGTAATTTGATTGTTGCTCGCCCCGCCGCTCGCTCGATCTTGTATAATGTCCAAGTATGTGTAGTATGCTGCATGCGTTGTTATTACAATGGTATTCTTTTATTGACCCTTGTTCAATTTCGATCTTCAGAGAAATAAGAGCACCTTCGAAAAGGCAAAAGACCTTGGCCATGATGTGAATCTCAAAGCCGGAAAGGGTGCTGAAAAAGTATTCGAAAAGGTGAAGCAAGCCACTGGAAAAGCTGAAGGATTCACAGTGAGTAAATCCAACTATTGAATCCATATAGATGCTGATTTCCTTTCCCCTACTATGTAGCATCATCCTGGTCAATCAGTCAAATCAGCAGCTGAAGAAGCCAACCTAAAAACAGGTCAAGGATTGGCCAAAGGCATTGAAATGGCCGAGCACGCTGCCGAGAGAACAAGAGAAGCTGTTGGTCTAGGCAAAAAGAAAACGCAAGAAGCAGCTGAAAAAGTGCAACGTGATGCTGAAGGAATGCGACGAGAAGCTGAAAGCCAATTTAGCGAGTTTCAACATGAAGCTAAAGGCAAAGCTAAAGAGTTCCAACATGAAGCTGAAGGAAAGGCCAAACAATTCCAACATGAAGCTGAGGGTGCAGCAAAAGAGGCAGAGAGCAAAGCTCGTCAAGCTTATGAGGATGCCAAAAAGAAGTTGTAGATTTATAGGTGTATGGTCAATTGTAAATACATGTTTATTGTCACCCCATCATAAAAGCAATGCATGTATATAATGTGTATCCATGTTGTTGGGTAGGCCATGTTTCAGTTGCTATGTATTGGATCAGCGCTTGGGTCGCCATGGCACGCGTCCTGGAGAAATGGGTCGCGTCTATAATGTGGTCGCGTTTCTTCGTCCGCTATCCACATTGTCTTTTCCTTTTTTTCTCTTTTTGAACTGTACTTTCTCTTTCGCTCTCTTTTGCTCAACGTTCTCCTTTATCACCTTATATTCGACCGACGACTCGTTTCCCTTTTTACCTAAACCTCCCTGGCATTGGCCATCACCACCATGGGTATAAAGAACATTGATCTCCTCGACGAGCCCTTTCCAGATTTATTTTGCGGCGTATGCCAAGGTGAACATGACCTTCCAATCAGACTTGACTTTGCAGCATGTTGCTAACCCAATCTTGCTATCGATGGTAGACATCCTAGAAGATCCTGTTCAAGTACACTGCCCTGAAGGTAATAAGCAAGCAACGCGGTAGTTAAAGCGATGATAGTGTTGTTGACTAGGATGTCTTTTAGACCATATCTTTTGCAGCAATTGTATCAACAACTACACAAAGCAGCAAGCCACATGTCCAGTTTGCCAAATACCTGTGGATCCATCCAAGTTTCAATCATCCAAGTTTGTGCAGCGTCAAATTGGTCGACTACGTATTCGATGTCCTTACCATCAATCTGGTTGTACATGGCAAGGGTTTTTCTCTGATGATCATCCACGACAGGTACGTAATATAGCCATTGAGTAAGGAGAGAGGATCGAGCTAATCACATGATTAACTTAGTGTGCTTTCGAACCAGCTGAATGTCCAAATGCAAATCGTGGATGCAAAGAGCGTGTACAACGAACCGAGATTGACCAACATCGTGCTCGATGCCCTTTCGAATTGCTGACGTGTCCCAACTTGATGCCATTATGCGAACCTTATCTACGCAAAGACAAAGACATCCATGAGAAGAATTGTCGATCTTATCCATGTCATTATGGTCTATCTGGATGTCCTTTTGTTGGTACTTTGGTCGAGGTGAATGCTCATTGTGAGATCTATTGCGGCAAATTACATCAACGCTTGAAGGAATTGGAAGATGAATGTGCACGTTTGAAGAAGATTGTATCCAACTACGAGAATGGGAACGAGATGCAGGCATCTAAGCAATCTGCTAGTGCACTTGACGATATGGACTTGTTACAACAAGTACTCAACAATGATGATTATCTCAACTTATTGAATGCAACACCCGATAGCAAACCTGTTGATCAGCACCCAATGCCGGCTACAGCACCGATTTCAGGATTACAACCAACACCCAGTAACATGTCTGATTTGATGGATTTGAGTGATTGCTTAACACCTGCTCCTATCAATCCAAGTGGAACACCTTCTCTCGCTACTATTCCTAAACGCGCACCCAATGGAAAGATCATTCGCTACAGCAAAAACGCTCGACTCGCTCAAAGTGCACGACGCATGGCACGTCAACAACAAGCACAAGGTCTTCACGAACTTAGTCCTTTTGATGCTTTATTGGAAGAATTGGATATCAGATCCCCCTCATCCATGCATGCCTTGTCACCACCACCACCACCTCCTCCACCAACGTCGGCAGCAGCAACACCTTTAACCAACAATAATCGATTTACACAATCCTCCTCCTCCCAAGCCAACAATCCATTCTCTTTTAAGAATCTCGACGATGTATCAAAGTTTTTGGCTGATTTCCCCGAACCAGTGCCTAGTGAAGACGATACCAGGAGTAAAGAGTCGACATCTCGTTATCCACCCTCACCTTCTTCCAAACAACTATCTTCACAACAACGCAAATCGGGAACCGAAAGGAAAAAAGCATCCATTTCGACATCAGTTAGATCACCCAAGGCTGTCACATCACCTTCTCCTTCAAATCATACTTCTCCATCCCCGGCTGGAAGTGCGGCTCCAAAGCGCAACATGTTCGTACTCGCCTCTTCTTATCTCACCAACTATGGAAACAACAACAACAACAACAACACTAGTAGTAGTAGTAATAGTAACAATCGATCCACCTCTAATAATGCATGATTTCCAGATACACTAGGCTCTCCACTCCCCACCCACCTTGCACTTTGTACATAACATTTAAATATTATTGTGCAGGGTTCAATCCCGCATCCACACCCTCCCTTTGATAAAGATAACACTGCATTACTCTGATAACTTTGATATAGCGAATATGCTTTGTTAATTCGTAACCAGGATGGGCACATTTATATACAGCTTCAAAAAGTATCACACATATCTTGTCGAGGGAGTCGCTATCATTTGGAATCGCTTGACGTCCTAACGCTACCATCTTTCCGCAGATCATCAAAATAGGGATCTATAAAATGGGCGTGGTTAAAATTACTGAACGTCGATACTACACTTAAGACGATGATACTCACGGTTCAGTGCATCGTTTGCAGTGATACGTTTCTCGGGTGGATATTGAAGAAGTTGCTATTTGAAAGAATCAGCACACATGTCAAGTCATTTCATGTCCACCACCACTTACTTTTAACAGATCGATGCCTAAAGAGTCTAATTTGGGTAATAACGTCTCGATGGGCACGGGTGCAAATAATTCGAAATCACGCTATACACCGTTGTCAGCACACAGTTTCATTACATGCTTCGGATTGCGTACCTTGTATTCCGGTAATTGTGATACACCAGGCCATGTTTGATCAGTTGGTGTCCCTAATACCTTGAAAATACGTTGCAATTGATCGGGAATAGAGTTGCCAGGGAAAAGGGGTCGACCAGATGCCATTTCTTTTCAAAGCAAATATACGTTAACATCGATGTGGACCGTATCCCTCTTGAAAAACACACATACCTGCAAAGATGCAACCCGCAGACCAAAGATCAATGGATGTTGAATATTGGCGAGAGCCCATCAAGACATCGGGTGCACGATACCACAACGTAACGACCTATATACATACAAATGGGTCACGTGATACTTATAGCTTATCCCATATATATACTCCACTCACCTCGTGCGAATAGCTTCGAACAGGAATACCAAAAGCACGTGCAAGACCAAAGTCACCAAGTTTAAGTTCTCCTTTCTAAAACACATATCGCTTAGTCCTATACCAGCTTGATCCACCCCCACCTCCATCCTCTGGTCTTTACCTTATTGATCAACAAGTTCTGGGGTTTTAAATCCTAGTACATTCACATGTCAGCTAAAACGTATCATCACGACCATCTTAACTTACTCTGTGAAGTACTTTGTGATCATGACAAAAAGCAATGCCTTTCAATAGCTGATACATCAATTGCTGTACAGGATCGTCGTTAATTACCGAGTCAAGTTATAAGAATGACATAGACTTACCTTGATCGTTAGGACATCGATATCACCTCCATAGGAATCGAGAAACTTTTTTAAATCAGAATCCAAGTATTCAAAGACCAATGTGAGCTTCTTTTCGGTATGGAGCACGTCATACAATCTAATATGGCGATAGTGATGAGCAAGACTTGAGGATCATGTCGCATAAATCATTCAACCCACCTAACGATATTGACATGCTTGAGCTCTTTGAGAAGCGAAATTTCCCGAATGGCAGTACATGGCACCTATTGAAGGAGGATGGAGAGGAGGGCATTGATAAGAAAAGAGTTGATACAAAGCGAGTTTATTATGCTTACACCCTCTTCCTCGTTATCCAGTCGAATCCGTTTCAATGCAACAACTTCATTCGTATCGCGATTCTGTGCCTTGTATACAATGCCGTATGTGCCTAGGATAACAGATCCATGTTAGCGGGTTGCTTGACACCAAGATGAAGCACCGAATCAGGCTCCATTTGTTCATCAGGTACCTTCACCAAGCTTTTCTATTTTCTGTAAACCGAATGCGAGTTAGCAAGCGATGCCATGCTGATTGAGGGATAATGAACGGGAAGGGCTTACTTGATATTTGTCCATGCTTAAAGGAGGGAGGGAGAGAAAAAGAAAATGAGAGCGAGAGAGAGAAAGGAAGATCCAATATGTGCAACCCGAAAATTAGGCTTGCGGAAAATGCCAGAGCGCTACAGCCAATTTCTTTTTCCACTACACACCTTTATGCCTCCAGCAATCAACAACGATCTCGACCCACTCCATGTACCGATCATACTCCAAAAAGAACCCGATTTCGTGTGCCAATATGAGAACTGTGCAAAGTCATTCAAACGCAAAGCAAAACTCATAGAACATGAGCGAGTCCATACCGGGGAGGTGGGTATCTTGGAAGTTGCTACTGCTTGGGCTCGTTGATACGACTTTTTCATTGACAACCTTTCACCAAAAACATAGCGTCCTTTTGCATGCACCTATCCTGGATGTGATAAGACGTATCGCCGATCAACGCATTTGACAGCTCACGTTCGTACGCATGAACCCGAAACAGCACGTCCATTTCATTGCTCGCACGAGGGTTGTACAAAATCTTTCCAAAGTCGATCGCATTTGAATCGTCATGAAAAGACGCATGGTGAACCAACATTCAAGGTATATGAAATCACGGTATCCATGGCAACAAAACTAAGCAACATGGTTCTATCTATCTAGTGTACATGGGAAGGATGCACTGAGGCATTCACCAAGAAATTCCAATTGAGGCATCACATGTGTACGCATACTGGCAAGAAGGCTTTCCCTTGTACATTCGAAGGATGCGACAAAAGCTTTCCTACTGGATCTAAGCTTCGACGCCATGAAACAATCCATTCGAGTAAGTCATCTATGTGAATGAAGGGACAACTCGCTGATAACATGGGGATGCGTGCATAGACAAGCCTCAATACATGTGCAGCTTTTCGGATTGTGACGCCAAATTTGTCAAATGGTCAGGCCTGCAACACCATATCATGAATGACCATCCTGTCACTTGCAGCTTTTGTGACCGAGAATTCGATCGGCAAAGTCGCCTCACTCGCCACATTAAACGAAAGCACATCAAACGAGATCCTGTTCCTTGTGCATGGCCTGGTTGTGATCAAACCTTTTCATCGGTAAGTAGGTTGGTGGTGGTAGTGATAGTTTCGTCAATTGGTTGCTCACAAGGGATCTTTTAGAATGCAAGCATGAAAACCCATATTCTTTTATTGCATGAGCGCAATACTCGGTACAAGTGCAGTTTTGAAGGATGTGACAAAGGATTCCCTTACAAGTCGATCCGTGACAATCATGAAAAGTCTCATCAGGTAATGCTTCTAAAAGTGGATGAGAAGGAGGAGGAAGAAGAAGAAGAAGAGAGGAACTGATTTAGCGCAATCACAGAGAATACGTGCTTCACCCAAGCGTAGCCGTGAACCCAAAAGGACGATTCTTGATGAGATCACTGGATTTAATTACGCTGGCGAAGGCTCCAAGCGATCAATACCCTGCCCGTTTGACAATTGCAATTTTATGTTTATCCGCAAATACGACTTGGAACGGCATCTTCAAAGCACCGTACATCAAGACGACATGGACCTCGTGGAGGAGGAAGACGAGGAGAAGCAAAGAAGGCACAAGAGGATACACGTTGAGGACATTTCGGATTTAATGGAACAAGACAACCCGGAACACAATGAGACATGCATATATTAGTTGAACCATGAATATCGCGCCCTTTGTACATTACTTTGTTAGACTAGCACCATCGAATCTCTAATATATCCAGCGATGCTTTAGTGGCTCACTTGTGTGACAATTATAAAGGAAGGGGAGAGAGGGGGGAGCAAGTGTAGCAAAGCACAGCAAAACCTAGCCAATTGTTCATGTCGTGTAACACGAAACACATCCTTGGAACATCGCATAAATCACAGCACACGATATCTTACATGCACGTGAATCTCTTGACAACTTGCTTTATTTTCCCATTTTTGTAAGACATAAACAACTGGAGACTTTATTCAAAAGACAAAGAATGTATAAATTCGTATATACAATAGTACTTTCATGGTCTCATTGTATCACCTAGCAAGCAGAGCCAAAGAGACGTTCACCCCAAAGGAATATGCCTTCGCGACTTGTGTAACCTCGGAGATAGGGTATGCCTCGGTAACGGACGACCTTCCAGACACACACACAAAGAGTGCATATAAAGAACTCGACTAGAGCTCGATGATAGATCATTGTCTTTTTTGAGCACTTTAATGATAAATGATATGACTCGTCCTATGCCGTATTGATCATTCTCAAATCGGTGATCGCTGTTCTTGAACTAAATTGATGCCGCTCATCATCACCACCACAACCCCCCGTATTCATGATCCTTTGATGATAGGGCACCGTGTCACGAGAAAAGGAAAAGGGATAAAGCCACAAAGGTGGCAGGATGAATGGATAACATTGTAAAGAAGCGGGAAAGCACGGTAGATGATGACTTGAGTCATATGAAGAACCAAAGTAGAGTGAGAGAGAGCGGAAGTGATGAGAGAGAGAATGAATCGCTTTAATTTATCTCGGCATACAACTCCTGTGCATATGCTGCTGCCAAGCAGGCCTTGACCAAGTTGTACAACTCTTCCCTGTTCTCTTTTCTTTTTCTTTCCTTGTCCACACCTTTCAAAGACAGCATGTCAACGACACAATCAACTCCACATTTACAACGACGACGATCGAGTAGGGCTGCTCCGGGCGAGAAGTTTGATGGTGAGATGTCTGCCACAAGGCTACAGAGAGAATGCAACAGCCACTCACTCACTCACTCACTCATGTCACTTTTAGACTATATCATTCGTCGTAAAGCCGAGATTGAGCAAGAACATAAACGCATTTCCATTTATACAAGTCCACTCTTGGTCAGCTCGTATTTTATCATGTTTGCATATTACGAAGCTCGAGCAACTATCAGCTTCCTTTGCAGCAAAGGCAGAGTCACTGTGGGTCTACTTGCAGCTGTCGCCGGCATGATATACATTGCTTATCAAGTCCAAGGCCCGCACCAACAGGTAGTAAAGCAATGAACACATTGTGTGTATAGCTCTTATAGCTCACGGTATCTATTTTATCAGTTTATTCATGAGCTTGGACGAATCGCATTGTGGTACGGTTACTGGGTGCTTCTGGGTATTGCTTCCGCGTTTGGATTAGGCACAGGACTACACACGTTTTTGCTTTTCCTGGGACCTTACATTGCCGAAGTAACAAGGGATGCATACCAATGTCAAGGAGCTGATTTCTTGGTGCGAGATCCCACAACGTACGTTTTATTTATGGGGGGGATGATGGTAGTAGATAGGGTCTAACAAAGGGTAAATAGCTATCGATTGCATTGTCCAAGCGATGTGTCCGTATCGGCAACAATGGCAGCAGCTGTATCACTATGGGACATCTTTTCAAAGGTGCGATGGGAAAGCTTTGCATGGGGGGCAGGCACTGCTCTTGGTGAGCTCCCACCATATTTCGTTGCTCGTGCTGGTAAGGAGGAAGACAAAGAGAGATTGTGGAAATGGTTCAGGAGAAACAACAACGGAGATGAGATCGCTAATGATGAAGATTCTAGTTGCACTCTCTGGCGGAAAAAGTGAGGAATTGGCAGATTTTGAGGCAGGCTTGGAAAAATCGGCTGAACAACGCACGTTCAAGGAGCAGTTGACCTATTGGCTTTATCATGGCATGAAGCGACTCGGATTCTTTGGCATTTTGTTTTTCGCCTCCATCCCAAACCCATTGTTTGATTTGGCTGGTATCATTTGCGGCAATTTCTTGGTGCCATTTGCCACGTTTTTTGGTGCAACATTCTTGGGCAAAGCATGTATCAAAGCGTCTTTACAGGTAAGCATTGGAAGAAGATACGGGTATAATGGATATCTTAACTCATTTGAACTTTATTGTTGTAGTCCTTGATTGTCATTCTTGCATTCTCCAACGACACGTTAAGCGTCTTCCTCTCCACTTTGCAAAAGAAAGCACCAGCCATCCATGTCATTGTTGAACGCATTATCCATGAACAAGCACATAAAATTGGCAAGGGAGAAGATGACTTTGGACAGGAGCAGGTAATACAATAGATTGATTGGGGGAGGTGGTGTATTCATTGGATAGAGACCTTGCTCATTGATATTGATGATGATAGACAAACATTTTCGGGATTGCATGGAACGTGTTCCTTTCATTGATGGTGTGCTACTTTGTTGTTTCCTCGATCGAATCACTTGGATTGGCTTATATGAAACGAGAACACCAAGAAGAAATGAAGCGCCTGGAACAACGACGCCAAAACAAGCGATCTCAAAAAAGCGATAAGAAACGGAGCTCTCCATAGTAGTACTTTAATACTTTACCTTGCACACTAATACCACTGCCCTTTCCTGTTGTACATCATCATTTGCTAGATTATTAGACCAAACCTCTTCGAGATCCAGATTGTTCCCCAATCCATCATACATTCGTAATACTGAGCATCTCTCTCGATCCTGTACAAACAATGCTAATATAATCAAGAGCTGATCAAATCGCCTTTTTTCTTGTTTCATTGTAGAGGTGCTCTTTGTAAACATGTTCTTTGTAAATGTGATGTTGAATTTGCGTAACATGGCAGGATCTTGCCCAATCGGTTGAGCTACATGTAGGACATCCCATTCTTCGGTACATCCTCGGAGGAAACGCTCTCGTGGCCCGAAGCATGAAACAAGGTTGATCATTTCTCTCTTAACTCAAAGATTGTCCTTGACCATGAAAGTAACTCCCGATAGCACACTCAAATTGTCATTGGTATTTAGCAAATTGCCATGATACCCTTATGTATACCATCAACGCTTTTACGTGTAGAAAATAAAGGTGGTGGCAGATCCTATCAAAGAACCGGTCTTAGTAGTGTCATAGGGAATGGCTGTATGGCTACTTTAAGCATCATCACATGACCCCATACGCTGGGGATTTGATGCAGAAATTCTAAACATCAAACGATGATGCCTCACAAACCGAATGCCATATGCTTCATTGCATGTGGCCATTTATATCATTGCACATCCTACGGAGCTTACATGGGAGAACACAAAACACAGATCAGTTCACAACTGCGCTGGTGGAGGTGATGTATCACGCGAGGATGAAAGAAATATGAAGGTTTCATTGTTGTATTTCTTTCATTATCCTTCTTGTATTTATTATTAAAGCTGTTGGCAGGATGATCTTCGCTATGCCATTCGTGGTGTTATTATTTGCTTCCATCTTTATACAACTTGTTGCTGCCGGTGGAACAGGCCCTGGTGGACCTGGAATAGCCAGCATTCCTGACGAGTACAATAAAGGATGGTGGAATAAAACATACCACCCTATAGCCCCACAACAAGTTCACTTGTCTTGGCTATCAGATGGCACCGCTGCACGCTTGCAATTTGCCACAACCGATAAAGTGGATCGAGTTCAGCTCATTTATTGGCCATTGTACCACAACAATGAAACAACTTTGCTCGAAGAACCAGAACAAGTGGGTCATTGTTATGTACCAAATCTCCGTGGTTCGTGTAGTTGACAAGAAGTCTTGTGCATGTTTGTTTTAGGCTGGCCCTTTTATTGATCCAGGACCTGCAAAACGCATCCAATACCTATATAATTTCCGAACAAAGGACCTTGCACCTTCGACTCAATTCCAGTACAAGGTGGGCGCATTCAAAGATAACGTTTCCTTGTGGTCGGACATCTATGAATTTCATACCCCTGATTCCAATGATGATTTTCGATTCATTGCTACTGCTGATATGGTAAGAGGAGGAGTAACAAGATCATCATCATGTCAAAACGAAAATGGTGACACAACCCCAAAATTCTTGGATGTAGGGTATCGTCAATGCCGTGTCAATGCCAATCCTTAAGCAATTGGTACGCGAAAACGAATATGATTTTCTAGCAATGATGGGCGATCAGGTTTGTGTGACAAACATGCTGTCAATTATATATGCGATGATAGCTAATAACGCATGTTGAAATAGGCGTATGATCTCGCTGATATGGATGGCACTAAAGGAGATGAGTACCTGAATTTTGCTCAAGATGTGTATGCACAAATGCCTGTTTTGACGACACCAGGGAACCACGAGAAGCATTATAACTTTACTCATTACAAACGTCGATTCAACCACCTGCCTTTTAACGAATCCAACTCATCAACGCCTATGTTGTATTCCCTTGACTATAAATCCATGCACCTGGTATCGTTTTCAACCGAGGCTTATTTTAGCAATGATACGAACGAGCTGCAAACAGCATTACAGTGGCTCGAACAAGACTTAAAACGTGCCAATACCATGCGTCACGAACGACCTTGGCTCGTCGTCATGGGCCATCGTCCTCTTTATTGCACTCCACGCAATGACAAGGATTGCTCGTGGAAAGCTGATCTCCTTAGGCATGGTCTTTTATCAGCCGATAACACAACACGTACTACATTGGGAATGGAGGACCTTTTCATCAAGTACAAGGTGGATTTGTATTTATGGTAAAGTGATTTGCAGAGTTGTATTGGGTATTTCATCTTATTGAACGATGTGGATGGACACATGTAGTGGGCACAAGCATGGTTACGAACGCAGCTTTCCTATTGCAGGCAACAAAAAGATGGCTGACCAATACCACAATACCCCATCCTATTTTCAAGTTATCACTGGCAATGCCGGCAACTTTGATGGACCCGATCCTGTTGATATCACCACGCTGAGAGAGGATTGGTCTGCCAAGTTTTACCCAGGTTATGGATTGACTTTTGTGTCTGTAAGTCCTACTGGACTCAACGTATCGCATTGGGAATCAAGAATCGATGGCAAAAAGGGTGTCCAAATAGATAATGTTATCGTAACAAAGGATCCAACGCTATAACTAAAATGAACTTTTATTCCCACCAAAGATGAAGTTGCTAATAAAAAGGCTAATATGGATAGCATCAATCAACGATTGACATAGTTGTATCTATGATGAGTGACAACATGTAGCTTTGTTTACCTCGCATTGTACACCATAAGCTAGCCCATTTGTGCACTCAACAAAGAAGCGGACTTTTCAAGGAACAACGGGATACGCTTGAGTTATTGCCTTTCTTTCCTTACTTGACCGGACCACACGCACACCCACTTGACGATGGCACTCTTCAGCAATGCGCTCGATTTAAAGTGTCATTCACAACGCCCCACACCCAAACTAGCATTCTGCAGTTTCGTCGCGTCAGCAAAGTCCTCAGAGGTGCTTGCACAGTCGGGTCACTTGGCCGTCTCAGCTCCGTCCCAGATCATTGGCCGATTCCAACAGCTCAAGACCTTGTCCCATGATAACCTTTGCGAGTATGTGGAGATTCATAGGGGAAAGCATGGTAAACGATCAAAGCCTTGAGTGTCTAAATGAGCACGAGAAACGTTAACGAGCTGTTACCTTTTCTGCCGCAGACAGGCTTTTTGTGGTAACCGAGTACTATGATCAATCTCTTCAAGATATCCGCAATACACAATCCTCCCCTGTCAGGTACGTTTATAAAAGGAGAATAGGATGATAAAGGACTCACCAAAGTGGTATACCAATAGCATAAGCACCTTACGACAATACGCATGGGAGATCTTTTCAGCGCTCGCTTACCTTCAGCAACACAACATTATTCATGCCGCCTTGTCACCGCATAATGTCATGCTCACAGATGATGTACGTGTGTCTTCAAAAGGTCTCTGTGATAGGATCCTAATTCACTTTATAGAATCACATCAAACTTTGTGGCTATGGTCTCTATCACATGACTGGACACACTGTCGACGTCGAATTCCCAATAGGGTATCCAAGCTACATGTCACCAGAATCAATCCTTGATGAGAATCCCCCATCGATCTATCATGATAAGGTAAGTGGATATGCCGCATATGGATATAGCATAGATAGCTATACTAATACCCTTATTCAAATAGCGAGATTGTTGGGCAGTGGGCGTGATGCTTTTGGAACACTATTGTCGTAGCTCATTTTGGACAACATCGGACGTGGGCCTCATTTTCGACTCGCTAGCAACCTTGAATGAATGGGCCAATGAAGACAAGACGCATGAACAAGCGATATGGAACCATCCGGATATTTCCACACTTGACATTAACAAGGATGTCCTTTCGTTTTTGCAAGGAAATGGGGAGATTGATGATAGCGATTCAGACATCCATATGTTTCGCCAATTTATACTCGATTGTCTCGAAATATTACCTTCACGTCGCCCCACCTTGCAACAAATACTTGCACGACCCATGTTCAATGCTATGAAGGATGCAACGAATCATCATCCTTGGGTATCAGCGCCGATCACTGCATCCGACCAACTTGATCCTGAACGCGAATCGCCATCGAATGAAAAGCCAGCCGATGTTCTCAGTCAGCTTCCAGTATCGCACATTTATCATTTATGGCGTTTGGCTGGAGGAGATGTAGAACTCAACTTGGTCAAACGGGGTGTCTTTTTATCCATGCCAGTGATTGAACGACTCCCTCGTGTTGGATTTGTGGATAATGGTACTGAGATTGGCTCTGTCACGGTGGATACCACACAACTGTACAGCGACACAATGCACATTTTGAGTTTCAAGGAGCTATACCAACGCTTGGAGGAAGGCAAACGATCTGAACAACGATTTGAATGGGATACGGATTATTTCACTGTTGTGGATGAAAACGATGTCAACTTTTTGGCGGATGGTATCAAGGAAACAATGACCTTTGATCATGAAGAGGACGACTTGGATGATGATCTCATATTCAATGATGAACCAGCACCTCTTGCAACACCCGCTTTTGGTAATGGTCCATTGAGCAGCACAATGACAACGAGCCCTACAACACCATCGACATCACGATCTCTGAACAGGACGTTTTCTCTCACAAGCATGACGCGATCACGGTCCTCTTCTTCACTCTCGGTCGGCACACCTCCACCTTCCACTCCCACACTACCAACACAACCTTCGATTCCACCAAGACGACCCTTATCTTTACGAGAACAAGATGTCAATTATCAACATCATCGACAATTACTCTTTAGTCAACTATTACGCCAATACCCTGCATCACGCAAAGAGATTTTACATCATGCCAAAGTCGATATACCACCCGTACTACGAGGCAAGATTTGGGCAGCTATACTTGGTGTACGAGGAGACATTCAATCAGAATACGACAAGATTGACAAGTACAATGACATCATTTCGGATCGTCAGGTAATATAAAACCACGTGGGAGTTACATTCATCATGTTTTGCTGACAAAGGATCCTATTTAGATTGATGTGGGTAAGCCTTACTTGATAACAACCCTTTCATTTGTATTGGTATACGAGTCAACTAACTATTGAAATAATAGATGTGCCACGCTGTCACCAATACAATCAACTACTTGCTTCATCAGTGGGTCATGATAAACTACGTCGTCTCTTGAAAGCATGGGTATCCTCCAACAAGAGCAAAAACTGGGTTTATTGGCAAGGTAAAATCTACTCTCTTTGTTTGGGGTGCGTACATTCGATTGATCCATCCGCTTTATTATAGGGCTGGATTCCTTGTGTGCACCTTTCCTTACGCTCAACTTTAATGATGAGGCTGTTGCGTTTGAATGCTTGCAAAAGTTCATTCTCAAGTTCCTCAACAACTTTTTCCTCAAAGACAGCAAACCCGTGCTCGATGATTATTTTGCAGTGTTTCGGCATTTACTCAGTTTCCATGACCCTGAACTCTCTTCCCATATTGATGCTATTGGTTTTATGCCTGATCTATATGCCATCCGGTGGTTTTTGACCCTCTTTACACGTAAGCACTAACACCGTTGGATTGATGTAATCGATGCTCACTCAATGCTGGTATAGATGTGTTTCCATTGGATAAGGTTTATCATTTGTGGGACAAGTTTGTTGTGGGCCCTGCATCGCTTCCTTTGTTTGTTGGTGTCGCCATCTTGCGCCAGATCCGTGATGACCTTCTCAAATATGAATTCAATGGCTGCATCTCTCTTTTTTCGGAAAACTTTCCAAAGATCGACATTGAACGATGCATTCAAAGCGCCATGAATATGTGCAAAGTGACCCCACCGAGTATTGTAGCAATGCAACCCATTAGTCCTAGCCCAACACCTGAGGTACTTTTGACAGCGTGTATAGTGAGGGGATACAAGAGTGTTAATAGTAGGTTTTTGTTTAGCCACAACAGGATTGGTGGGACAAGCCATTGTCTATTGACATTCGAAAGCAAGAACTCGCACCACGGATAGCCATGAAGGATTTCCCAAAGATTGCACCCTATACGCTCGTACTGGATATTCGATCGGATAAAGAGTAAGTACAGAGCCAAGGTAGCATCCATGCCTATATTCATGATTGACCATTTTAGCTTTGCCAATGGTCACGTGGTCTCTTCAATGAACGTACAAGCACCACAGCTCCCAAGTTATGCATCGATACTGAAAAAGTTGAATCGGAAATACCATGTTGTCGTTGGGGATGACCAAGAAGCCCCTCAGGTATATACTTTGTCGCATGTGAAGGTCCAGCTTTGCTAACACGGGTTAAAACAAAATCAGTTTGCCACCGAACTTTTACAAGAGCATCGATTTCCAAGGACGGTGGTCTTACATGGGGGTATTGAAGCTGCCGAGAGGTATTACAAGAATACCGGTAATCGACAATTATGTACTTGCCGTCCACAAAAACAAACGACAACCAGCTACAAAGGCAAAGGATCCGAACCACCTTTTGTTATTTGGCGTTGCAAGGTACCCACACCTTTGTATAAGCGATAGTAGTAATATCATGATCAATAAAGGATGGGGTGTCTCTATTTATTCAATTTCTTTTCAACTTCTTCAGCAGCATTTTCTACCTTTTTGATACCATCATCAACGTAACCCATGGCATGGTTGGTTTCTTCATCTGCTTTGCGACGAATTTCCTTTTCTTGTCCACTGAACTTGGCTTTGGCTTCATCCACCTTATCACCCACTTTGGTACGAGCAGCATCAAAGTAGCCACGTGCCTCAGCAGCGGTATCGGTTGCTGTTTCCTTTGCATTGGCAAGGGTATCACCCACGCGTGTCTTTGCAGCATCCACATAGCCTCTTGTCTCTGCAGCCTTATCCACGACACCTTCCTTGGCTTCATCCACCTTATCACCAAGCTTGGTACGAGCAGCGTCTACATAACCACGCGCTTCAGCAGCCTTGTCTGTTGCACCCTCCTTGGCTTGATCAATGGTGTCGTCAACTTTGGTTCGAGCAGCATCCACATAGCCACGTGCCTCAGCACTAGCATCATCAGCAGCTCCACGAACTTCTTGCACCTTTTTGTTCCAATCCGCTTTTGCTTCGTCAGCCTTTTCAGATGATGCTTGTTCAACATCCTTGATAGCACCGCTCACTTTGCCTTCAGCATCTTTCAATTTATCTAACGTGATGGATTAGAATTGCTATGTACACCCCTGTAGTAATAGTAGTAAAGAACATACCTTTGCCATCATCTCTTTTGTAATAATAAAATGCACCTGCTGCAACAGCAAGTGCAATTAGGAAACTGGTATTGTTGCCGCTCTTGCCTTGCGTATTCGATGATGATGAGTTGAAACGATATTGATGGTGCTGTTGTTGTTGTTGACGACGAGCAGCTGTTGAAAGACGTTGGTAAATCGATCTTGAAAACATTATTGATGAATGAGTGAAGAAGAAAAGAGGTGTGTGCATATGAATGTATTTAAAGGTTTCAAGTGAAACCCTTACAGCATGTCTATGTCATGAAAAGGTCTCTCTCCCACCCCCCAGAAGAGGAACGTAAAAGAAGCAATCATCATCAGTCCATTATAAAACGACTACTGTAAGTGAATGATAAATGCAAAATGCTGTCATAGTGATGTATATGTGTATCCACACCCCACCCCCAACCCAATCATTGGATCGCCGATAAGAAGAAAGGGTGATGGTGGCTGCATCGATCGATATTGTTCCATGGGTGAATTACAAGTTGTCAGCTCTCGGTATCATCGTTTCTACATTTCGTTGGTTGCCTCAGCGGCTGAGTATCAACTGGGATTGCTCTTGGATTGTCGCTGATAGAACAAAGCGCCTGGGTTGAGGAGGCAACAAACCTGCTTTATTCAAGACTTACAAGAGGTTCTTTCTCCTTTTCGATCAATGAATGCTCATGGAGCTGCTGTTTTCTCTCAACAGGCAAGTGACATTGCTTTATTCGTATATTTTCTTTTTATCTAATGTACCTTGGCTATCTATCTAGCTCGGAACCGTGGCAGCAGAAGCTTCCAATTTCCTAAAGCACTTTGCATCGGCATCGACAACGAGAACGCCCATCTCGAAACGATTGTATCATGCACAACGACTTTCTATTGGCAATGTAAGCAAGAGAGAGAGAGAGAGCCCATGGCATGGGGTGAACATTGAACACTGACCTGAGCACCATGTTAGATCCGGGGACCTATCGGAAAGGCCGATCTGGATCGTGCAGTTGCTGATGCGACCTTGTTGTTGAAGGCTCACCCTCGTATTGCAACCATGACAACAGCGACCATGCATCGATCATTTCATTCATCCGCTAGAGCTTCTTCATCCGCCTTGGCTCGCTCCTTTCGATTCGTAAATCATCGACGATTGATGAAGCTTGAACAAGACGCCAACATGTTTGCACAGGATCCAAGGCGGCAGGCCGCCTTGTACAAGGTCAGCAGACGATATACATCATCATCATCAATCGAAACTGACAACATCTCTTAACAGGAATGGTTACGAGCCAAGAATCCACAAGCTGTGATTGCACGCTTTGAAAGAGGCAACTTTGCACATGACGAAGAGTGTTGGCAGTACTATATTGCAGCATTGGCCCAGACTGGACAAACAGAAGCCATCTTGCCAAGGATTATGCAAAAGCTAGAGACATCTATGGAAGGAGGAATAGCAAATGCTGCTAATAATGCTGATCATGGTAAGTTGGGGGGGGAGGTGAGGAGTGACAAGATGTTGGCCATTATCTAATTCATACCTTTTTTATCTATATAGCAATTCCTGGCAATGTATTGCAAAAGTTGGTTGCTAGCAAGACAGGCAAACGAATGGTATCGGTGGATGGTGTTGCTCTTCCTCAAGGTGCCGGCAGTAAGGAACAACCTATTTATGTCATTGCAGAAGAAGGTATGATATAAACATTGGTACACCTGATTGATTGGGTCATTAACCATGTTAATTAGCTCGCAAATATATGGTTTGGCGTGCTGTACGATGGGTCGGCGTGACATTGACATACGCATTCTGTATCTTGACATTGTTGTCTTTGGTGTTTGAAAACTCGGGCCTGCTCAAGACAGCTTCTTCACAAATGGAGTATGAGCCAAGCAATCAACAAGTTGTACGCTTCGAAGACGTTCAAGGTGTGGATGAAGCCAAGGCCGAGTTGGAAGAGCTTGTGCAATTTTTACGGGATCCACAAAAGTTTACAGAGCTTGGTGGTAAACTTCCCAAAGGTGTGCTGCTTACAGGCCCCCCTGGTACTGGCAAAACAATGCTTGCAAGAGCTGTAGCAGGTGAAGCTGGTGTCCCCTTCTTTTTCATGAGCGGCAGTGAATTCGATGAAATGTATGTGGGCGTTGGTGCACGACGTGTACGAGAGCTTTTTGGTAAGTAGTAGTAGTAGTAGTAGTAGAAACATTGTTGATTATGGAAGTGGGGATTATTAACCAATATTAAACGATAGCTGCTGCACGATCCAAGGCACCCAGTATTGTTTTCATTGATGAGATTGATGCTATTGGCTCCAAGCGTAATCCAAAGGACCAATCTTATATGCGACAAACATTGAATCAATTGCTTGTGGATCTTGATGGATTTTCTCAGACTGAGGGCGTCATTTTTATTGCTGCCACCAACTTTCCCGAGTTACTGGACAAGGCATTAGTACGACCTGGACGCTTTGACCGCCACGTGAATGTACCCCTTCCTGATGTACGTGGTCGTATTGAGATTCTCAAGCATCACACCAAGAACATTCAAATGGACAATCAAGTGGATGTTAGTGTGGTTGCTCGTGGCACACCTGGTTTCAGTGGTGCTGATTTGGCCAACTTGGTCAATCAAGCGGCAATCAAGGCTACACAAGAAGGATGTCGTGAAGTGACTTTGAAGCATCTTGAATATGCCAAGGATAAGATCATCATGGGTGCTGAGCGACGATCGGCAGTGATTACAGAAGAGAGCAAAAAGCTTACAGCCTACCATGAAGGTGGCCATGCGCTCGTCGCATATTATACCCCAGGTGCGATGCCCTTGCACAAGGCCACAATCATGCCCCGAGGATCAGCACTTGGTGTAACCGTACAATTGCCAGAAATGGACAAGGTTCGTTACCATGGGCAATGCATAAATGTGTAATTGACTTGTAAACCTTAATGCTTTTCCCCCCTCATTTGTTTATGTATAGGATTCTTTTACGAAACGAGAGTATCTTGCGCAAATTGATGTGTGCATGGGTGGTCGTGTTGCAGAGGAAATGGTGTTTGGTGCGGACAATGTGACGAGCGGTGCCCATAGCGACATTGTCAAGGCAACGGATGTGGCCAAGCGGATGGTGCGTAATTATGGCATGAGCGACAAGGTTGGACCCATTAGTCATGACGACGAGGATATGCAATTGTTGAGTACGCCTACCCGTCAAGCCATCGAAAGTGAAATCAAGGAGCTTGTCGAGTTGTCAGAAAGACGTGCCAAGGAGATCCTATCTACGCATCGAGATGAACTTGATCGACTCGCCAAGGCCCTTGTGGAGTACGAGACATTGACATATGAAGAAATTGTAGATGTATTGAATGGAAAGCCAATAACACGGTAGCCATAGAAACGCGTCTATGCGCGTGAACTTGCATAAAGCGCTTAATATCCTTCTAATCAAATAATCATGATTCGGAAAAGTTGGTTCCTTGGCTAGCTAATTTGACATGAGACGAGGGGAAAGAGGGGGTGTGGATATACGAGGGGTGGTGGGGATGATGCATGTTTAGCTATAGCATCAGCAACAACAAGCAGCGGGAAACTAAAGTTATTCCTCCCTGTGTGATTGTATACACATACATTCTTCTTTCTTTTCTTTACTTTTCTTTATAACCTCCTTTTCCCTTCCTCTGGCTTTTTCCTTGAGTACACGCCATGTCTGGTCAATCACAACAACATCGACTGCCATCTATACGAGATTTACAAGCCTCATCAGGATCCACCCCTCACCACCACGCTTCCAACATTATCTTACCGCCACTGACACCGCCTGTAATCGACTCTCAGCAACAGCAACAGCAGCAGCAGCAGCCGTCGTCGTCTTCAACTATGCAGCAACATCATCCACCACGACCACCACAACCACCTCCGCAGCGGACACAGCGGCCCGCAGAAGTCGATCTTTCCGAGGTATCACAGAAAATAGTTTAATCTAAATATCGTTACGTGATATCAACACGACCCATAATCATCATTTCTCTCTCTATTATCAAGGCTATTGAAACATGCTATATGTTATGTCAACAAATCGAAAAGTTACAAGATGAATGGCCCAATCGAGATATTCAGGAGCAATTAGACGACTTGCACAAGACTTCTGTCGATTTGCTGCAGTTAATAAGAGAACCCACCCCCATTATTGGAGATGTCAGTAAGGTAGGTATACAAAAAAAGGGGGGTTATTTTCAATGTTGGACATGTATGTATCTTAATGTATGCCTTTTATTTGTATAGCCTGAATACGCAATGATACGCCGAGCGCGTAATTTACAAGAAGGCATGGGGATGACCTATCGTCGTCGCACGGTATGCTTCTTTTAAAGGATAACCTTATTTTTCAACATGTCAATCTTATTCATGCATATATATAGAAAAAGACAACGCAAGTACCAAAGATAATAGTGGACCTGGTTTTGGGGGTTTGATGGATACGACGACGTGTTTTCTTTATTGACACTCCTATTAGCAGTGTAGGCCAGCGATGCCATTCGTGCAATACAACTGAGACTCCCGAATGGCGACGAGGACCTGATGGTGCCCGAACCTTGTGTAATGCGTGTGGTTTACGTACGTATGAAATGATCTCCCCTTTTTCTATTACAATGATTGCACCCTGACATTTTGATTGAAACTGCTTCTAGATTATTCCAAACTATTAAGGCGTGGTTCCATGACTGTACAAAGAATGCAATCTTCGATACCTCCTCGTGTCATTGACTTTCCTCAAGGATCATCATCGTCCTCTCCAAGTGAGAGTGGTACTGTTACTCGAATACTACCACAACCCATGGGCATTGGCATTGGATACAACACAGCACAACCACCTCCCATTCCATCTTTATTAGGACCTCATTCAGATTCTTCTACTATGGAACAAATGTCTATGGATTACCAATAAACCCCTGTGGGCAGGATTAATGTGTATATGTATACGCGTGTGTGTGTGGGTACTTGCTATTTTGGCTTGCATAGACGCTGACTTTTTGGGATTTGGGGTGAGTGGGTTGTGTGCCCCTACAATCATAGCTTTGATCGCTTTTCTCTTTTTTTTCACCTATTTCCACTTATGCCATCTGCATTGCAAGTTGCTTGTCGTGTTGATAATGATCGTCCGCATCGTCGGTGGCATCCCTTGTTCTTTCTCGATTGGTGGAATGGCAGCAGCTCTGTTTCTGAAGCACCAACAACAACACCCAATGAGACCAATTGCCTTGATCAGGAAGACGACGACTTGCTTAGAATATGTGAACGTGTGGAACGGAACGAACGCGCACTTTTACTACTTGAGAAAAGTTTACGTGGAGAACGCGTTGACGACACATTATTGACATCACCCTTCTCACCACGTTCACCACAACCAACATCCCATACCCAACAAGAACAAACAGCATCATCACCTCCACCACCACCACAACCACCACAACCAACACGACCTAAAACAACATGTGATGTGGGAGTACAAACGCATCAAGATCCACGTATTTTATTCTATCAGCAACAATTGGAAGCCAAGATGGATCAATTTAATGAACAAGAGCAAATGATTACACGATTGCAGGATCATTTAGAGATTGTCAAGGAACAACTCGATGAAGCGAGAGCGAGAGCAGCAGCAGCAACACCGATGGATCACCATCACCATCCTTATTCATCATCCACCAGATAAATGGTCTCATGTAAAGGTTCAGCAATCTTATCTTGATCTCCTCGTTGAAGTGGATGAGCCGTCAATTGTGCCATGGTCTTTGTTAACGCACTACGTCCCAACCGAGCAAACTCAAAGAACCACCCTCGTTTCGATGTTTCAATCCAGAAGTCATACACTCTCTATCATGTATCCATTGTCATCTTAATAAATCAACATCACATATACATATATATACCCTCTATTTACCTGACAGTTTTCTTCGCGACCAGATACAGGACCATGAATAAATAAGACATCGAGTACAAATTGAGGATAGCCACATATACTCTTGGCAATGTTGGTACGGCACAATGGCACATTCTCCGTACGTCCATAGAATACAAGCACTTGGGTATAGATATCTGGATTCACCAAATCGGTATGGTTTTCAATCACGTTGAATAACGAATCAGCGTCTACAAGAATGGGATCATTGTTAAAGAAGATGTTGAATGATGACCACACTGCTTGGACTTACCAAATTGCTTATTTCCTCGCGAGGTCGTTTGTAGTACATCCACAGCTGAACTGATCAACCCGATATCCTTTGTAAAATCCATGTACTATGTAAAAGGAATGAGCCTTTTTCGCTCGCGTTGCTGCAGACGTTATCCTTTTTTTTTACCCAGGTAGCTTCTTCAGCCAAAAGAATGATGCCATAGCTGTCTTGCGGGCTGATCATGCTGTTCATTGCAACGTAACGTTTCACAAGGAATTGCACCGTTTCCAATCGAGAGCTGGTGTCATCTACTCGTATGAATATCACCAAAAGCGTCGTTGAGAATAATAAAACATACGTTGTCAATAAAAGCGTTTGCTCGATACTGCCGTCAATCGAGGGCCCCATCGTCTCGTTCATTTCATCTGTAACGTCAATGCAAAAGATCTGGCATGCAGTAAGCAGGGTTGTTGCGTTGATTACAAGCTTCATGTTATGAGCCATACAATTCTCCTTGTTATGGGTGGTTTCATGGTGCGTGGGTGTGTGTTCAGGAAAAAAGTCTTTGTATTTGCCAACAATGAAAGAGAGGCGGGAAGGAAAAGAGGTACACAATTGGATATGTATGATAACCGCGCTTTGATACAAAAGCAAAAAGGATGATACGCGCGTGTGAAAGCTGTAATATGTATATATGGCACCAGAGAGGGAGCTATAGTGTATTCCAAGCAAAAAGTGTGTAATGGTTCCACCATCATCACCCATCAACTTTATGTGGTCTTGTTGGGTGTGGGATTGACTGCGCACCTATAAAGCATGTGCGTACGTGTGAGGATAAAGAAATGAAAGTATGCCTTGCTTCTTACATCCAAATTCGTGTCTTGTAAACTTTAAAGAGTTCTCGTACCAGCTCACGGAAATCAATGCGACGTTCAGCAACAAAGTAAAAGGTCAGCTTGCGTCGATCCCTAGAGTGCATGTTATGAATCCACAAGAAAGATGAATGAAGAGTTGTTACGTACCATTGATATTCAGCATCGACTACATCCATACGCAGCTTGCGTTGCTTGATTTTCTGTTGACAAAGAGCTAATGCATTTTGTTCATCTTGACCTTTGACCAAGAGTTGATTGATCTCTTCAGGAGCTGCCAATCGATAAATGCGTTTAAGGTCGTTGAGATTACTTGTGGTGGTGGTCGTTGTGGATGACGACGACGATGATGGATTTCGATCTTCTGATGTAGTCTTATTGTCGTTCATAGAATTCGTAGGATCGTTTTGCTTCTTTTGTGATTGAAGTAACAAAACTTGATCTCGAGAAAGATTGGTCATGGCCACTTTGCCAAGGTCCTTGCCACGATCAGCTTCCACAATCACCAGATCACCCACAGATGGCTGAACATGTTCATCCCCCAAATAAAAGAAATCAGTGCGTCCAGCCTTGAATTCAACCATGTATAATTGGGTCTTATTGCTTCCACCAATTGCTGTTGTTGTTGGTGATACTGCTGCTGTATGATCCGTAATACCTCCATTGCCACTAATCGTGTTGATGGATGATGGGTGTGAATCGGATAGAGTCACTGGTTCTTCCAAGACCTTTTGTAAATGGGGTGGTGGTGCATAAGTCGTTGAAGTGGTGTTGGGTGTAGGTGATGAAGGTGAGGGCAAAGGCGATGAGAGCGATGTATCCAATGGATGATTGATGCCACTAGAAGGATGGGAACTACGTCGAAAAGGCAAATTGCTGAGATACACACAAAGGTTAGATTGTATACTTCCCACACACACAAAATGCACAAGGCATAAACTACCGAAGTAATAACTTACCTCGACTCTGGAAGAAATGGTTCAGGGAATGCAAAGGGTAGTGAAGGTCGTCGTTGAGGATAATGAAACATGTCGCAAAACTCATTGGGTGTTACTGCTGCTGCTGCTGCTGTGTTGGCTGCTGTGGGACCAAACATGGGTGGTGGTGGTGGGGGATATTGTTGAAAATTCATAAAGTAATCTTCCTGCTGCTGCTGAGGAATATCATGACGTTGTTGTTGTTGGTGGTGATGGTGGTGTTGATAGTATCCTGGGACACGACTTGGACCAAAAGCAGTGGTAGACCACCATGGTGTCAAAGGTCCAGCCGAAGAAGAAGATGCACCGGAAGATCGGGAACGTATCCGAAGTCGACGCATTTGTTCTTCAAGCAAATCATCGTCTTCCTCTAGAGTGGTTGCCAAAATAGATTTGCAGTGGTCGTCTTCATAATCGTCATTGTAGCCAAAATTAGTCGAATCTTGTCCCATAGAAAATGAAAAGCTGCGATGTTGCCGATAAGTTGGCTCGGGTGGGACATTGGGTACCATTGGTACAGCAAGGACGTCGCTATTCTCGAACATGGTAGGTCCGGATTTCCATTGAAACGCGCCAAATGATTCTCGTCGCCTATGATGCTCGTTTCCTTCCATGGTGGTTGCTGTTGCCATCATCCCACTTGGTGTTGACACACTACCTCGTCGTGGTGGACTTCCCACAATCTTCCATGTATCATCGTTGTCTGGATCTTTCATCGCTTCACATGATGGCTGCTGCTACACACACATACTAAAGGATAAGTAAAAGTACCCTACACCTTTGCATAACCTACATTTGCCACATTCCATGTCTATGTAAGAAAACCACGTTATTTAGGAAAAGGTCAAACAAGATTTGTGCAACACCCCCCCTCCCCACCCAAGGTAGACACACCTGGGCCATAGTGGATGTGTGCTGTTACAAGCGTGGTGTGTAGGAAACCAGAAAAAGGAGCGGAAGAAAGAGAGTATGCTCGCATGAATTATCCCTTCTTTCATGTTATTCGGTGCGTCGTACCTTTGGCGATTCAAATAATTCCCACAAGAGCAAACTGCCAAGAGTACAATCTCGTCATTCAACATTCGGTGCAACCACTCTACTTCATTTTGGTTCATTACCTAGGATAAGGTTGCAAACGTATAGAATAAAAGATTGTTCGCTTGAAAAAGGTGGATACGGTACAAAAGGAAAAAGGAGAGAAAAAGTGTAAGAGAAAGGAAGGCAAGCCTATGTGTATGTGTATCGGTATCGTGTATAAATGTGTTGTGTGTGTGTGTGTGTGTGTGTATATAGGTGTGTGTGCGTGTGTGTGTGTGTATGTGTATGTGTATGTGGTGGGTTGCACTGGTTATGCAGCCACCTCGTCCTAATTATGGTAATCCACGCACTTGACTAGCGAAATTGGTCAACCCGTTTAAAGTCCCTCTCAATGGCCTTGATCAATTTACGCTTTCGTTCCTTGAGATGTTGTATCATGGTCTCCTCAAACTCACTAGGTGCATCGGTTCGGTCGTTTAGAATAGCTGCACGTGGCTGTATTGCGTCTAGGCGTTCCATAAGTCGTAGCAACATTTCATTGTTGTAAGCGAGCTTATACTCGAGCTTGCTATCTTGTGGATCCAGATGATCTAATTCATGCGAGATAGTCTGGTGGTCTTGCTTGATCTGGTGCAGCAGTGCGAGAGCCTGCTTTTCGTTGGCCCGTATCGCTTTCCTTGCTTTTACTGCTCGGTCTTCTTGTACGACATACACAGCTGTTGCTATGAGCACGGTGCACACTGAACCAAATAGCAATACTCGTTGGTACTGCTTCATGTGTATGTGTGTATGCAAAAGTAAGGCAAAAGAAAGCAAGAGCGAACCTCTGTTGCAAAAATACAAAGTCAAGCTAAAATGATGTCATTGTGACTTTGGATATAAACTCATAGCCTTTATCAAGGTCATTTCAATGATCATGGCCCAGTATGAGTTCCATGTACGTAGCATAAGGATATGGATCAAAATGTAACGAGCTGCACCAGGTCCCTTTTGTATATAACCAAATGATTGGATATTCCATAACCGCCGCTTTTCAAAGGAGCAGCCCACCTCAAGGTTCAATCAATTATTGCCTGTCAAAAGCTTATCTCAATTAGGTCACCCGCACAAATGAACCAATGGCACGACGTGCAACCGGGTTATTCGTTTTCGAAACATGTAAAAGCAACCATGTGGTTCTCACGCCAACACATCTACTACAGTCAGGATATCAGCAAGGCATTGTACGCATGAACGAATGATCTGCAATAGGAGCATTACACAAACGCACAGAACATCATTTTTGTTACAGAGATTTAAAAGATTGGTATTTCAATACGAACAATCACATGATACTTATAACGTAGGTTGCAAAGGGAGTCTAAGTGTATATACAAGCTTTGGAAGGAAAAATCAACAAGCAAAAAAAGTTGATAGACACGACTATCTAGTAATATACTCTAATCATAATCGCCATAGCCTGCACCGCTTCGCACCTTGACATGTTTCTTGCCCTTCTTGTGATGCTTCTTGCCAGGCACAATACCACCAGCAGCTTCTGCATTTTGTGCTACCATTGCCAGACGTTCTCTCCTACCTTGTGGAAGTGGTGTACCATCGTCGGCAAGTACCCGTTGATGTGGGTACATGGTCACACGAGAAAATCCTCCTCCTCGCATCATACCAGCTGCTTTCCCACGCACGCTTGGAGCTGACATGTGGGCATTGAAAAAAGATCGATCCACTGCTTCAGTCTTTGATCCTCGTGGTGCTGATGTAGGTGTTGCTTGTCCTGCTGGTGCGACATAGTTGGCAGCTGTTGCTGGGACACGTGTAACGGGTGCCAATTTCTTTTGTGTTTGCATGGCAACTTGATTATTTTCCTTGTTGAATTCCAAAGGATCACGCTTGTAATTTGGTGGAGGATGACAATAAAGGAGCTTTCCGTTGACATAGTCTTTGAGGATATATCGTGCTGCACGTGCTTCATCAGGGTTGCCTTGGCTGGATCGGAAATAACCTCTTGCAACTATAATTACACACATGTTGTAAGTAAAGATGTCCATGGATGGAAGAAAAAACTACATACTTGCATAGGCAGAGCACAGCTCGGCACTTGTAGGGATTCCACTACCACCATCTTCCTTGGGTTGTGTCCTGATACGAATACCATAGGTAGCTTCCAATACTGCTTGTGGTATCCGTTTGGCAACAAGAGATGTAGGGCCGCTGTGTTCACGTAACTGATCGATAGGCAATACACCATTACAGACTTGATCGGCCTTGGTGGTAGAAAAGGTTGGGAACACAAGACCAGGGCAATCACAAAGAACCAGCTTGGGAGTCAAATGGATGGTTTGGAAATGTTTGGTCTTGCCTGGAGTGGATGATACTGACACGCGCTTTTCACCAATCAATGCATTGATAGTGCTTGATTTACCAACATTGGGGTAACCAACAAGACCAATCACCACCTTGGGTTCCTCATCTCCATCACCTTGCTCTTCTAATTGTTGATATTAGTCTCTCTAATCATCTAAACACGCATATTAAAGATACATTACCTTTGGGTGTTTCATCAATCAACAAGTCAAGCAAATTGGTAGTTGTCCGCACACGAATACGCTCATCCACAGGTTCCTTTGATTCTGAAAGCTTGGTGTCTGACAAAGCTTCACTGATATCTTGTGTGTCGTCCTTCTTCTCTTGTTGCTCTTCAGCTGGCTTCTCACTGTCGCTAGCATTCTCTTCTTCAGACTCCTCCTCTTCTTCTTCGTCATCATCTTCCTCGCTGGATTGCTTTTGAGCTTTGAGTGCCTCCTCCATCTCCTTCTTCTCTTGAGCCAAGCGTTCTTCTTCTTGTTGCTTAGCTGCAAGTGCTGCTGAAAAGAAGGTGTATCTGATTCCTTGGGATTCGAAATAGTCGGCCCACCAACGTCTATATACATGGATGATATCAGCATCACCAGCAAGTGTTTGCATCATGTCCACTATTACCTTTGATCATCACTTAGATAATCGGCCTTGTTGATCAATAGCAAATTCTTCTTTCGTGGATCCACTTCCTTGACACTCTTTTCCAAATCAGCGCTCCGGAAAAGCAATGGATTACGAGCATCAACGATTTGCACGACCAGCTGAGAACGCTCAATGACACGCCACAATTGACGCCACACTTCAAGATTCTTCTCATAGGGAGTGAGCAACAAGCCTTCATCTTCTTCAAGCCTAACATGTGCACACAATGTACCGTCAGCCCCTCTGTATCCATGTATATGGATCACCACTTACTGTGCCATGCCTCTACGCCAATCCAAAAAACTTTCACGTTCACGTTGATGAAGTTGTTCAGCTGACATTGACTTATCCCATGGTGGACGTCTTGGGACAGTGAGACGAGAGTAGTTTTCACGGTGCTTGGCAATCGTATCTTCTTCTTCTTGTTCAGAGAGTAGGAAGGGATTCTGGTACGTGTCCTGGACAACCTTGACATTGAGTTTTTCTATATACCCACAAACGTTAGCATGTATGTACTACCTATGTATGAGAAATACGGGCTACTCACCTGCAGTGAACTCAGTACCAGCCAAAGCTGCTGTTGTCAAGAAGGCTTCCAAATCGTTCTCTTGCGTAATACTTTGCATCTTGACCCATTTGGGTTCCTCGGAATCTGTCGTATGCTTGTAGAACAGTAAGAACCGGTTTGATCTCTTTTACAGACACTCCCATTGGGAATGGCACATACCAGCTTTCCTTCATCGAGTTTGATAGATCGCTGTCCTTGGAAGCGAGACTTGATAACGGCGCGTCCCAAGCTGCCTTGTTGCTTTTTCCCTTTTGGTGGCATATCCGATATGAAAACGACGAAGCAAGAGAGGTGAAATTCTCGGCAACCGGATTAGTGTCAAAAAGCCACTCACAATGCAATGCTGCGGTAACTAAACCCCGCCCTTGTGATCACCATGTCCACCCACCATCCTCTTTGTATTAGTCATGATAAGCAGTAGTCATATAGTTTAGCTGTGGATGTGTTCCACGTTACTATAAATGTCTTCATAGGAAATAATAACAATGAAGGTTATACTATTCAAGCTTCATTATCCATCATTCATTGTCTTTTACATGTACACAAAAATGGCCTAGCTGCTTGCTTGAGGATACATAATATTACTATTTTTCTTGCATGATGATGATTAATAACAAGTACCAGTGCGGCACCATGAATGCTTGTATTGAGTTGTCGATAGGAGGATAGCGTGCTGATATGAATGGCTTGTCATTGAATAGTGCTCCATAAACCATCCTCCTCCTCCTCTGGTATGATGTTGGATCAAAAAGAGGTGTTGATGCTTTTACGATACTCCATGTTTGAATAAAGAAGGCACGTGCAAGTTCGTCTACGGTCATTGCTTCTCGTGCAAACCAGTGCCGAGACCATGTAGTTGAAAGCTTTTCGGTGAAGTAGCATTTGCTTGGGTGGCAACGTTTGTATGTATGGTTCATAAATAAGCACGGGGGTGCTGCCAGGTATCAAGTGACAGAGGAAGCCAATGGATCAGGATTCATTCTCAAGATAGCCTGCACATCTCTATTCATTTTTTCGCCAATGCACTTGATACAGATAAAGATACATTAAAACGCTCTTGCTGTAAAAGATGAGGAGGATCTAACGACGATGATCGCTCTTATTGCTTCACACCATCCATCATTGTTGCATACTGCCAACAGCTACCTTGGACTTTTCCTGCAATCGTTATCATCATCATCATAGTGCTGGTATGGATGTTTCCGGTAATTCAAACTCTTGTTTTAAGCTTGTGGAATCTTATTGCTATATGGAAAGTGGTCTTTGTTCATGACGAAGTAAACTGATCCTAAACGGGCAACATTGCCAATTGTGAGGAAATGACTGTTAGCTCGCAATGTATGGGATATTGTCAATAGTATACAGTATCATCCTTCCATCCGTCTAGTCATGCAAAGTAGCTGAGTTACACAAAGAGGTCCCTCTGCATCTTTTGCTCTGCCAGGGTCCACCTACTTGACAATGAACAAAGACCACTCTTCACATAGCATCACGCTTACAAACATAAAGGTGCCTGTATCTCCAAACTTTACAATGAAACGTGGGGTTTTTATTAGAGCAATGTGCTCGGCTTGGCCAACCGCACCTTGTGTGAAAGTTTCGCGTTCAATGTCGCAAACAGCCCAAAAAATATTTTTTGGTCGTCGTCGTCGAAGAGGTCGACCCCCAGATCCAGTTTGGCTGGTAGCGACATTGCGAAATCTGGGATTGGCAAGCTTGATCGTGAAACTGGCACCCAAGATGCAGTTGGCCAAGCCGAGCACATTGCTCTATTCAAAACCCCGCGTTTTTTCATTGTAAAGTTTGGAGATACAGGCACCTTTTATGTTTGTAAGCGTGATGCTATATGAGTGGTCTTTGTTCATTATCAAGTAGGTGGACCCTAATGAGAAGCAAAGATGCAGAAGGACCTCTTTGGGTAACTCCAGCTAAAAAGTCAGGACTTCAGGGACAATGCATGATAGGTACGCAACCCTCACTTTCATGTCATACATTGGCAGCTAATAGCCACTTTTGAGCATTCCCAACTTTGTGCATTCTATTGTAGGTGGACATTCTCTCCAGACATTCATTTCCATGATTAAAGTAGTTGATCCGAGCTGATTTGGTTGGAGTTACGCTCACACCAAGATTACATCGGTTGAGCTACATCGAGCGTGCTTTATGTCCAGAGTGATGTAATCTTCTGCTGACCGCCGGCTCAAGTCAAATCGGCTCGGATCAACGTACTTTAATCATGGAAATTAATGTCTAGAGCGAGGCATCGTTCCCATGCGGTGGATCTCGCAACAATGATGATTAAATATAAGTGGCCGTTAGCTAGCAATACATTCCGCGACCTAGATGATCCATAAAGTAATTTAGCCATTGACAGCACCATTTCATGCAAACGTAGCTGTGTTACACAACACGACCCTCTGCATCTTTGCTCTGCGGTCTAGCTACTTGGCAATGAACAAAGACCACTTCTCATATAGCATCACGCTTACAAACATAAAGGTGCCTGTATCTCCGACTTTCTAATGAAACGTGGTGTTTTTATTAGAGCGAAGTATTGCTCCGGCAGCCAACAGCACCTTGTGTGCAAGTTTCATGATCAAGCATATCAGGTTTCGCAATGTCGCCACCAGCCAAACTGGATCTGGGGGTCGACCTCTTCGACGACGACGACCAAAAATATTTTTGGGCTGTTTGCGACATTGAACGCGAAACCTCACACAAGGTGCTGTTGGCCAAGCCGAGCCATTGTTCTATCAAAAACCCACGTTTCATTGTAAGTTTGGAGATACAGGCGCCTTTATCGTTTCATTGTAAAGTTTGGAGATACAGGCACCTTTATGTTTGTAAGCGTGATGCTATATGAGAAGTGGTCTTTGTTCATTATCAAGTAGGTGGACCCTGGCAGAGCCAAAGATGCAGAAGGACCTCTTTGGGTAACTCAGCTAAAAAGTCAGGACTTCAGGGACAATGCATGATAGGTACGCAACCCTCACTTTTATGTCATACATTGGCAGCTAATAGCCACTTTTGAGCATTCCCAACTTTTGTGCATTCTATTGTAGGTGGACGATTCTCCTGCTCCAGACATTCATTTCCATGATTAAAGTAGGTTGATCCGAGCTGATTTGGTTGAGTTACGCTCACACAAGATTACATCGGTTGAGCTACATCGAGCGTGCTTTATGTCCAGAGTGATGTAATCTTTCTTTGACCGCAGCTCAGTCAAATCAGCTCGGATCAACGTACTTTAATCATGGAAATTAATGTCTAGAGCAGGGGCATCGTTCCCATGCAGTGGATCTCGCAACAATGATGATTAAATATAAGTGGCCGTTAGCTAGCAATACATTCCTGTTCCTAGATGATCCATAAAGTAATTATACATTGACCCTTTCATTCATGCAAACGTAGCTGTGTTACACAACACGACCCTCTGCATCTTTTGCTCTGCCAGGGTCTAGCTACTTGGCAATGAACAAAGACCACTTCTCATATAGCATCACGCTTACAAACATAAAGGTGCCTGTATCTCCAAACTTTACAATGAAACGTGGTGTTTTTATTAGAGCAATGTGCTCGGCTTGGCCAACAGCACCTTGTGTGCAAGTTTCATGATCAAGCTTGCCAATCCCAGGTTTCGCAATGTCGCCACCAGCCAAACTGGATCTGGGGGTCGACCTCTTCGACGACGACGACCAAAAAATATTTTTTGGGCTGTTTGCGACATTGAACGCGAAACTTTCACACAAGGTGCTGTTGGCCAAGCCGAGCCCATTGTTCTATCAAAAACCCCACGTTTCATTGTAAAGTTTGGAGATACAGGCACCTTTATGTTTGTAAGCGTGATGCTATATGAAGAGTGGTCTTTGTTCATTGTCAAGTAGGTGGACCTTGGCAGAGCAAAAGATGCAGAAGGACCTCTTTGTGTAACTCAGCTACTTTGCATGATTGGAATGACCAATGTATGATAGCATATACACTATCTATGATTGGCAGCTAACAGCCACTTCCTCCCAATCCCAACTTTTGTTCATTGTATGACATTGGAATGATGCTCCTGTTCCAGCCCATCATTTCCATCTTTCAATTGTCTTGATCCGAGACGATTTGACTGAGCTACGCCCAAACAGTGAATATGAAAATTAATGAATCGCAGACCCTGCGAATGTCTCCGTCTTTCAAACTTTTGGAAGCTCCCATTCCAAATTTTCAAATGAAGCATGAGGTCTTTATTAGAAAAAACATTGATCAGCATGCGAGAGCACCCTTCTGACCAATTTTCAAGTAGGAAGTGGACAAGTTCGGGGCGGTGGGCCGTCCGCTCTTTTGATCCCATCATCCACCATTTGGGCCGCCCCGCATTTTGAATCTTCACAATGAAGTCTGCGACTTTTAAATGAATGAAGTTGATCAGCATATTGTAGCGAATCTTCTGACAAAGTTTCAGGTTCGAAATGGGGAATCCCACGATAATGCATACTATTTCGATGAATCATGAACCTGGGGCTGACCTGCATTCCGACTTACATAGTAAATCCCACGTTTTACCCTCCCATTCCAATTTTTATAATGAAGCATGAGGTCTTTTTTAGAGGAACGTGATCAGGATGTCCAAGAGCATTTTGTGTGAAAGTTTTCAGGATCAAGAGGGGACAATCTCAATATCAAGGTTTGGATGTACAGTGTTCATGCATTTCTACAAGAGGTGCCCCGACCTATTTAATTTCCACTTCTTCCACTCCTAGCGTATTGCCTTTTCCTCTCATTCTCAACTGTTGGCCCATTCAAGTACAGCTACCACCAACGAACGATTGTCCTGCTTCAACCCACAATGTCAATCCTACGATTGTCTTGATTCGATTGTCTTTGACTGAATGGCAAGTCCATGGCCTGTGCACAGCCTTCTTGCCACTCTTCTACAACACACGAGTCTCTTGACACAACACACGCTCTTGCACACTCGTCGATCACAATCAAACGTAACGGCATTCATTTCCAGCAGTTGCTATTCGCTCCATTGTCTCAAACAGCGTTCACAACCTTGCCAATCTACTACAACACACGATCTTGCACGTTCCTCTACCACAATCAAACGAACAGCAGCTGCCATTCGCCAGGTCTCTACTCCATTGTCTCTTGCCTCAAGTTACTTGCAGCAAACAGCCTTATGGTCTTTATTACGTGAACAGCATGTAGCCATTGTATACAAACAGCTTTATTTACGTGGAGCAACTTGCTTCAACACATACGAATCTCTATGGACGATGCCATATCAGCTATCAAGCACACAGCAATACAAGCAATCTTCGCCTGGTTGACATGCGATAGACCAACAGCCAAATGGAAAAGGAAGCATATCAGTAGCGATCACGGGAGTTCTTTCTATCAGCATGTTGGTACAATGGTTACGGATGGATGGATGGATGCAATCAAGCATAGCGACAGGTGATCCTTGAAATGGTGTTTTGGTTACTTGGTACGTCGTCAGCAGGGAAAGTTGGACCATGTCACGTGGATACGGCTGAGGATGATGATGGATTGGATGGTATGGATGAGAGGGCTTGTATCTTTGACGAGAGACGGTTTGCCGCCATGGATGAAATTGAAATGTTGGAGTCAAGGGCGCACAGCAACTAGTTTGCAGCCATGGATGGAGATTTTATGACGGCAGCAACCAAGAACACAATGGCACAACAATACCCGCTGATGCTATATGATCCACTGGTTGGTTTCTGCAATGAAAAGGAAGGATAGAAATTGGAAGGTTGGAAGGGAGATTGGATCACCTACATTGTTGTATCGACACGCTTGTTTCTTTTGTCATACTACATTCGTTCAAGCTTCCATACTCATATGCTGTTAGAAGATAGGCAGGGCATTCTCAGCGGATCGTACACATGTTTAAATAGACGCTTGTATTATCAAAGATACATAATAAACCCATAGTAATCGTACCCAACAATAGTGCTTGATACAGTAAGCTTGGTCCATTGTAAGCTTGAACCATTATGTTGAAGAAAGAGTGAACTCCCAATGTGGCAGAGTACATACTCTACTTATTATGCTTACCTATGATAACTTTTAGCATGCGCTATCTTGTATGTATGTATAGCCTTATATTAGAATGACCCGGATACAAGAAATATCATTACCTCTCATACTCTCGGATGCTCTGAACATGGCTCGTTAATGTTAACCATACCATGCTTCACTCGAAAAAATTCCAAGGGGTCCATTTTAGGCGGACCTTACTAAAGTAGTGAGGAAGCTGAATCATGCACTCTCCACCAATGAGAACCCTTCAAGCACTGTCTCACAGCTTTATTACACAAACAGGCTCCTCTGCATCAGGGTCTAGCTAATTGACAATGAACGATGACTACTTTTCATCACCACGCTCACACGTTCGGGTCCGAAAAATGTCGATTGAGAGGTATTGTCATTGTCATCGGTTCTGGCAGATGAGGTGCGCCGAAGGTGCGTGTCGTTGATGTGTGTATGCAAGCCATCCAATCAGGATAATGGGCTAGACAAGAAACGCATGCATAATGTATTTGTAATGAAGTGTGCTTGCCTTCGTGTTCCCTGGAGACATGCATTAATTGCTGCGTGTTTTTTCGTGTTCTTCGCTCCGTAATTGCAAATGCAAGTTGTGGAGCGTTTGCAAATGATGTTTCAATTTGGACCCTTGTGAAATCTCGTTCTTGCGTATGTGGCATCCGTATCGCAATGGTACGATTGTTGTGCTATATCACCACCATGGGAGTTGGGGTGGTTCCCCTGCTATTTGCACCATATCAAATGCACCAAGTCAATTCCAGCACCCGACGTAGACCACCATGTTCACCGAAACCAGCTTTTGCAGATGATTCACCGAGAGATAGCTATATCGAAAGTAACAAGGTGGCGTGTATGAGTAGTGACTCATCAAGCAACTTGATGATCAGGCTTCACCTCATTATTACAAGAATACAAGATTGCAATACAACGAAAATGAGAGTAGGATAAAAATGAAGCACTATGAAAGACTACAGGTCGAAAGATGTATTACACACAAACCTTGGAAATTTGAGCTTGCAAGCAATCAAAATAGTATGGCAGAGGGAAGAGACGTGTGAGAGTATGATGGGCGGCGACGACAACCTTTTATTGTGCATTGTGGGCGTGGGTACTTTTGTGGTTGGGGATGATGCATTGATAAATTGATGCATGAGCTGATAAAGTGATGGGGCGCATGTACCAGGTTCAAGTCTGAAGAGCCTAGTGCAATGTTGTCTATGCATACCTACTCTTAATACTGGTATGCGTGTTTGGTAAGCAGCGAGAAGCGACCTTTAACTGGATGTAATCCCATTCGATTGTAAACCCAATGGTAATAGAACTTAGCTCTTTAGCTGAGGCAAGAGAGGGGTGCCACAAGTGCTGGAAAGGATGCGAACCTCTAAACCTGTTAGGCGTCGGCTGGTTAGGGAAGGGCTTTAATTTTGACATTGATTCATTTGGATAGATGATCTCTAATAATGCAACATGACCTCACACTCATTACGCATTTCATGGCTGATGTGATTGTACCTATACGAACCTTGGCATTCTTGGTAATTTCAAACAAACATAGTTTTCCTATTTGTCTATGTAGTAGCACCTCCATGCATGACTCAAAAGGATATTGGAACCAGCCACCTATCATCAAAAAGATGACCACCCACCACAGCAAAAGGATACTTGAACACGGGCGCAACTTTTCACACCGATGAAGAAAAAGCGATTCAAGAAAGCCTTCGAAATTGTGATGGCAGCTAATGGCAGCTGCTAAAGCTATGAGCCATCCTTCCTTATATCCACCCTCTTTGTCATCCATTGCATCAAGTATAGCTTGTACATCCCACTCGACTATGATAACGTACCGGCGATACAAGCTATAGATTGCAATTGAGTCATTTGGAAATGTGTTTTCGGAGACATTTATGATATTGGATCATGTGCATTGTTTTTGCATGGCCAAATGTAGTATGGTTTGTGTGGAGACACAGGCACACACTGTTAGGAGGCAACCCTATTGTGTGGTTATTCTCACGATAGATAGATGTAGGTGTTACGAGGACTATGTCATGTTGAAATAGATGAATGAGGAATTTATTTATAATGTTGATAGGGTAATGGAAGGTAAAAAGTATATCAAGAACTATGCTGGATTACATTGATGTTTGTTATTGTTGGACAACAACATTGTCTCCATGCAACTGAATGGCACAGCACGCCCAAGCTCGACCAATGACGGGCGGCGGATCTGTGTAGCACCGCTCTCCCACAAAAGGTGGGCTGTAAGATTCGTCCTTTGTAACTTGCAGCTTTCAATGAAGATACGAGGTATGTATGCACAACGAAAAAGACAAATCTGTCAAAATGGGAAAACGGTACTCATTGCTCTCATTGGACCACTTGCTTGCTCTCAACTAGGTTTCCGTCATTCGCATCGCCGGCACCGCGGCTTTAAAGTGCTCTCGTTTCTCTTTTGCTGTGCTTTTGGAAGCCCTCCAAGTTTGCAGGAAAAGGATCGTCGAGAAACAGGTGCGCGCCCCACCAGCAGCTCCAACAATATCACCAATTCGCAAACAGTGACATCTTCGAGCAACTCCATTACGTCCAATGATGAGGCAGCTACAGCAACAGGGATCGACGTTTCACCTTTGGAAACCAAACTAGTCGAGCCAGAGCCTCCACATGTACAACATCCACAGCAACCACAGCAACCATCACCCCAACAACAGCAACAGCAACCACAACCAGTGCTTAAACCTGCAATAGATACAACGGATGAGATGTCAGAATGCAAGGCGACAACTACAACACCTACAACAGCCCCTGCTCAGGTACAACCGATATATCCCATCCCTCCCTTTTCTCTTATTATATTCTCCCTCTCTCTCTCTCTCTCTCTACCTATCTCCCCTCTTCCCATCTCTGTCACTTTGCATTTGGGCTAAAACAGCGGATAGGATCATTGGCTATTGAAACCGCAATCACCCGAAGATCAAGGTCGCAAATGTTTGGTACTTGATTTAGATGAAACGCTCGTTCACAGTTCTTTCAAGGCAAGTACTACTTTTACCCTATGCATCGGAGCTCGTGAGGTTTGCATATTCTCTTACACGGACCATAATTGGTAGATGACTGTGGATGCTGATTTCGTCGTACCTATCGAGATCGATGGACAACCCCATAATGTCTTTGTACTGAAACGACCTGGCGTGGATACTTTTATGAAACGAATGGGAGAGATTTATGAGGTGGTTGTCTTTACTGCAAGTTTGTCAAAGGTAGGCGAGGAAAAAGAGATACATGGGATGATGAATCAATAACACAAGTGAGTAGTATGCAGATCCTGTATTGGATATTTTTGACCAGCACAATGTTGTTCGACACAGGTTATTCCGAGAATCTTGCTTCCAATACAAAGGCACCTATGTAAAAGTAAGTGTGTGTGTGTGCTGGATGTAGACGATAGGATTGAAAATTTAACCTATAAATCAATATAGGACCTTTCACAACTAGGACGTGAACTTAATCAAGTGATTATTCTCGATAATTCCCCTGCAAGTTACATTTTCCACACTGCCAATGCTGTCCCAGTGTCGTCCTGGTTTAATGATCCGCATGATTCTGAGCTATTGGATTTGATTCCCTTTTTTGAAGACTTGGCTCATGTAGACGATGTTACCGATATCCTCGACACCACGATTCCTGGTCCATTCTCGCATTTGTGATACCCTTCATACACACACACACACACTCACGCACATTTTCTCGTTATTGCTCTCTTTCCAGCCTTTTGGTTCCCAAACATACGACATACACACACACACTCACTCACACTCACACTCACACGTACACCAAACAACCAAAAATCATTCGCTATTCTAGCATGTATATTCGTGATGCAACATCATCTACTACCCAATTCATGCCTTCAAGTAAATTTTCTCCTGTTACTGCACTGCATCCTTGAATTGCCCAATGGTGACTCTTGATATTATCCAATCCCAATGCCTACCGTCAACCATGTCAATCAATGCATGCCATCCTTCTCATCCGATCTCTTTTACTCTACCTGACGTAATTCTTGATCCGAGTATGCCCCTGGCAAATCTTGCTTGTTGGCAAATACCAGCAACGTAGCACCCGCCAAACGCTAGAATAGTCATTGTATGTTAGATGGAAGATGATAACAATCTAGCAGCCATTGACTTGCCTCTTCTTGTAATAAACTTGCTAATTCTCGTCGACAATCATCCAATCGCAAATGATCTGCTGAATCCACCACCCACACAAGTGCATCCGTTTGCTCGAAATAGTTTCGCCAATAGGATCGAATCGATTTTTGGCCTCCCACATCCCAAATGTTCAACTTGTATCTATACACAATCCTGTAAGGAACATTGTCATCAATAAACTTGATCATCCTACCCGTTATGCTCCAACGTCTTGATATTAAAACCCAATGTGGGCGAGATGGTATCGATCGGCTCTCCGTTGAATCGCTTCAAGATGGTCGTTTTGCCGGCATTGTCAAGTCCACTAACCAGAGCTCTGAGCACACACGCGTACTCCTCAAGGCCAATGCGTTTCATCTTACAGCATCAGGATACGAATTTCCTTCTCTTTGGTCCTTATCTTTTTCAGAATGGTCAATAAGCCCATGGTGCGTGTATGTGTCAAGGAACAAGGTTGGTCTCCGAACCTCGTGTCAAGTCTGTTTTTGTTTCTCCTCTTTCCAAACGCTTTCTCATGTTGACTTGGCGACGATCGATCACGACATGCATGCAAAAGAGCGCATTCCATACGTCCAAAGCAGCACGCATACCGCCACGAAGAAGCAATATCAGTAATACCATCAACAATCGTTGGGGGAGTTTTGAACGTATCACACCAGCATCGCTTGCCACTGTGGATGTAACAACGTTTCCACGCCGACCTGTGCCTGACAACATTCCTCGTCCATCCTACGCCGCACAAGGACTTGCCTCGAGTTGGGAATCTGACATCCCTTGCTTATCCACACAAGAACAAATACAAGGTCTTAAGAATGCATGTCAACTTGCAAAGAATGTCTTGACCATGGGTGGCAAAATGTGTCTGGTAAGTGAGACCATTGAATAATAATGGCTCATGCAGATACTCATTCATCATGTATCATCATCGTTCTAAGCCAGGTATCACCACCGAAATGATCGACAAGGAGCTGCATCAAGCGATAATAGACAATGGGGCTTATCCTTCTCCTTTGAATTACATGGGTTACCCAAAGAGCGTATGCACATCAGTAAACAACATCATTGCCCATTCCATTCCAGACGAGTAAGTCCCAAAAGCCCACACTGCTCCCTCGTTGATATCATTTTATTGACAATCAATCATCCAAAGTCGGCCCCTACGAGATGGTGATATTATCAACATTGATGTCACGGTAAGGTGTTGTTCATTGGTATGTCGTTTGCGACAAGGGATCGTAACGACCTGGTATCTAGGTATACTTGAATGGTTACCATGGCGACACTTCGGCAACATTTATGGTGGGCAACGTGGATTCAAAAGGCAAAGACCTGGTCGAGAATACAAAGGAATGTTTGGACAAGGCTATCAATATCTGTGGACCTGGCGTACCATTCAATGAAATTGGCAGAGTGATCAGGTATATTTGTTGACGTTTCCTAATTCATGCATCCCATGATTCATGGTCTTTGTTATATTATAGTGATCATGCTGAGAACAATGGCTACACTGTATCCGAAGAATTGACTGGTCATGGCATTGGCACCGAGTTTCATTGTCATCCCTTGATCTATCATCACAGCAAGTATTAGAAAAAAAAGCAACATGATGATTCCACCACTAACAAACCACACAACAGGAAACGCTGAGGAAGGTACAATGGAACCAGGAATGGCATTCACCATTGAGGTAAGCTTGATTTATTCAATAAGGATGAAAACGTTTGACACGCCCCATATTGTATATAGCCCATTTTGTGTCAAGGTTCACCTATGGGGATTTTGTGGCCCGACCAATGGACTATTTCAACGATCGATGGTGGAAGAAGTGCACAATTTGAGCATACAGTAAGTGGTCTTTCATAACCGAGATCCGATCTTATTCTTATCACACACCTATCTCCCCCCTCCCAACCCATAACAGGTCCTCATCACAAAAGACGGCGTAGATGTCTTGACAAAATGAAAGCGTAGTTGTATATATAAAAATGATGCATGAAATGAAAAATAAAATGTTGCTACAGGTAGAAACGTTTACGGTTGACTTCCATGTCGGGTCTAAACATCCATTCGTATTCGCCATCACGTGAGTACGTTCCCTTTTGCAACCATCTCAACTTTAGGGTAAATCGTGGGCCCAATTCTTTCAATCCAACTTTTTCAGTATCCCTGAACACATATCCTGTAATAGGTGTATTAATATACCTTGTTCGCTCATTGTATCCCCCATTCGATATACTTACGATGCCGCCGCACAAAGATGAAATCACGTTGGTTGTGGAATGTCACCACCTGTCGTCCTTCAAATTCGGGTACTTGGGGCACCAATGCTTGGAACATACGACCAATAGTGTGACCAAGTCTGGTATTGAAGTTGTTCAAAATGAGCTCTGGGTTATGTGCTGTAACGACGCCTTTGCCCTAGATGATGATGACAACAATCGTCAATTCACTGAGACACGCACACATTTTCATCCTTCTCTTACCGGTGTCTTCTTGGCAGGTGTATAACTACTAAGTTTGAAATAAGCTGTAGGACCATCGGGAAGATGAATCAAAGTGATGGCATCTAAAGTGGGGATAAAAAGCAACATGAGCATTGATGATGTACAAGTGTCTTTTTTTCAAAAGCACTTACTTGGGATCTTTTTGTCTTCATTAACGATCATTAAATCAGTAAAGTCGTGCTTGATTGCTTGCTGGATCATATCCTTCATCTCGTGATTTGCTCCTCGCTTGGCGAATGTTGTATTAGGGAAAATCGATACCAAATCGGCACAGAAATCGTAGCAATTCTAATATGACAATGAGCTTTTTAAATCTATGCTGCATGATTTTGCATATGGAGACTATCGTACCTGAGAACACTTTTTGCTGGTAGTGATACAGATCTTTGGAGTTTTGCCACTAAAGTAGGAAGACAACTCGTCCATTGCTTCGTCCTCGGCTACCTCGCCGTCGTCCGGAACCATGGTATCATCCTTTTCACGTGTGTTCTCAATCGTCCTTGGCACATTCTCTCGTAAACGTTTCTGGAATAAACAAATGCCAATGAGTGAGTCTTGGATCTGTAGCAGGGATCGGATCTCGATGATACCTCTTTAAGCTCGGGATTCTTATCTTCTTCCTTGGCACGTTGTTTTCGTTTTTCAGCCTTCGCCTTTTGCTTTTCAAGCTTCTGCTTCTTGTAAAGGTCTTGTCGTTTGTCTTTGTTTTTGAGTTCAGAGGGACGGATTACGGGTGGCATTGTTGAAAAAAGGTGGAAAGAAAAAAAAGTTTGTTGCTTCCAAATTAGGTTGTCCTCCAGCTGAGCTGAACAATGCAACCACCGGGTTGTGTACAACAACATTCTTCCTCACAACCTGCCATCATGCAAACCACCCGTTTACAATGAACATCCCCCATTGTGGTCATAGAGAATATCCACCGCTCATTATAGTACAAAAGACCATGTGATCTGGGCTCATTGGCACTTAAAACAAGCTGTAAACATGTTGATAACGTGATCCCAATTCATCATTAAATCGTCACATCACTGCATACAATATAAAATGAGCCATGATTCGAGTATCTTCTTTATTCCCTCAATCACATCTTTTCACCTTATCAATCATCATGGGATCTCAACAAGGCCCTTCGGAACGCTTGAACATTCAACTCGGCCCTATCGATGAGGACTTTAGACCGACGCAACGTTTCCCTGGTATCAGTCGTCAAACTTTATGTATGTCGTAGAATGATAAATCTTGTTGCATCATTGACTGATTCTATTATAGCATTCATTTCATCTTCCCGTAACGCAACAAGAGTGCCGGAAGCGAGACGTGCTAGTGCCGAGATGGCAAGTCGAAACTACTATCGTGGTAATGTTTCAATACAACGTGTTGCTTTTTATTGAATGAATACGCCTTCTAATATTGAATGTATGTAACAGAAACCGGGCGCCCGTTGATTATTGATGAACTTGGACAAGCCTGGAGACCCGATGACTTCCCCTATGATAAGTTTGATAAGCTTCAAATTGAGCAATTGTACCGGGAGCATGGCTATCATTAAGGGAAATGCTATCTTTTTGAATCATCATGGAGGACAAAGAATATATGTTTTATGTAGCATCGCGTTCATTAAAAGAAGCCAACAATGGCGATAACATCATATCTACATTTTCATATGCTACGTTACAACACATGGAGATGAGGCGTTTGTAATCTTGATATCGTTTTCCAGGGGTTTGTGCTTTTAGCCTGACCAATTCCTCCACTGTATCCTTGCGAGTATTTTGTAAGGTGATCAATTCTGCTTCAAGTTCTTGAATGGTCTTTTCCAATCCTTCACCAGGGTCTGAGTCATGTTGTTGTGATGATGATAATTCCTTTTCTTCGTATTCATGCACCAATCGTGTGAGTTTCTCTTTTTGGCTATACTGCATTAACTTGCGTAACCGGGTCTCGAGATTTTGTGCCGCTTCCTCAGCTTCATCCAGCAAACTGGGATCGAATCGTACTTGATCAAGGATACGCCGTGTTTCCGCAAGTCGCTTGTGTGTCAATTCCAAATCCACCTTTTTCTCCTTGACAGCTTGTTCCTTTTGTGTGAGATCCCTTTCATAGCTGCCAGCAAAACCATCAAAGAGCTGTGAAATGGCGGGTACGGATCGATCATTGGATAAAATCATCTTGAACATGGATTCGAATTTTTGTCGAAGACGTGCTCGTGCCGCTTGTTCATTCACGCTGTTGACAGCCAAGTTGGGTGAAGAAGAGGAGGTGGTTGCCGCTGCTGCTAGGTTATCTTGTAGGAGCATCCTTCGTTCCACTTCGCTTAGGTAATCTTGGGCTGTCATGCCTTCTTCATTGGCGATCTCTGTACTTGCACCCGCATCCGTCAAGAGCCGTACCAATTTCTTATTCCCGATCCTTGCTGCAATGGTCAATGCTGTATCGCCATAGACATCCTGCACATTGAGAATAGAGATCAACTCCGATCGGTTTTGGGATAGCTTGTCGATGAGACATTCCATATAATAACGTGAAGCGTGCACTTTTCCCTTCCAACTCGCTGTCGATGCCACATGATGAAACACGGTCTGATCCTTCTTGTCGATATTGAAGATGGTCTTTTGTAACATTTCCAAAAGATGATGAAATGACTTGCGATCAAAGTTGTTGGTGAATAAAACGCTTCGCATCAATGCTGTTTGTCCCTTGTAATTCACGCGATACACATCCGCTCGTAAATGGATCAACACTTTGACTGTTTGGATCTGTCCCATGGCTGCTGCCCAATGTAAACTCGTGTGTCCCTCATCATCGATAATCACATTCACATCCAAATCACGTGGCGGATGCGCAAGGATTTGTGGTATCGTATTGCTGCCTGATACAAAATGATGCAGTAACTTTTGCGCATACGTATTGTTGTCGTCTTCCATTTCCACATCTTCATCCTCTTCACTTGGATAGGCAGCGGCGGTCGTTGTTGCTGCTTTGCGTTTGTTGTAAGGGCGTCGTGGTGGAGGTAGGATATACTGATCAGGTGTACCATCACGTCCCACGAGTGGCGATGGTGTGCGACCCGTATTGGCGGATGCGTTGCTCTTTGTTGCAGCTGTTGCTGTAAGAATAGAATCATTATCCTGTATCTCGCTGTATTGTGAAGAGACATCGTCGTCTGAAGGCTCCAATTCGTCATGATGATGAACATGTCGTATGCGTTTACGTCGTGGCTCGCGAGGTTTCCTTGGTCGATGAGATGCAGCTGTAACGTGTTTGGGTGCCATCGGTGGACTCTCATCCCCTTTGACAAAGTCAATGATAGGTTGCAAAATAGTGTCGACATTGTATTGTTGAGCCAAGGCCACTCCTCGATCAAACGGTACCCACGTGCCTATTCATCGGGAAGAGAGGGGGGAGGAGGAAACACTATGCATAAGCAACACATACACACACACTCATACACGTACACTTTGCACTATCACTTGCCTTGATATTTTCCGTATCCACCTTGCACCTTTTCATGCTTGCCTACTTGCACTTCACGTTCCAAAATGCGCGTGCGTTGCGGTTTGTCAAAATCGGCCACTTTAAGAATCTGGGTAGCATTGAGATAGGAATCCGATTGCCGTCGCATCACCGCGACACCTTTACAGAGCATTTCATAAACGGGTACACCAGAATACGTTGCTTTGAATATCCGTGAGTCTGTTTGAGACATTGTGTGTGAGAGTCGAGTGGTGTGTAAGAGTCGAGTGGTGTGTGTGTGAAAGTAGTGTGTGCGTGTGCGTATTAAAAGAGAGAGAGAGAGAGAGTGAAGGGAGTAGTAAAGTACGGTGCGTGAATTCTCAAACCCGTGTGCTGGTGTGATGTACTGCTGCTGCTCCCTCTACCTTCCATTCCTCCCCCAATCAACACTTACTCCCCCCATGTGTTGCTGTTACCAGTAAGCATGAATGAAGATGGTGGAGTTATCATTCTATTAGCCTATTAGTACATGACCCATTCCCCCCAAGTAGTACACTTATTGACTACAACGAGGTTTTATTAGTAGATCAATGTATAGCTAGAACCACCTAGAATTATTGGATCATTCTCAATATTATCTTTTGAGCTATCTCATTAAACATGTCGTTTATCCTTATGTTCTTGGATATTGCCAAGTGGATGACTTTACATCGTGATAACTCTGAAACGCGCATGCTGTATGAACTATCCACTGATATTGCAATCTTAAAAGTGCACAAGTAGTATAGAAGTTGCAGCAGCAAATGTTCCCAGATAAAGGGCTGTGATGGGATACGTTACTACCAACACTCCATCGCTATGGCAACCGATCATCCAATCGGCTATAACAACAAAAAGGCTCGCTTGTCACGTATTCGTTTGAGGGCAATGCTGCTATGATGGTTAGATGTGTTGACGAGATCAAATGATGGGTGTTTAATACATTATCGAGAGAATGTTTATTATAAAGTCGCTTTATGTATGCTACGGTTGCTAGGCTTAGCTTCTTCGTCAACCCCGTCAAATTTCACTCGCCCCGGGATTTGGCGCTACGGTAGTACCAATGCAAGTAGGTCGATCTTTCAGTGAGCGGACAACTGCATTAGTGTGAACCACCTCTTTTTCCCTTCTCTACACAATCAGGATGGGCTCCTCATCCTACTCTCTCATTCAATCCAAGCTTATACAACTCGGCGTCTATACAACTTTCTTTTTCGTTTTCCTAACCAGTGTTGGTCGCTATGTCCTTTGTAAGTTACTATACAACATTGCCCTTCTTTTTTGTTCTTTCTTTCCATGGAGGGTGGGGGGCTGATGAGACAAAAATAGATCCCAAGGATCGAACGAGTTGCCAGTCCATGTTGGAGGACGGCTGGTGGCAGGACACAGACATGTTCACAAAGTGGCAGCCTGCAGGGTGTATGATGCACACTTACAAGGCACCTGAAATATCCTCTTGTCTCAATCATTCTCGGATATTGTATGTGGGCGATTCGATTGTTCGACAGCAGTTTTTCGCATTTGCACAACAAATCCATGCCGATATCGATACGACAGGACCTAAGCATGTGGATCGACGCTATCAATTCAATGATCAACATCTCGTATTTGAATTTTGGTGGGATCCATATCTCAACACATCCCGAACGATCGACATGCTCAAAACGACCGATCCAGCCATTCGGCCTAGTCTTTTAGTGCTCGGAAGCGGAGCTTGGTACATGCGCTATCTCGAGGATGATTACCGAGAAGAGTGGCAGGATGCTGTCGATCGTGTTTTCGATTCAGTGGAACGCTCAGGTCGTGTAGCCGATGCTGTCATTTTATCGCCTGTCGAAGTACCTGAATTTGATCTCTTGTCACCCGATCGTGAACGCACCATGTCATTGGATAAGGTCGATAGCATGAATGCTTATCTTCAATCACGCATCGATGCTATTCATGCTCTCACCCCTATCACAGTCCCCTTTGTCTGGAACAAGGTCTCAGGTGATGCTCTCAACATGACACAAGATGGTATCCATTTCGCTACTCCCGTCACCACCATGCAAGTTCAACTCGCTCTCAACTATCGATGCAATGATCAACTCGCCAAACATTATCCCATGGATAGCACATGCTGCTTCCATTATCCCATCCCACGATGGTATCAAAACATCTTTTTCCTCTTGTTTTTATTTTGGGTGCCTATTGGAATCTATACCATCTCCAGCGGTAGGTTATTTATTTATGGGCGGGTGGGTTGTCATTTGTTGTCAATGTACTTATATGGATGCATTATAGAGCAAGCGATCCTCAAAAGCCTACGACATTACTTCCCTACTGAATCCACGCTCAATGCATTGTTCATCTTTGGTCTTGGCGTGATCTACATGTTCTTTGGCGATCGTACCCATATGCTAGGCAAGGGACAAAAGTTGTTTGACCCTGTGGTGTTCAGCGTCTTGATGCTTCTCACGCTTGGTGCTGGTATCTTGACACTCAAGGTCAAAAAGGAAGGAGATCAAGGCTTTTTGAATCGTGACCAGACCGATGAATGGAAGGGATGGATGCAAGTAGTGATTCTAGTGTATCATTTTCTCGGTGCTTCATCGGTATCAGGGATCTACAACCCCGTGCGCGTATTGGTGGCTGCATACCTATTCCAAACCGGCTATGGTCATTTCTTTTTCTTTTACAAGAAGTCTGATTTCGGTCTCGCGCGTGTTTTAAATGTCTTGGTGCGTCTCAATCTCCTGACATTTGTCCTGCAATATGTCATGGATACCGATTATCTTAGTTACTACTTCACGCCACTCGTGACGTTTTGGTTTGGTGTCATTTGGATCACGATGTACATTGGCCATGCATCCAATAAGACGCCCTGGTTCCTTCTCAGCAAATTGGTGCTTGCATCCATCTTGACAACCACCCTCATTCACGTGGAAGGTGTATTGGAAGGCCTTTTCGACCTACTTGGACTCCTCTTTAATATCCATTGGAATGCACAAGAATGGCGGTTTCGACTAGGATTGGATGCATGGATTATCTACATTGGGATGTTGTGTGCGTACGGCAATATCAAATTTGCAGAATATCGCATGCATGAGCACCCGTTGTGGCCAACAGCTAAAAAGGTCACCATTGCAGCATCCGCTGTGGCCATGATCGGTTACTTTGTATTTGAGCTTTCGCTTCCAAGCAAATTTACATACAACAAGCTGCATCCTTATATTTCGTGGATCCCCATTTTGGCCTTTGTGGTGCTACGTAATGCATCTGTCAAGTTGCGAAATACATCATCTCGGTTTTTTATCTTTTTCGGCCGTATCTCGCTTGAGACCTTCATCGGTCAATTCCATATGTGGTTGGCTGGTGACACCAAGGGTCTATTGGTGGTCATTGCGCATCCTCGTGCAATGCATGGTCTCGGATGGTGGTTTAATCTCACAGTATCAAGCTCTCTCTTTGTATTCGTTTGTTATTACTTGAGCCAGTCTACAGGCGAAATCACCAAAGTGCTGTGTGCTGCACTCAATCCACCCCATGCCACCACAAATCCCGAATACCAGGCCGTGCCCCTTTTGCCTACTACATCCAACAATAATAATACATCACAACAACAAGCTCAAGAAGGTTCCAAGACCAACCCTCATGCTGCATCAGCGTCGGCTGCATCAACCGAAGAAACTCAACCTGCAGCAGCATCCGACATCGAATCCTCTTCATCATCACCACCACAACAACAGCAAATGGAAAAACCCAGCAGGATGGGACATCTTTGGAAAGACGGTCGTATTAGGACTGGTCTCCTTCTTCTTGTCATTGGTGTTCTTAACCACTTTTGTTAGATCTTTTATCATCTTTTCTTTTTCCCCCTCCACACATCCTTCACATCTCCTCCTACATTGCTTTCTCGATTGTAACATACCATCTCTTTTTTTCCTTGTTCATACATAAAGTGACATTGTTTGCCTATGCTAATTTCACAAGACGTGTTCAAAAGTCAACACATGTCGGCTTTTGTCATTATGTCAAGGGTCCAATGGTATTATCTCACGTGCCTTGCACGTCAATTGAAAGTTAACTGTCAATGTGACAGCAGGCAAGATCGCATGACATGCATTGTATAACCTAGGTCCGCTCTTTTCATGCAAGCATAAATCTAGAGTGGCTATAATGTCTTTTCCCACACATCGGGCCCAAACGCACACACATCTACTTTTATGCTCATATATAAAAAGGGACGAGATCAGTCACTCTATACGACACTCTACACACACACGCACACACACGCACCCATATTGTATGAGAGGCACTCGTTTATGTATCCAAAAAGAAGATGTTGCCTTCTCCACGAATTAAGCCATTAAATCTACAAGGTGGTCAATGGTAAGATCACGTTATTCAAAGAGATGTAGCCAGCCATTCATGTTGATCCATCACATTCTAGTACATGGTGCGGGCGATATGGGCACCAACACCAAAATTGTCCATTCCTGAAATGAAAAATGTGCAAGGCTGTGCAAGACGTGCATTGGGGTTTATCATCCCTCTCCCTTTCTTTCATGATCATCCTCCTCATCATCATCCCCCCCCCTTTCCATTCATTATTCACACCTAAGGCGACAAAAAGTTCCAAGATCGGCTTTTATGTTTTTTTTTCCACATGATGTGTTGTAATGCGACACCAACAACAACAACAAGCTTTCTCTTTTTTGCAAATAAATCATGTTGCCGGGCTAAATAAAAAGGGCTGAGGCTTGCGGGGAGGGGTTTTGTGTGCGTGTGTGTGTATATGCAGATCGTTGCAGGAGCTGCAAGTTGTTGTTTTGGTGATGAACAAACAAGGGGAAAAGTAAAAGGGGGTCATGCGTGCGCGCGTTTGGTGGCGGCGGGCGGCGGCGGGAAACAAAGAAGAGCGACTCACACTCGCATATTCTTTTTCTTCTTTCTTTCTTTTACATTCATACGTATATACACATACACACAAACACATCTCTTGATTACTATTATGACAGTAGAGAATCAAGAATACCATCCTGAATGGGGCATCCTACGTGAACAAGACTTTGTCCAGCTTGCTCTCAAACATCAACGCGATCTGGAAACTCATTTTACCAGCGGAACATTGATATCCGATTTTCACTTTTGGCAAGCCAATCTCGGTGGTTATTGCATGGCGGATATGGTTCAAAGTACGATAAAGATACATATATAAAAGTATGCAATCTCACATGGAAGATGATTCTCTAAATAGACGTTGTCGTATCCCCTGATGGTGTTTTTTCTCTGGAACGTCGCATGGTCCAAGGAGCTCCTCGTGTACGTAGAAAGAAGAGCAAACCTAGTCATCGTCAACAATCATAAACCATCATCATCGTATGTATAAAAAGAGCTATGGTATGATCCCGTGTTCTATGCATCGGTATGTGACTTGACGTGCATATATGCAACCGAAGGATCTATAACACTGGTTCTTCAACAACAATGAAAGAGGGAAAGGATCATCATGTGAAAGAGTCAACAGAGCATGTATATATATATATGTCTTTATGAATTGTAGTTGTGTGAGTTGTAGAGAGTGCAGGTGTTGTTGCAGGTGTGTGTGTGTATGTGTGAGTAGTGTTGGTGTGCATATGCTGTGCAAAGTAAGAGGATGGTGAGAGAGATAAAAAGGGATGATTATATGCAAAGTCGGTAGCTAACGTAGCGGCCAGCAGTCTCACTCTCACGCAAGATCTTGACAACCTATTTTCAACACACACACATCCCATCAGTCATCACCCTAACTAACTACGTATCGGGCCTCTCTCTATTTACCTGTCCACGCTTCAAGCCATAATATCTTGCCACAGGATCAGAATGTTGTATACGAGGAAGCTGTGTTTCCTTCAATCGACTAATGATTCAATGTGAATAAACAAGATTACATCCCATCCCATCATATCACAAAAAGACACTTACTATCGCTGTAAAAGAGTAGCCTTTTGCTCAGAAGTAAGAACCTCATGTCTTGGGACCAGCACGTGATGAGTAATGTTGACAAGCAATTCGTTCTCTTGGAAGAATTCAAGCGTATGTTTTGATGGCATGGATTGGAAGACCTATATCCAAGTTTTGCTTAGATACCACACACACACTCTCTCTTCCTTCTTAATACGCCAACCTAACCAATACTCACCTTGGCAGCTGAAGCAGTCAAACTTTGCTGATAAATACAAATAGCCTTTGGGATTTGTTGTTCTGCCATTCGTTGGACATAGCTATATAAAAGACATGTTAATCTTCCATCATCTTCCTTTTCATTCATTTTCGAAAAAAGACACTTACGCTCTCAATGGCTTGACACCGACGGACTTGTCCTTTGGAAAGAAGACCATAAGTTGATCGGTGGGATCATCCTTCTTTGGAACAACAAACGTCAAGATATCACGACTATATATGGGATGATAAGTATATACGTGGATACTCCTCTCTGAACGCAGGATCTTACTCGACATCACCAGCAGGAGCAAACTGTCGCTTGAATTGGTCCAATTCAATGTCAAGATCGCTTTGGGACACGACGTAACCCTTTGAACAAAAATGGGATCAGTAAACGGATGTCATGGCAAGAGTTGTCGTGTTGATGCCTACTCGATCGTGAACCATTTGGTGAGCTGTACGGTAAACTCGCCAGAGACGAGTGGCTTCGTTGCTTCCAGAATCCATGGCAATCGAGGAAAAAAGTATCGAGGGAAAAGCCTGAGGCAGGTCGCAAACATCTTCAGCCACTGACTTTGAACTATCCCAGCAGCTGCCGTTCCTCACCCTTTGCGTATGTAGCCCAAATCCATGCCCTCCCTCCCAACCACTCGCCCACCCACTTCATCCACCATTGGAACCCTCGACTAGTTGCGATTTGCTTCTTGGATTAGAATTAGCTAGTCCACTATCTATGCATATCATCAACTACAATAAATCTACAACGCGGTTGCTATGATACGTAAATGTAATCTTGGGCGCAGCTTGCTGTAGTTTATCCCCTAAGATGATCATAGTCTTCACACCAAGTCTTCAACATGTTCAATCAATGTACTGAACTTTTTGAATGAATAAGCCATCTTGTTACATAAAGCTCTTGGACCATTCTACTAGGCCACAACATTTCGTATATTGTGATGGCAGCAACAATGTGAATGATGCATAACAATGGGTACAAGTTCTTTATTACGGGGAGGATGTGGCGTCATTGCTATTGATAAAAGATCAAGGTGGATGGGAGGGCATGATAGCAGTAAGCTGTGTCCGAAATCTATATTACACGAGGATGCATATGGTCTCCTTGACCACGGCTCTTTAAGGTACCGTTGACAATGCGGCTGCCGACCGATCGCCGTTTTACATTGACGAGTTTGCTTGTCCTTCTCACACTCCTTCAAACAACTGGCTTGTACCTCTTTCTGAAAGGGTTTCTTCTCACACGACAGACCTTGGACTTGCCGACATTGCCGAATGACAGTGTATCGACACACTTTGATCGGGTGATACTGATCATCATTGACGCGCTTCGTTTCGACTTTGCTGTATCATCGGACCCAAAGCAAGAGAATGAATACTACAGAAACCAGCTACCTGTATTTGAACGACTCTTGGCCCAACAGCCATCCTCTTCCCTTCTATTTCAATTTCGAGCAGATCCACCCACCACCACTATGCAACGTGTCAAAGGCTTGATGACAGGGTCATTACCCACATTCATTGACGCAGGCTCCAACTTTGCATCATCCGCCGTGAACGAAGACCATTTATTACGCCAAATGCGAACACGCTATGACGACTTTTACTTTATGGGTGATGATACATGGGTGAATCTGTATCCAGAGATCTTTGAATCGAACAAGACATTCGAGAGTGACAGCTTCAAGATGTTTGATTTGGATACAGTGGACAATCGTATTCTGGAGCATTTATGGCCTATAGTGGATCAGGATCAGTGGCAAGTCGCTATTGCTCATTTCTTGGGTGTGGATCATTGTGGCCATACCTTTGGTCCATCGCATCCAAACATGGCAACCAAACTCAGTCAAATGAACAAGGTCATTGAACAATTGGTGGATCGAGTCGTGGACGACAAGACGTTATTGGTGGTGATGGGTGATCATGGCATGTCAGTGGAAGGCGATCATGGCGGTGAAAGTGTGGAAGAATTGATCAGCACCCTGTTCATGTACTCAAAACGACCCATCACGGATACACGCATGAAGGACTTTTATCGGCACATCCACGAATCAAGAGCCGATCAGCTTGGTTACAACATGCGTGAGATTCAAGAACGGCTTCATTATGATCCCAACACCTATCCAATCGTATCACAAATCCATCTCGTGCCCACATTGGCATACATGTTGGGTGTCCCTATTCCCTTTGGCAACTTGGGAGCTCTGATTCCAGATGTTGTGATGCCCAACAATGATGCTGCTTCACCCTTGCAACATATGACACACGCGTTTCGACACAATGCACGCCAAGTCCGACACTATCTTGATCAGTATTCGGCACACACAGGCCATCCAGGATTTTCAGCCGATGCCTTGAGTCCCATGTATGAGCACCTTGTCAATGCAGAGAACCATGAAGCCATGGGTGATTTGGAAGATGCTATATTTGAATACGACCGTTTCTTGACAAGCACGATCAAGTACTGCCAAGCGATTTGGGCACAATTTGATGTGGGATCCATGGCTGTGGGCATTTCCATTCTGGTGGTAACCACATGTTCCAGTGTTTATTTATCATTTGTGAGTGAACCAAGTTTGTCATTACGCAGGGCATTCATCGTGGCGGTGAGCACATTACTGGTCAGCTCAAGTGTGGCAATTGTGGCGCTCAAGGATGATATCCGAAGCCATGGATGGTTTGAAAAAATGTCGCAAATGGATGGCTTGCTGGCCTTGATTATGATGGCGTGTGCTACAGTGCTTTTGTTTGGTATCAAGGACCTCCATCATCACTCGACCTTTACACCTACTACATGGATCCTTGTTTTATTGGGTGTCATTGTTCATGCACTCACCTTGGGTTCCAACAGCTTCGTTGTTTGGGAGGATCGCATGATACGATTCATAGCAGCTACATTGTGCGTCGCGTGGGCAGTGTGCAGTCGTCAAATGGGTGCTCCTCTTTTTGTTCTTGGGTGGATTCGCTTAACTGGTCTTGCTGGTCAATGCCGAGAAGAGCAATTTCCTTATTGCCGCTATCTCCACAGCATGTCTTTTACTACCGATCATCCAGCAGCCATGTTAGCATACGTCACATTCAATGGAGCATTGATTTCCTATGTATTACCACGCCTTTTCAAGCAAAGATCGCACAACAAATCTTGGCAGCAATGGATGTATCAAGCCGTTCTTTGTGTGGTGTTTGTTCGGCAGATACAAGAGCTATATGAAAGCAGCAGCAATAGCCCATCATTACCATGGTGGTCATTGAAGTTGTTGAATGTTTATCTACCTCGGATGGTGTATCTTTTCAGCATGGTGGTGTTGCTACGTGCACGCGTATCTTGGTGGTCGTTCATGTCGATTTGGAGTGCCGCTTTGGCTATGCTACAAAGGCCATTGGCAAGTACTATCATGTTGACAGTGCCAGGGATCGTGAATTTATTGACTACGTCGGCGTCATCTGGTGCAGATAGCATTGTAAGGCTTGTATTGATGCATACTATTGGGCAGCATCTCTTCTTCGTTACCGGTCACCAGGCAACATTTACATCGTTACCATGGAAAGCAGCCTTTATTGGATTTGACGACATGAACTATTACGGTGGTGCAACATTGGTTGGATTATCAACACTTGCAGGCCCATTGATAGCATGGATTAGCTGGCCATTGCTTGTATCCAATAGCAGCCGTCATACTCGACCCCAGCAGCAGCAGCAGCAGCAGCTTTCCCTTTACATGCTCATGATCATGCAACTGATTCCTACATGCTTTTCAGCCTTGTTTGTACTTGTCTTACGAAGGCATTTGATGACATGGAAGATCTTTGCTCCAAGATTTTTATTACAGGCCCTGCTCGGGGTAGGCTCTCATATAGCAGTTATCCTGTGTGCGTGGTTCAGCCCAATACAGACAACAACTTGAACAATAGACAAGATTTGAATTGCTCCGATGCGCGTTCCTGAAGAGTGGGTGTATGTGTGTGCGCTGGATGTGTGTGGTGTTGTCACTTGGCCTCTCTTTTTTGTTTTGGTTTGGTTTGTGCGTCTCGGCCATTTTCTCTCTTTTCCCCTTTTTCATTTTTTCTTATTTGACCTTTGCATATTCGTTCATTAGGGGCCATGTCTGCGTATCCCACACTGACCAACCCTCTTTTGACATCATCACCGCCCAACAATCGACGAAATGGTGGTGCAGGCACAAACTCGACCATGCTCAAAGGTCTATCATCAGCATCATTTCGCAACTTTTTCAGCCGATCATTTCATCAGCTCTCGCAAGCCGGTTCTCAGATCAGACTTCCTGCAACCAAGCGTATCGGCCCATCGATATCTTTCAACGAGCATCATTACAAAGATCATCACATAAAGAAATCATCAAGCAATAATCAGCGATCGTCTTCTTCTACATCATCGGATCCTATTATCCATTACAATGGCCCCTGTGATACACTGGATCAGCTACCAGATGAAAAATTGGAATGGATCAAACATGAGCCTGCCACTGCAGAAGCCTTACGACACCCTTTGTTGGATTGCCCAAAATCCATTGTTCTTCGAAAGCCCGTTACGCGTAGCCAAACATTGTAGGTACACCCCCCTCCCGCCCCCATTCACTTGCATAAAACATACACCCTGCTTAACATGACAATGATGCTTTAGTCCCCTTGTACATGAACATGTCAACATCGCCACTCCCAAAGCTACATTTTATCTACGGGGTACGTAACGGCCATCATTATCATATAGCATGTGACGAAGCTAATGGTCTTTTGTATACCTAGTCATCCAATTCGTTCATCACAATCTCACCAAACGTAAGTTTATCATTTCCAGTCATATAAAAAAGAAGAAGAAGAATGCCATTTTATTAATGAAATCCATACAAAATTAGCCTGTAATTTCCGTTGTTCGGTCCAAGTGGGTCAAAGCATTTGTACGGGTCAAGTTACAGCGAGCGAGAAATGCGGCAAACATAACATTCAAGCAAACGTTGATGAAACATTTCTATTGTAAGTGGCCATCTATGATTGCATCCATCCATCGCCATTAAAAGTACTACTTTTTTATTAGTGACATTGATCAACCAGCGACAGCAGTGTTGAAAGTTTTTACCCAGCCACGAACCGCCCGTATCATACGAGGATTCACGCGGCATCAGGAAGAGACATGTATCGGAAAAGAAGAATTCGTTGTGCCTGTACAGTCATGTGAAAAGCAATTACGTCGAATCAGCCTACCAGGTACACCAGAATGCCAAGCACTTGTGATTTATGGCACCTATGTCAGCAGCAGTGCGCAGGTTTTGCTTGACAACAAATGCATCTATTCTGGTTTTATCACTGTATATATACGAGGACAATTCACACCGGTAAGCATGCCATTTGATTTCTCTCTTAACGCGTGTTACTCATTGTGGGATATATATACAACAAGAAATGGGAACGATTTTGGGCGGCATTGCATGGCACAGCACTTTTTCTTTATGATTTTGAATACAGGGTGGTAAGTGATGTTATTCTTTGTGATTGTAGAATGAACAATGAGGCTTGACAAATGATCTACATAGAACCGCCCACCTCTTTATACCATCCCGCTTTATTTCTTTGTTCAAGTACTGCACCCTTCCATGGATGATGATGAACGACAAGTGGACGTTGGCCCTTTGGGTCTTGCTCTTCAATTTATCGAACGTGCATTGAGTAAACGGGATTTAAGACGACTCGAGGAAACACCCCACTTTGAATGCCGCATGTATGTTTTACCCGACACCATGGAAGAATCACGCGATTGGGAAGCAGCGTTTGCCTATGTCGCCTCCTTACTAGATCAATATCGTAACATGGATCACGACGATGACGATGACGACTACGATAATGCTTCAACCACGTATACCGGAAGCTTAAGCTTGGGAGAAACATCCTCCTCTTACATGACCAGCTACAGTCAAGATATCTATGAAGCGTACGGGCATTATGACGAAGATGATTATTCGGATGGCACAATCGAGGATGAAGAGGATGAGGATGGTAATCCCATTGTTGTACCCTCAAAATTCATGTGGTGAAGTGCATATTGTTTTATTTAAAAAGTGTATCGTACCAGTAAAGAGGTATTAGGAGGATACAATCAAATTCAGTTTGTCACATGTGGAAGGGAGGGTGATGGATCAAATGGCATAAGGCGTCTGTATAGCAGCCACTGACGCATGTTGGTATGGTAATGGGGTGGGGCTTCGATAACGTATACCTTAAGCACCCATTTCAAGTCCAATCTATGAGTTGATCTTGGTGAAAAAAGGTTCTACATTGGGAATGAACGATCCATCTCGCTCTGCTTCATCCACACAATAAGGTATGATGTAATGGATGGGGCCAAGAAATTGGAGCAAAGGAAGCTCTTCATACAATACAAGCATTAATCAAACCCCCTTGAAATGTTTCGTGATGGTGAGATTAGTGTTAATCACGTATCTGGTTTAGAAAAACGTGTGATATGAGTTTTTATAATGCAGCGTCAAGGATGATCGCCTTTGTCTGTCTTGTGTAACCAAATCACGCAGGTTGTTTAATTGATCTACTCCTTGCTTAATTTCTTCATTCTTTCTTTTTCTCTCTTTTTCTTTTCACTATGCGACTTGCGATCGTTATAGCTCTGATACTTATAGTTGTCCAAGTGCAGGCTGGCTTGTTGGGTGATATTTTTGGTGGTGGCGGTGGTGGAGGTGGTGATCCAAACAATGGTGACCAGCAACAACATAACAATCCACAACCATCATCATCACCCACGCAAGCCAACCCTGCTCAACCCTCCAACCACCCACAACAACAACAACCAAGCAATTCAGTTAGCAATCCACAGCCATCCGCTAGTGTAACAGCATCAAACAATCCACAACCATCACTATCCAAGACCCATCCCACATCTACATCTGATTCACAACCATCACCCAGTGACAACAACAATGACCAGAGCAACAATTCGGATGCTACAAAGAGCCCAACAAGTGATAATACAAGCACGAGGTCCGGAGATTCGACACAACAACAACAACAACAGCATAAAGGACCAGGTGGGATAAGTACCACTGTTATTATTATTGCATCTGTTGCTGGATTTGTGATTGTGGTGGGAAGTGCTCTTGCCTTGGTATTGTGTGCCAAACGACGTCGACGACAAAGTAAAAATGACAAGCTTGCAGCAGCACAGGAGATGCATGATTTCCCCTACGAAAGCAACCCTTCACCTGTCATGATCAACGAAAAGGAGCCTCCTACTAATAGCAACAACAACCTTTACAACACTACTGTTACTTCTCCGCATGTATCACCGCCTGCTCTCCATACATCACCACCGGCTAACGAATACACTTACAATGATGCATACTATGCTCCACCAATGCAGCCTTCTGCTACGGCATATCCAACTTACGATGCTCATCAACATTACTATCAACAGCCAGCAGCAGCAGCAGCAGCAGGGCCTCCTGTATATGCATCCCCCAATGCCTATGAAGATGTGCACCGACCCAATGCTTATGATGATCAACAACAAGCAGGATATCCATATTCACATCAACAACCAATGCATCGATGGTGATCAAATTAGAAGAAATGACATTTTGTGTAGTAAAACTTAAATTTGCAATTCTTTTTATTGGGTGGGCTCTTCATTTCCATAATACTCTACTACTCCTGCTGGTGCTGTCAATCATGGAAAGACATTGTTGCTGTAGCACAGCAACGACACTTTTATCAGGTCCGATGCTTGTGTATATATGTGTGTGAGTGTTTTGGTTGGCATGACATCCATCTGCATAGCGTAGCATAGCATAGCATACATGGAGAGTGCGTCATTTTTGGAGTCTGAATGATACATGGCTCGTTCCGAAAAGCCAGGTGATAGTCGAAAGTGATAGTGTGCTACTTTTGCCCCTCCTCTCTCTTTTCTCCCTTTCCGCGTTCCCTCTTTATTTTCAGCTTGCGACATTCCCTTGTTCACTACTACCACCATTCTATCTAATTATACAGCAGGCGATGGACACCGCCATGTCAGCATTGGATCCACCTCCTCCACCTCCTCCACCACAACCGACCATGCCTGAAAAACGGTCATCCCAAGTCTTACGCGAGGTTTATGCAACACCCTTATTCACCCTTCACCTACTACTACTACTCCTCTTGAATCGCGAGAAATTGTAACACCCCGTACTTTTTACTAGTTGGATGATCTGTTGGCCAAGCTCGACAAGGAAACCAAAATGAAGCTCGGTGTGGAGAACATGCTGGAAGTCTACATGCAGGACAAGAAACGTACAAAGGACCTCGAGACCCAGTTGGATACCTATAACACAGCTATTGGTGACACTGTTCAACGTATTGAATCGATTCGTACCAACGCAGGTATGCATACATGCAGCAACGCACACTCTACTACAGTATCCAGGATAAATGACACCCATAGTTACGTTACTTTTTAGGTCCCTATACAGCACAAGTGGCTCAACGACTCAAGGAATTGAATTATGCTGGAAACGCCCTTTTCATCAACTCCATTGCATCATCCGCCCAGCAACGTTCTCGCACAAAGCCAAGATCCAATAGCTCGCCTAATATCAAAGCAAAGCAAAAAGCATCTCAAGAAAATACGTCGTTTCCAGATGATGGTATGGATGGATGAGATGAGGGAAGTGTATGTATATTGTCATTTGGGAGGGCTTACAATATTGATACAGATGCTTGGCCTATTGGGAAACGGTTACATCATATCATCACCCAGCTAAGGATCGACGAATGGAAAGCAGCAAAGCCTGGCACCTCGGCAGATGCACTCGTCATTAAGGAATCAAAGCTGAGCAAGTTGGATATTCTGCTAAGGATCCTGAAAAACACAGCAGACATTGATCCCCATTATCCAAAACAAAATATAATGGCATGGTAAGGTATATTCTACATGTGGAGGTATTGCCGAGGTATTGATGTTATTTATAGTTTACGCCAATGCATCGCAAGCCCCAGTCGAGAAATCCGTGTCATGAGCTTACGTACCATACGTCACTTGGTGGAAGGGCCTGAGGATGTTGAATTGATGATGAAGATGCAAATGGATATTTTTATAGCTCGGTAAGTAAGGGAATGGCTATATGGATGGTGACGAGTTACTAATCGTGTTTAGTGCTCTCTCACGAGATTCCACCAATAATGAACCAGAACGAGAACAAGCGCTCAAACTCGTACGAGCATTTATCGACTATGAAGGATTACAATACATCAACCAGAATGTGGTACGAGCAGTGGTTGCTATTGCAGAGCAAACGGATTGCCGCTTAAGAAATGTATCATTGGAAACTTTGGCAGAACTTGGTATGTACAACAAGATGGATGGGGGGAAGAAGAGTAGGTAGGGTACTAAATAGTGGGATTAGCTATCTTGGATATTGGTTTAACAGTACGCTCGGGTGGATTACGAGTCCTTATGCAAGCGTTATTGGATGGGCAATTGAATATGACGGAGGTCCTCGTCAATGCATTGGTATACATCCTTGATACGCCTGGCAGACGATGCTTTTTGCGACCTGGTGTGGAACTTGAGATCATCATTGCACCTTTTACGGAGACTGGCAAAGGACCAAACTATGAAGAGCGGCTCAAGAACAGTGCACGTGTGGTCACCTTGCTTCTCAAGAGTTGGGCAGGCGCATTTTTAATGTGTGCCAATAACATGCGTGCTGCAAGATCTGTTGTTCAATCTCTACGATTTCCTATGCCAGAAACTCAGGTACGCGTGCACCATGAAAAGGAAGGATGAAAAGAATGAAGGCATTGATTATGGAATGGGTCTATAGAAAATCGTGCTGGACATGTTTTTCAATGTATTCCGAGTGGATTTACCCAAAGATTATCAAAACTTTTTATCGGGTCGACAACATGCAGTTCATCTAGCACCCTCCAATGGCAATGATGCCGACAAAGCAACAATGCCACGAGGAGCACCACGATCAGTATTGACGGGAGGAAATGATATCATCAAAGGACTTGGAACAGGAGAAGCATACTCATCATCAGAAGGAAAGCCAGGCGACAAAACGGCAGCCAACAATGCTGAACGACTCAACATGCTTGATCATCACCTATGCATCATTCTCATTATATTTATCGATGCGGATATCCTTATGGCGTTAGTGGATATGGTCAAATCGGATGACATTTATATTGCTCGAAAGGCCACACTCTTGATTGGCGAGATCCTACAACTATCAACACGCTTGTTACCAATCATGATGGGAATTCAGGTTCAATCTTTGCCAAAGCTATTCGCCCTCGCATCCAATTTCGAAGATGAGCAAGTCCGACACAATGCCACAGCAGCTTTAGCTCATATTGATCGGCTGACACGTGCACGGACTCGATTGTATGCAGCACCTTCTGTTGCTGATTTACGGAGCAAAGAGGAACGCCTTGTCAATGCAGCTCGATCACAAGGAAAGGTGCTTGAAGTGAAGCTAAAGATTGGATATACAATTGATGATACGCACTTTCGACAATTGTTGATGGACAGCCAAGTATTCAATACCAAAGACTATACCAAGTGGAGCTGGGAAAGTATCTCGGAGCTGTTCCAGGGTCCTTTATTGAATCCACGGCGACTTGAAGAAGCCATGCATGGCAAAAAGTTTATCAAGCGATTGCTTTCATTTTATCGTCCTTTCGAACATCGATTCTCGGATATCAATTGCAGCAAGGCGAACATTGCTCGTTACTTGAAGATCGGCTGCTTGCTTATGCAGACATTGTTAAGCAATCCTGATGGTGTACGTTATCTTGCAGAAAACAAGCTACTGCTTCAAATTGCGGATGCATTAAGCGAGCTTGATCCATTGAAAGGAGATCCAGAAACCGAGCCCATCTTTTCCAAAGAACGCATGGAGAATACGCTTAGCTGCGGCTACTTTACATTGCTCGGTGTCCTTAGCAAACACAAGGAAGGCGTACGGCTTATGGAACGATTCAAGATTTTCAGCTTGTTTTATCAATTATCAGAATTACGCAATCGAGACGATCTCAAAATTGCCATCATCACCAACATGGGCTATTCACTCGATGGTCACCCACGTGTATTATTATCCAAAATTATGACCTCAGGCTATAACCCGATCCGTTTGTTTGCAACACAACACCTTGGGGTCATCATGCGTCGATCTGAAAACGAGTATAATGGATGGATCATTCGATTATTGATGACACAGCTTTATGACACACACTTGGACGTATGCCAAATGGCAGTCAACCTACTCGATGAAGCATGTGAAAAGCAAGCCAACCTGGAGCTCTTGGTCAAGTACCGACCCAGCCTTGGCCATTTGGGTGAAATTGGTAATCCATTGTTGTTAAGGTATGGAAAGGGAGGAAAAATTCATCCATAAGAGCTAGGTTTTAACATTCTATATTAGGTTCTTGTCGACGTCGACTGGTTTCCGATACTTGTATGCCCTCGGTTATGTACAAAAAGAAATGGATGATTGGTTTGAGGTAAGAGAATGGCCATCCCCGCAACCTGTTTTATGCAACTATACTCATAATGGACATTAGTATCGAAATCAGCAATATGTCACTCAGCTGGAGCTGTCGCTGGCGAGAGCACTAGTCAATACACCTGGGAAGAAACAACGCAATCCTTTTGAAGAACGAATCGATAGTGAAAATAATTATGAGAATCTGTGAGTATATTTTACATCGCTTGGATTTTCATCACACTCACACATGTGCCATGTTTTGAATGATGTAGCCAAGCAGGAGATGGATTGACACCACCCCATTTCTATGGAGAGCTTACAAAGACCGAGGAAGGATGCGCACTTTTACGTGACAAGGGTCATTTCCAGTACTTTGTCGATTACATCCGCAATTATTCTCTTGAGAACCAAAACGTGGAAGTATTTCAGCAATTGAAAGCAGTGCTCTGGGCGGTTGGCAACATTGGCTCCACCAAGAATGGGTTGCCGTTTTTGGAAGAAGAGGACATCATCAAGGACATTGTAATGATTGCTGAAAATAGTGAAGTCCTCTCTCTCAAGGGGTAAGTGATTTTTCACAATGGACAAGCATGCATCATTGTACTGATCATTGTTGATAGCACGTGTTTTTATGTTCTTGGTCTGATTGCTAAGACACAACAAGGTGTAGAAATACTTAGCGAGCTCAATTGGGAAGGTGTCATATCTCCTAACGGTGCCCCTGAGGGTCTATGTGTTCCACAAAATCTTGCTCTTTTCCTTGCTGTAAGGTTTTCTTATGTCATCATCTATCATGCATCACCTAATCACCATGTTGTTCCACCCATAGATCCCCAATTGGGAATATACCCCTACACTTTCAGATCCACCTGTTTTACCAATCTCAATCACCGACGATCCCATTATTTCAGATATCCTCAAGAATATTGGTGACATGAGTAATCACATTCTTGCTAATGAAGCATCGAAAAGTCTTGCAAGGTGAGTAACATCAAAAGATGAAAAGACATGAATTAACGTGTGCAATACATGCATCCAGATTACGACAGCGCCATCCCGACTATTTCAAACGCACCGATTTGTTTTATTGTGTATGTCAATATTTGGGCAGTTACCATTTCCGAGCACCCGTGCGAAAGTATATTCTCGAGATCTTTGATATGCGATTCACGACCGAGTTGCTAGAGGAGTTGGATAACGTGGCGCAAAGACCTGCTACAACCAGCCATAGTGACGACGACGATGAAACTCAAAGCGAGGCACCTCCATCACCTGACGACGACGACCGGCCTGAAAGGGAGCTGGAACCCGACAAGAAGGCTGTGCCCCAAGAAACATTAGAACCCAAGTGTAAAAAAGTAGGCTTTGATGTACCAAGTTGAACAAAAAAAGAGAACAATAATTGTGTGACAAAAGAATCTTACATGTTTGTTATATAATGAGGTAAAAAGAAAAAGAAAAGACAAGAATGGCGGGAATGGGATGGTGATAGGAATGATGATGGGATGAACAATTACAAAGAGGATGATTAGGAGAGGGAAACTATCTACACGTCAAGGTGCTCGGGCATGGCACCAGCACTTCGGATGGCTTGCTTAAGATCATCCAATAAATCTTCAACGTCTTCAATGCCAACACACAATCGGATAAGGTCTTCGGGGAAAGCACGTTCAGCACGAACATGAGCAGGGATGGAGGCGTGAGACATTCTGCATGGCATACTATAAATGACACATTATTAGAAAAACACCGTTCTTTTCCCACGCATGTCATGCATTCATCTTACCTGATCAAAGAGTTGACACATCCAAATGATACACTGATACTCCACAACTTTGCAGCCTCTACAATTCGTTCGGAAAGTCCAATGTCACCTGTTTCGAAAGAAAGTACGGCGCCAGGGCCACTTGACATACGCTTGTGCAATTCGTATTGAGGGTGCTTGCGTGATCCAGGATAGTTGACCTTGAAGCCACATTGTTCAAGGAAATCAACGACTTGAATAGCATTCGATTGTTGACGATCCATGCGTACAGCAAGCGTCTTAACACCACGAAGGAGTAACCAAGAATCAAAGGGGCCCAGACCACAACCCGTGGCGTTAATCACATAGTAAATGCGCTACACAATAAACATACAAACAAATGAGCTCATGTTTTGATGATACATGCAAGGAGAGAGAGAAAGAAAACTCACGTCAGCAATGGCTTCACTGCGAGTACCAATGACACCAGCCATCAAATCATGATGACCTGCCAAGTACTTTGTACCGGAATGATATTCAATGTCTGCACCAAGATCCAAAGTACATTGCAAATAAGGGCTCATCATTGTATTATCGACCACGACCAATGCTTCAGGACACTTTTCATGGACATGCTTTGCAATGGCACTGATATCACAAATCTTGATCAAGGGGTTGGTGGGCGTCTCGAGAAGCACCAATTTCGTCTTGACTGGATCCAGATAGGGCAATACGGATTCAGCCTTGGTTGTGTCAACATGATGTGTCTTTATGTTTTGGGTCTTTGCGAGATACGACAACAATCGATTGGTGCCACCGTATAAATCATCACCAGCAATAATCTCATCACCGGATTGAACAAGACGTGAAATAACATCAAGTGCGCTCATGCCACTGGATACAGCATACGCCCGTTTGGCATTCATGATCTTGGCCAAGTGGTTCTCTACATAGATAACCCCGCCAACATCAGTATCTATACAAGATCGCATTATCCATGTCATATAAAAAAGAACCCTTACCAAGTTGAGTACGTGTAGGGTTGCCACTACGAGAATAGTCGTAATCGCCACCACCACCGGCTCCTACTTGCTTGAATGTTGCAGACTGGTAAATGGGGACCGAAGCAGCATTGTGGGGATCGTCGGGATTGTCGACGGTGACCACTTCAGTGGCAAAACGATAGCGTCTTTGCTTGATAGAGGATGTGGGTGAAGAAACAGCGGAACTAGCCATCAGTTGTATTATTATGTATGCTGGTGGTTGGGTTGTATAAAGAAAGAAAGAGAGAGAGAAAGATACACAAGGCTTCACGACAATGGGAAATGGGGGGAATTATGTGTAGCAACATGTCCGCGGAGATTCCTTGAACCAATCAAGCTAAATGACCATGACGAATCATTCATCATCTGTCATAACCTTGACCTCCCGATCTCACACATCAAACCAACTAAAAATCATCTTGAAGACGTCAACGCGTTAAACTCATCATCGTATAACTCCTCCTCCATCATCATTTGAAAGACGCGGGTACCAAACGATGCCATGGCTATTATTGTTAGAGATAGGTAACATGCATAATAAAGCCGGCTCAACATCCGGTAAATATCAATCATGCTACATTCAAAAGGGGACCTACCGTTGATTGGTCAACAACGTATGGAGCAATCATCATCACTATTTACTTATGCAACCTTGAAGATCATTAGTAGTGATAGTGTGTTTAAAGATGAGTCACGTGGTTTAATGCAATTAGGGTGGTAACCCAGCATTTGGGCATTTAGAGATTGCTGATCACAGCATAAAACAACGGGGATTCTATTTCAATCGACTTGTTGGTGTATAAAGCTTTATGATGAGATCCTTTAGATCACTCATTGTCAAAGAGCATTGTAGGCTTAGAAGAAAAGCACATGTTGAGAATCAAGGAAAAGGGTAATGTCGTATAGTATATGGCACAAGCGATCATCAATTCGATATTTGTGTCGAAAATTACGTTTATTGCAAAAATACTGTTACATGGATCCAGGCTGGTCTCCAGGCACATTTACTATCAAAAAGATATGATTGTTAATACCCATGTTCATTGTACGCTACTAAGGATGATGATGATTTTACCTGTTGCATCTTCTTGGAGCTGTCCTTGCGATCCAAGATGGCTTGACGGCTCTTGTCGATCTTGAGCTTGGTAACAACGACGTTGGAGGGGTGGATACCAATGGGGGCAGTGGCACCTGATTGATCCATATGATTAGTTTATCCTTTCTCTTAAGGCTGTTGCCATGACAACAAACTTACCGTTGACCTTTTCACGGTTGACACGCTCAATGTGGATAACCCACTTCTTGCGGTAGACTTGGACAACCTTGCCCTCACGGCCCTTAAGACTGCCACGGACAACCATGACCTCGTCGTCAGTGCGGACAGGAATAGAGCGAGTCTACAAATGTCATTGTCATTGGTTGGTTGGTTGTGTTCTCTTTTTCTCGTAAGGGTATGTCGAAGTAGGGTTGCATGCTGTTGTCGTGCAAAAGTTGGGTATTCAATGGTGACCGAAAAGACTTACGTTGTACTTTTCACGAAGTTCCTTGGAAAGAGGAGAGCTCATGATCTTGCGACGAATGCTGGAGGGGGCGGTGAAGTGAGCCTTTCTGCTCTTGCTACGCGAAGAGCTAACATCTACATCCCATATTTAGATCATCCATTCATCCATCCAACCTAATCCACCCTATATCGCATTCATCCATCCATCACTCTATCCATGCCATCCATCATCGTTATCTCGATTGCTTACCAGCACTGAACTTCATGTTGTAAGTACTTGGAAAGGAGGAACTATACGCTGGGCCCTGGCAAGCTATCCTCTAGACCGAAGCGCCACAGTGGGCAGTCGGCTACTCCCCTCGTTCGATCTCCGAGTCCTTAGTGACACAGAAGCCATGCTACATACACCACCCCTTTTGACAGCAATATCGCGCCCTTCATTTCATTATAAAGTTGATGATGCATTACCTACCTACCTACCTGATCATTTCAATGCATCCTATTGTATCACTTTCAACATGTTTGTTATACCCGCTTGTCCTTTAGCCTCCAATCCATTATCTCCCAAACCCCCAAATCCATCAACAAAGCACCAACTATTGGGGATAAAATCACATGTGGCCAATTGTCATCCAATATCATTATTAAAAACCGTATTCATTGTATACATACAACATAATCTAATGGCTGCGAGATCCCTTTTGTTGTTGTCGTTGCTGTTTGCTAAAAGCCTTGACTTGATTCTCGGTCACCTTGGACCAAACGTAAAAGACGGCGAGGAAAGCCATATGAAGTAGCATAGCACCAGTGGCTGTCATGTAGGGTAATGTCTCTTGTTTACGTGCATCGAAATAAAGATAGGCCACAAGAGCATGATACACCATCAATCCCGTTGCTACACGACACACATTCCATTTTTAAGTATAAAGGTGATCCATCAGCATCAACCATGATCCCATCCATACCTGTAGCACGTTTACACGGAAGCATGTCAGGCAAGTTGAAGCACATTAAGCTTGCAAGAGCAGCACCCAGGATAGCAACACCATAACCACGTACGGCCAAAATACCAGCTGCGTTGTCGTTGAGTGATAAAGTTGATTCTACAATTTGAGGAGCAAAGAACAATGCGAGACCAAGGGAGCCATGAAGGGTAGCATGCTACTCAAAGCATTAGAATGCGACTCTCCCATTGCGACGTGTACAAAGCTTACCAGTGCAAAAACCAAGTCGAGACGTGCCATAATATCAGGAAAAGGAAAAAGGGAAATCCGATTACCGCTATCAATGCATTTTTATGAAAGCTTTCTCGGCGGAGTTCAGTTGAAGACACTCACATCACATCACTGATGCGCAACGAGAACCTTAATAAGCAAGATTTTATTTACATGATCCCTATTTACACTTCAAGAGCAGGACTACCAGGAGATTCTTCATTTGAAAACTTGGTAGCAATGAACACCTTGATGACGCCACCTTCCCTTTGGTCGAATCGCTTATAAACTTCAGGCGTTTGCTCCAAGGGGAAACGATTGGTCAAGATGGCTGTTGGATCAAACTATCAAAGAGAATAAGGAACACCATCCAATAAATGTGTTTTATGTACTTACATCTCCATTGTCGATGTGTTTGAGACACGTCTCCCAATAACGCTGGATAGGAGCTTGCCCACATCCAATCATTCGAACGCCCTTTTCCATAAGAGCCCCAACCAAGAAATGGTTTGTGTAAGCAGCGTAATCAGCAATGATGCTAATAGTGCCAAACTTTCTGGTAGCACGCAGAGCCTCGTTTAGCACCTCTGGAGAATCCGTTTCCAAGCCAACAGCATGCTCAAACTTGTGAAGGAGCGATTTTGTGAATCTGAAACCAGCACAATCGATAGCACGATCCAAACCTTCGGGGACAAGCTCGAGGATTTTGGCAGAGACATCTTTTTCCTTTGAGTAATCGATTGTTTCAGCATCCCAATACGACTTTGCCAAATGCAAACGGGCCTCGGTATCATCAATGGCAATGATACGTTTGGCTTTGAACACTTTGCGGCACCATTGTACTGCCAATAAACCAATAGGGCCAAGGCCCCAAATGCCGACAGTGTCACCTTCTTGCACACCAGCTTCGTATACAGCATGATAGGACGTGGGAACAATATCCGAAAGGAAAAGAGCCTTTTCATCAGGTAGTTTTTCGGGTACCTTGAGCAGGTTAGTGTTGGCAAATGGAACACGGCCATATTCGGCCTGGCCACCTTTAAACCCACGTGTCAATCAGTAAGATTTCATTGTTCCCGTAATATTTTCTTCTTCTTACCGGCAAATCCACCCACAAAATGTGAGTAACCAAGAATGCCACCTGTACGTTGACCATACAATTTCTCTTGCAGCGTGCTGTCATTGGTTGCTTCACAAGAGGTGAACAGCTTTTTTTGACAATATCGGCATCGACCACATGCAACATTGAAAGCAGCTACAACACGATCGCCAGGTTTCACATGCGTGACACCTTCTCCGACCTTGTCAACAATACCCATCATCTCATGTCCAAGAATATCGCCCTTCTTGAGTTGCATGATTTCCCCATGGTACAAGTGCAGATCAGAGCCACACACGGTTGTGCCCGTAATCTTAATAATGGCATCCTCCGGATCCGTCAAAGCGGGAACTCCCACTTGCTGCATCTCCAATTGCTCCTTGCCAAGCCAAACACACGCCAACATCTTTTCACCTGGTTCCGTATTTTGCGTATCTTGATTCGAGGCTGCTGTTGGATGTGCACCCAACTTGTCTTGGATGATATTTGCTGCTGCATTCATCATTTTGAATAAGGATTTCGAGAATGAGCGAGAGAGTAAATGTGTGTGAAAAGAAAAAAAAAAAAGAATGCCCTTCACCCCTGTCATTGGCAGGTCTGTATATAACCCTGCATCTTGGCTTGCATGAAATCATATTGACGTTTCAAAATTTGTTCATTGCTACATCAGTAGAATAGCATCAGCAGCCGCCAAACATGAATGAATGACATACACTCAATGGAAAGAAGCCAATGTTTCCTTTGTAAAAGCACGACGATGATATAGAAAGAGTCATCATGAATCGCTTTTTACGTTGAATATCATGCGCTATCATGCGGGCTGACAAGAGAATATCATGCTGACTATGCATGTTACACAGAGGATTTGGCACGACGCATCTGCAATGCACAATGGTTGAAAAGCGTGGCGTTTTTATTTGTTGTCCACTGCAAGGAGAGAGCTTGTAGTAGCATATTTCCTTTCTTTCCATCTTTTGACCCCTTATTCTTATCTCTTTTTCTCGTTTACTTTTTTCTTTTCCTTGGCTTATGGACGCCGTTTCCACCACTACCATCGCCATGACGACCACATCAGGCACCATCTTGTCGCTACCCAACGAGGTGTTGTTGTCTGTTGCAGACCATCTTTGCTTGGGTGATTTATATGAATGTAATCGCGTGTGTCGTCCATGGCATTATATATTTCGACAAGCATTGTATCGCAACATCGATATACACGATACATGTTCAGCCGATTCGCTTGTTGCATCCTCGATACCCCTTCATGCGATTCGTCACCTTTACCTTGCCAATCAAGTCGACGTTCATAGTGCAACGATGTCAGCTTTCCCATGGTCTCGTCTTCAATCGCTTCACACAACCCAATTGGTCCTTGAGTCAATACCTATCCAATCCACTTTTCTCTCGTCTCTCACGCTTTCCAATGTCCAAATGGAAACACTTGCGCCTTTTTTCACTCATATGGGTCGCCTTACAAAGTTGTCACTGAACTTGACTGGTGGTGGGGAGTTGTTGATAAGCGACGTTGATCACATTCTGCAAGCGTGCCCATATCTTGTGACACTTGAGCTGCAGGGTGATGTGCTATCATCATCAAACCTTATCCGCCAGATTTCCTCATCAGAGATCCAAACACGGCTTTCTAGACTTACCAGTTTGGCGATCCGTTTTAAGCGATTTGATTATGACGCAGCTGTACCATGGTTTACATACATTGCAAACACTTTACATGCGTTACGTCACTTGACTCTTGAAGGGGAGAGCGTCATGGTAGACCTTGTAGAACAGCAACATCAGCGACCAATCAACCAACAAGTGGATGCAGCATTTGTTGCGTGTGTTGGTGTCACACGTTTACCCCTCAAATCAATGAGATTACGTTATCTGGGTTATCTTCTACGTCCCGATTTGTACTTGCTCTTGGTGCACCGTATACCCAACGTCGATTTACAAGGCATCGAATTACAGCTATGCAGGGAAGGATGGCTAGAGCGCATATTGACAAGTATGCATTCAGCCGTACAAAGCTTATCAGTATCCATGGTTTATCCACGTGCGCTTTGCACCTCACCCGTATTGCGTACTTGCCAATCTTTACGTGAACTTACCATTGGGCGTACATCTGGATTTTGCAGCAGCCGTGGTCATTGGCAACTACCCTTGGTGGATATCTTAGCACATGCAACATCGCTTGATTCACTCACTCTTTGTCAAGTCACCCTCACAGACGCTGATGACAACAACAACGTTGCATTGGATGCTGGGATTCACCATCGTTTACGTCGTTTAGTATTGAAAGGTGTGGTATTATCGAATCATGTGTTTCAACGAGTGGCACAATCATGTCCCAACATGGATTGGTTGGAAATGAATCAGTGCAAATGGATGGATAGTCGGCAACAGCAACAAGGTCAAATTCCAACACCTGGTAAAATCCATTTACCTCAGCACCATCTTCGCATGATCGACATTTCACAATCCGGGCACTTGTACAATTTGAAAGGATACCAGCTACTAGCATTAAATGGAAGGCAATGGCTGAAGTCGACGAGTAAGAAGGATCAAAGTCGAGAGATAAAGACGTGGCAACAATTGAGAGAAGCACACAAGATACCAAGGCGATGTGAATTGGTGAATCCATATACGGTAACAGACCTGGAGATATGGCATCATGGTCATCTGGAGTTGTCATGTGCTTCAGTGGAACATTTTTACTTTAATGGATCTCGTGTTCCTATACCCCTCCTCCTTTCCTGAACGCTTCCTTTGATCCACTTTCATTCTTTGTTTTGTTTGTTTGCTCTCTTTTTCGTACTATCAATAAACCATTTCCAATGCATAATCCCCCAACCAAGACAAGCAACAAAGGCTCTACATTGTATTACCCAAAGTTGTTCTAATATTATTTCTTTATGCTTTTTGCCTGTTAACCTCGCTAATCAATCTTCTATTGTTGTTGCACTTTTTCTGGAGCAGCAATCTTGCCGTACACTCGCCACATGTCTTCAGGATCAGAGATGGTCTTTTGGAAAACGACATACTCCAAAATGTTATGCACCTTGTTGGGGTCACCACCCACCAATCGGTTCTTCTTGTCGTACACAGCCATCGACTAAACGAATAATGTTGTCAGATCACCCGATGTTTTTTCTTTGCCATTCTTCCAATATTACCTGTTTGGTGTACATTCTCAAGGTAGCCTGTGCGACTGCAAAGCCATGCTTGCTAAGACCCGTTGTGCCGACGCAACGTACACACACAATCTTTGGTGCTTCAACCTCGCCATGATAACGCCATTCCCATCGAGCACTACCACGGTTCTTGATTTGATTCTTCAAAGTCTAAGACATCCATCCATCTCACCACGTAAGTCATTTTGTTTTCCTTTTCCATGGATGCTTTTGCTTACCGAATACATAGAATCCAAGCACGTCTCTTCCAATACTTCACGATCTCCTCTATTCATGCATACCAATGAATGCTGTTTCCATGGCAAATCCTTCATCCTATATTTACCTTGCAAAGGCATCGTTCATATCCTTGTACGTTTCCTCGGCAACCTCAAGGAATTTGCGGGAATCCCATTTTTCATATTGAGACTTGTATTTGATAAGACCGACACTAATCCAATACCATGATGAGATCCACTTGCTCACTATTACAAAAAGGACACTCGATGGTACCTGAGCATGTTTTGTACACCATTCTTGAGGTTACGCCACTTGGTCAATCGCCACCGTCCAAAGTCGGTGATAGAAGGCGACTGCTCAGGAGGGACATAGTTGGCTATTGCAACCCCACTTGTCAGTAACTCTTTTCTCGAATCGTCGAAGGGCAGGAGGGTGGTGTGGTGTTGTCACTTACCAAAGACGCCATGGTCACGAATAAGGACTTGCTTGCCCTGCTGATCGCGGTTGCTGGCATACATGCGATGTTGTTGTTGGAATTGGAGAGCAGCCATAGCGCCCACTTGACGCTGGAATGCACGTTGTGCAAGAACAACGGGTTGTGTTGCTGTCAATGAAGGAGTCAATCGTAAGCCTCGAAGCGCCATTTCGTGAGTGGGGGGTGGGAATAAAAGGCAAGAACAAGAAGTGTCAATGGTAGGTTAACTGCCAAACAATTTGTTTTTTTGCGGCGGCTGAATGTTACCAGGCTGATGACAGCTTTCATCCTCGCCCACGCATGAACAATGACACCATCTCCCCCATTCTTTATCTACATTGATTATCCCTTATGTTGCCATGGCTTTAGAATAGAAACGACTCTCCATAAAAGAATGTATGTAAACATCACTTGATTTTACTACTACTACAACTACAACTAGCAGTTGGGTGATCATTGGGCACATTGTGTAGCTGCATTTCTATATTCAATAAACATGAATGACGCGTGTTATGACATTATTTGACCTATTCAAGTGCATGATTCTATTGACTTGGGATGTGTAAGAAGAAGGGATTCCAATAGGGCTAATACTCTGCACCAGTGAACTAAAATGACCAGTGAAAAAACCCAGCATCGCATCAGCATCCTCTTTCTCTTTACATCCCGCCTTCTTTTTCTGTGCACGCACACACACATACATACACATACGCCGCCCCTAAACATACACCACAATGTCGGCCATGGAACGCAGGAAACAGGAGTTGGAGATGAAGCGTCAAAAGCTTGCCGAGCTTCGACGTGCACGTGAGGAACGCAAAGCAGTACTCGAGACTCAATCAACACGAACCCAATCATCCACAACCACGGTACATATACCCTTCCCTTTGCAGCAATGTTACTGTTCCATCTTGAACAACAAGCTAATGAACGCAGAGCTCATCAGCAGGTCGAGACCGACGTGCCATTGATGACCTAGTCGCACTTGTTTTGGGTGAAAGACCAGGTTCAGGCACAGGTAGCTCATCGGATCGCGGCTCGGATGCTGGTTCAGACGCAGCAAGTTCACGACCCACTTCTTCCAACTATGGATACTCTATGCCTGGCACCCCTGTTAGCGAGTAAGCAAAGTGAATAGAGGAGGATAAGATAGTGCATATCAATCTAATCATGATTCTCTCTATGTACCTTAGCTCCAACGGCAATCGATTATCCATGACATCTACCACTCAAACGGCAGCTGGTATGGCTTCAGCATCCACCACTACGACTGCCGTTGCTGCTGCTCCTCAATACGTCGCCGAGCTTTCCGAATTTCAGACCGTTGTAGCTGATATCCCCCCCTTGGTAAGGATCAACCTATCAAAAAGGTACATGTACGGTTGACTTATCATTTAGAATAGGAACATGTTGTATACAGCAAAGAGATCCAAACGGCTGAAGGTTCTTTTGATGCACCACAAAAGAGTGAAGAAGAGATTAGACAAGAAATCATGGAGGAAATCGAGCAGCTCGAGAAACAACGACAAGCGCAGTTGGAAGAGGAAAGGAAACGTGCCGAACAAGAAAAGAATGAGGAGACACCTGGTAAGTACTTTTGCAATGAATGAAAGGTGACATGCATAGATAGGCTCATCATGATCCCAATATAGATTTGTCGGTGGAGGAGAAAAAGATGATCTTGACATCCCCCGAGTTTTTGAGCTTTGTCGATACGTCATCCAAGTTTGTGGAAAGAGCATTGAATGAGACCTACGATTTCATGAAGGATTATACCCTTGGTGTGGATGTTGATAGGTAAACAAATCACGTGTGTGTGTATGTGTAAAAGTGACATGATCTAATGATCATTTTGATCCAGTGATGAGAACACCGGCAAACGCGTCAAATTTATGTGCGACTTTTGGGATGAAAAGTGGTCTCGTAATCGCTCAGTGACGGATGTCAATTGGTCAAACAAGGTTAGACATTGGAAAGGTTGCTATCTAAACGCGCTTACTAACATAAGGTCTTATGATTTAGTACCCTGAACTCTTAGTATCCTCCTACAACAAGAATCCAGCAACTGTTAACGATCCTGATGGCGTTGCTCTCGTGTGGAATTTGCACTTGTTGGAACGTCCTGAATTTGTATTCCACTCACAGGTAAGAAAAAGTTCATCACTTGATATATCAAATCTATGCTCACATGTATCATCCCATGGGTAGTCCGATGTGCTCAGTGTCATGTTCAGCAAATTCCATCCTAACTATGTGATTGGTGGCACTTATTCTGGTCAAATCGTCCTTTGGGATACGCGTGCCAAATCTTTACCCGTATTGAAAACGCCATTGTCGGCTGGCGGTCATACCCATCCTGTATACTCTTTGGAAATGGTCGGCACCCAAAACGCTCACAATTTGATTACTGCAAGCACAGACGGCTTTGTGTGTTCATGGCAACTCGACATGTTGGCCCAACCACAGGTATTATCATTATTATACATTGGATCAAGCATCAAGAGAGTAAACATGCTGATACGCATGTCTTTTTATTAGGATTATTTGGAATTGCTACATCCATCTCATAACAAGACCGATGAGGTATCAGTCACGTGCTTGGGTTTCCCTGACAACGAGACAACCACCTTTTGGGTTGGCACTGAGGAAGGCAATGTGTATCAAGCTGGACGCTATGATCAAGCCGGCAGGTATGGAATGATTGTGGGGATATCTTTTATCGGATGCTAATTTTCTTCCTTTTCGGCGCTTGGTGGAAAACAGCAAAGCAGGCATTAACCAAGCTGATACTTACAAAGGCCACTATGGTGCTGTGACAGGTCTTCATTTCCATCCCTTATTTGGCTCAGTCGACTTTTCCGATTTGTTCTTGACTTCATCCGTTGATTGGACTGTAAAACTTTGGAGATCCAAGGTAAGCAAAAGAAATGATACCTATGAGGGGGGAGATGTAAATAACAAACAACAACATGGATAGTCTGCTTCCAAGTCCTCATCTCAACCTACCGAGGTGGTGCCTCTTTATTCATTCGAACATGCTGATGATTATGTATACGATGTCAAATGGTCACCATCCCATCCTGCGCTATTTGGCTCTGTCGACGGTACTGGTCAATTCGATTTATGGAATTTGAATGCGGATACAGAGGTATGTTCATATCAAAGGGATCTTGACAGTATCAGTAACTAATAAACATGTCACACAGGAACCCTATGTGAGCACATCTGTGGGCTCAGGACGTGCATTGAACAAGCTTGCATGGGACAAGGAGGGTAACAAGACTGCTATTGGCTCCAGTGATGGACGTGTATACCTTTATGATATTGGCGAGGTAAGATTGAGAAGGAGAAGAACCTTGTTCAGATGAGCTTATCATTGTCTCGTGACTAGATTGCTACTCCTAAACAAGATGAATGGCACCTACTCCAAAAGAACGTCTCTGAAATGATTGCCAATCAAGAGAACCCAGGCAAATAATAATGAGGCAGGAATTAGGACCCATCTATTTGATTGATTTTCACTTTTTTACCAAATTTATCCTCTAGCTTTTTTCCATCACCCCTTCCATTTTGCATGTAATAAAGAAAAAGGTCTTCGCTCTCAAGATTTGATTGCACATGTAATGTAAGAGTGATTGAGAATCCAAATAAACCAAACGCTACTTTGCATATATATATTGTTGAAGAATGCCATAAAGAAGATGAAGGATGCCACAAAACAAAAGAGAGAAGGAAAGACTAACTACTAGGATAGATCATGAGCATCAAAGGTGTAAGAAAAAAAAACTGTACAAGAAAACAAAAATTGGGACATAGGAAGCGTAGTGTACTAGAGGAGGGGAAAAAGAGACAATATGTAAGTTGAGAAAGTGAGATTATTACTGCCGTTGAACAGTGTTGTGGCGTGTGTCTTATGTACGATGGGTGATGGTTGTTGTTGTTGTCGATGATTTGTTGTTGCCATTGGTTTCTTTTCTACTATTGTTGTATGCGTTGTTGATTTGTTGACGAATGAGGTTCAAGAGAGCCCTGTGCTGTTTCCTCGTATCCTGGCTGACATTGGGATAAAGCTGTTCTTTGTTCTTGATTGTAAGATCGGAAAGGTCACTTGCCAAAATATCCATCACGTCTTTGTTGACAGGCTTACGTTGAGTTGACGGCTTGGTTTCCTTTGCTAGTTGTTGTTGTTGTCCTTTGTCAAGATCATTTTTCTTTGTTTCCTTTTTGGAAGGCGGAAAAGAACGTAAGGAGGAGGTGTTGTTGCCCTTTTCATTAAACACGTTGGCTAATGTTGTCAAATTTTTGCGATCTTCGCTGGACGCCTTGTTGGTTTTGATAGCCTGAAACGTTTCAATAGTCTCGGATTTATCACGCCTCCCGCCATCTATAGGTGCTTTATGCTTGTTCTTGTCACTAAAACTCGCATTGCTCTTGACGTTGGCATTCATAAGATTGGTGGTGGAATGGATAGTGGGTTGAAACCCCTGATGATCCATCATGAGCATATCTTGTTGAGGCATGTAATGATCGCGTTGCCCCGTGATACCATGTCCACCCTCTTGAAAAATGGGATGTGAATGGACATAGGGGTCCTCTACTGCTTGTGGTTGTGGTTGTTGTTGTTCAAGCAAATCGGCATAAGGGTCACTAGGAGGAACGTATGGGATGCTGTACATGCTATCCAACATCATGGGATCCTGTGCAACATTTTGAGAAAGTCGCTCCAACCATGCATTAATGCTTGCCATCTCCTCATCATTGGTCACTGGCACGGCAAAATCAGCGGGATTCACGGCCCCCGTCTCGAGCATACTTTGCAGCACATTCAGGTGATGTGCAACTTCTACAAAAATAATCATGATTAATCCCAATGACACTTTCCATTTTCGTCATCATGAATGATGCTTCATGCCTACATACCTGGACTGTATCCTTGTTGTTGTTGATGATGATGCTCCTCCATACTTGGATACACAATGTTTTGAAGTGCTTGCTCTGATGTAATCTCATTTGTTGTTGTTGTTGCTGGGTAACCAACATACGATAGGTTCTCGCTGGTTGCTGTAGCAGGCATCGTCGATTGCTTTAGTGTCGTTGTTGGTGTTGTAAACTCGGCATATGGATTAAAGTAAGGTGACACGGATGTTGCAGGGGAAATATTGCTGCTGCTATTGGATGTTGTTGGATAATGCAACCATGAGCTATCGGATAGGATAGAAGGATCTGCCGATTTACCGTATTTTTTTAGTCCCACCATTACATAACATAAAAAATTCGCCTATCACTTACCATCCGAGATCGTACTATGAGGTGGTGAATTCATCATCGTAGGTGCAGGTGACATGGGGAAGATACCAGCAGCGCTACTACTACTAGTAGTAGGTGGATATTGTTGTTGAAGCAATTGAGCGGATGATTGACGACTATGTTGTCCCTTTGACTCATCATTAGTGGGAGGAGTCAATGGGTGTTGTGAAGCACGTGCTGTTCCCTGCAATTGCTGTTGCTCTTCAAGATGGGTCTTTTCATGCTTCTTGAGGTCCTGAGGTCGTTTAAACGACTTGTTGCAATACTACGTAGAATGACAATGTTAATTTAATATGCTTGGTGGATGATGGATAAAATACATACGTTGCAGTGGTGAGGTTTAAGGGGAACGTGAACTCGCAAATGGCTTGTAATGTGATCACGTTTGACTACGGTGACATGGCAATGGTCCCAATGGCAAGTGAGACATAGGTTGCCAGTGGACTTTCGGCCGACGTGGTCGGTTGTCAAGTGAGCGTAGAGTAACTCTGGATCAGAAAATGTCATTGAACAACCTGCCCAACGACAACAGAGATGATGATGGTTGGTGTTGGTAACGAGTCCAGTGGTGGTGGTGGCGAGTGCAGTGGCGGCGGCGCCTGTAGGTACTACAACGACGGATGATGATGAAGGTGGTGGTGGATGATCCATTGATGTATTATAATAATGGGGGAGAAAGCAGGAAGAGAATGTGCCAAGAGTGATCTTTATATATGGGAGATGCAGCTAAAAATACAAAAAAGAGACTTGGGATGCAAAGGGATATTGGCGTTGTCCGTAATGTATACAGTGAGAGGGTTGTGTGTATGTGTGCGTGTGTGATGATGAACGAAGGGGTTCCAGCTGGTCTTGGCATTGCCCAAAGCGAGTGGCGGTTGCAGCACCTTTGTGTCACATCAAGCGTGGCTGGTAACCATATCAGACTTGCCAATGTTGTATAGTTGGTTTCTCGGCATCCTCGCCGTATATCCTCTTATATTGCTCAGCCGCAGTAACTCTTTTTATATGTAAGCATCATCAACATCTGTCACAGCAATGCCATCATTCATTCATTCATTCATTCATTCATTCATTCATTCATTGAAGCGTCAACATGAATAGTAATCATTCTTTTTAATCATTGTAATTGAATGAGGAGAGTCAGCATAAAGGCCATTGATAATCAACATTGAATGGAATTGCTTTCTAAATGTAAACATGACAATAATGTAATGAAGATCCACAAGAAGAACGCCCCATAAAGTGTTTTGTATGACATGTTGTCTGATGATGCGATGCATGAGGCCAAGAAAAGGGATTGTTACACAGTGGCCTGGATTATTGTCGGCTGCTGTTGCTGCTGCGGCACCGCATAATGGCTGGGTGTCATGCGGCAGTACCAGGAGTTCTCCCCCTCTTTTTTGACAAAGAAACGTATGTAACAATGCCATCCATTGATTCATCCATCATCCATCCATCTTAATCCATCGATTCTTCATCTAGCATGTCTTCGGAAAACGCCATCGTTTACGCCGCTCTTATCCTCAAGGACGACAATGTCGAAATCTCGGTATGCATGGCAACCACGCACATTCCATCACCCATTGCTTGCTGACTCAAAACGTATACAGGCTGATAAGCTTCAGACTTTGACCAAGGCTGCTGGTTTCACTGAAATCGAGCCCATCTGGTTCTCCTTGTACGCCAAGGCTCTTGAAGGTCAAGACCTCAAGGAACTCATTTGGAATGTTGGTGCTCCTGCCGCTGGTGCTGCTGCCGCTGGTGCTGGTGCTGCCGCTGCTGGTGGTGAGGAAGCCAAGGAAGAGGAGAAGAAGGAGGAAGAGAAGGAGGAATCTGATGAAGATATGGGCTTCGGTAATGTATTTCATGCTATGCTGTCATATTACTTTCCTTCACTAACCATTTCGCCATCCATTATTCAGGTCTCTTTGACTAAACAACGCGTCTTTCTTAAAGAAACATTCCATCCATCATCTATTCACCACACGATAGCGCAGCATGCGAGGTCATCAATAAAGAAGACTCTTTTGGTTCACACACACACATCCTTTATTACATTGGATCTATATAAGTACAAATGTCGATGGGGGGAATCTACAATAAGGAGAGATAGAAGAATGATGGTGTATGAGATCCATTATGCGCTAAGAAGCATCATAGCCAATGCCATCACAAGGGGCAAGAAGATCGTTGCAACATTGGATGATGCGGAGGAAGTATTATCAGCACCGACGCCATTGACCTTGCCTTCAACATTGGCAGCACTTGCAAAACCGATTTGATTATGCTCAATGTCAAACACAAGATAAGTACTACGAAGCACAGAGTCACCAACGAGGAGCATATTGTTGTTACTGCCAATAGGTGCGACACCAAGCATACAATAAGTAGCGGAATCCGTTGTAGGGCCATCAAGAGGAATCAAGAGTTGAGAAGCGGGTACAGTGATGGTGACAGGGTCTGGGGAAACCTTGTTGGATTGGGACATGGATAAAACCAAAGCGGCATCTGATTTTGCAGCTTTGCAATCGGCAATAAAGACTTGTGATTGAGTATCCAATGCGTAATTGCCTGCGCCCACGAGGGATTCAGCGATAGAGACAGCCATATCATTGGGTAAATAGGTCAATGTAGTGCCAGTGTCAATAATAAATGCGGTGACTTGATCAAATGAGATGTTGCTGCTGGTGCGTGTGGATTGTGGATTCTCAACAGCAATGCCTTGGCCATAAGTCATCCAATAAAAGTAAGCGGATGATGAGCTGACAATGGATGACAGGGGATTGGAAGATGTTTGTAGCTTGGCAACGGGGAGATACGTGATGTTGCCACTAAACTTGCTATCGTCGACACCACCAAAGATGACTTCGCCGGCCCAACCATCTTCATTTGCATTGTTCATGTACACTGAAAAGATGTGCTGCGAGATGAGGTTTTGTTCCACAAGGTTGAATACGAATGGATTGTAGCCTTTGCCTCCCTTGCTGGCTGCGGATGTCAATTGAGGATATCCAAGACCAAGGATACCATTACCAACAACATCGGATGACCCGGACGACGATGAGTTGGCTGAAGGTGTATCGGTTCCACTACCACCCACAGAGGTGGTTGTTAAAATATCGGCTGTAGTTGATGCAAGACCAAACTGCTGATTCTCCACGCTCACGCCTGCCACAGTGACGGTATCGGTAGCATAGACGCCCTTGACACTGCCAATGCCATACTCGATGCTGAAATTGGAGCTCATGTCCTTGAATGTTGACGATGCTGAGGAGTCGAATCGTGCGTACGGGCATTCTGTAGTTGAACAGCTGGTCGAAGGAACCCATAAATCGGCACTGGTGGTGATGTAAAACAATGCAGGTGAAGATAAAAAAAGGTAAATGTGATGTCAATCTCCATGCATGTGACATTGCCCTTTTGCCTCTCCTCTTGTTTATTCTTTCATTCACTCACGTGCCCTCACGCACACATATACAAACAAGAATAAATTACCTGCCAGTATCAAATGTAACAGTAAAGTTTTGTGCAGGGGTACCAACACCCACCTCCACAAGATATTGAGATCCCTGATCGTTGTAAAGGGGTCCTGAAAATGGATCTCTCTTCCTCAATGATGCAGGGTCAACGTTGCCTGAGCGTGGTCGACGTTTAATTGGAAGTCGTACAAGTTTTGGTTCAGCTTGTTCATGGTGGTTGGTAGAATCGATAGGCGAACAGTAAACAGATGATGTCGCTAGCACTGCCGCCGACAATAGTAGAAAGGAAGAGCGCATATGAATACAAAGAATAAAAGGTAGAAAGTGGAGAAAAAGGAGAAAGAGAGAAAAGGAATAGCGTGAGCGATTGATATAACGGCTGTGTTGCGTCGCATTTCATCATGTCGGGACAAGCGGGCCATCTATGCTCTTTTGTGGGTTATTCACACACACACACAATCATCCCCGCCGTGGGGCGCTGCTGCTGTTATCGCTGCTGAAAATACTTTTTGGTCTTGGCATGAAGCGGTAAAACCGTTCACATTGTCCTACACAGCACCATATTGTACCCTCCTCATAATAGGAAAAACTATTTGGTCACACCAATGACTTTTTCGCTATTGCTTTCTGCATGCAATGACAAAAGGAGTAGCATTTTTCCTCAATAGAAAGATATCAAAGCACAGATGCGATCGGTGTATTGGATGCCGAATAGCCGCATATTATTGTTATTCTTACCCACAAAGATGGAAAAACAAAAACAATGAGCCGAAGAGCAGCAGTGGCGAAAATAGAGTTCCCGTTACTAATGACCAATAGCTGCTTTCATAATGACGTCCTTGTTCAATGCCCATTACAATGGCTGTAATAGTATGTGTGTGTGTGTGTGTGTGTGTGTATGTTTCTCCCCCATTGTCGCCCGGACCATTGCCATTATTGGATGAGACGATGATGCAGCAAATGATGCTGCATGCAAGCAGATGCAATCCCCACACGACTTTGACCCATGTCGTACACATTGCATAAATAGACCACTGTTCTCTTTGGTCAAACAAGAAGCATAAACATTCATTGTAACACCATCCTCCTCTCCCATGGATGAAGGTGATGGCATGAGCACAATGGTAAATCCTACAAGTTGATTTTCCCATCATTTGGCAAGCGTCTGAGATGTTCATGGAAGCTCTCTCACACCACAAAGAAAACGCAATGGCGATGATTGAGCTATTCTTGACATGAAACAATGATAAGGCAATGATAAAGGTCACAATGCTTTGGTTGGTCTTGGCAAGGGTGATGGATGTACCACTTGTATCATCATCCACACAGAGGCGGCGCGTGCTAAATGTTTCGGCTTAGCAGCCTTGACACAAAAAAATAAGGACATGTCAGTGTCATGCATCTTTCAAATGGTCGTTAGCACGCACACCCCACTTGCCGGCAAAACAACTGTGCCTGCAAGCTTTTAATGGAGATGTACATGCTGCAGGGTCATGTCGGATATCAAATTAGGCACTGGCCACTGGTGCATGCTGCTATTCATAATACCAAACATAGCCTCACCACCCGTACCTATCCATCATACAATTGATTATCGGGATGGTGCATTGAAAATAGGCTCGTCGATCAAGCTGCTGCTTGAGGCATGTTAAAGATAGATTCTACATCATGCACTTTACTGTTGTTGTGTATAAAAAGAGAAAGGAGATGTCCAACCATAAGCTCATCATGCGGATCTGAAGAAGGTTTGACAAATGAAAACACCAAAGGTGGCAGCGTGATCATAGAGGCGTCATCTAACAAATCACTCCGCATCCAACAATAGCATTGCACAAGCTAAACGCTTGTGCAATGATGACCGTTTTCTTGTGCTCCTTTATTGTATATACGCATCAGTGCTCCTCTAAGCCGTTAGCCTACACGATTTAGTTGGTGCATGTAACTCATCATTGATATCCATTCTCTCCAGCCTTGAGAAAAAAAAAACATGTAAGCGACCACGCCACGTTTTTGATCTTGATAAGAGGATCATGTCTTGGCATCGATAGCTTTAATGCAGCCATGAAAGCTAAAGTTGAAGGATATCAAAAACAAACATAAAAGACGAAGACAAGTTGGCAAATGAAATGTAATTGGCATAATAATGGAGCATGCATGGCGCTGTTTGAGCGAGCAGACTTACTATCATGGGCAATGCTACCACATTGGCAGTACACCTATTCTCGAAGCAATGTCGCCGCCATTTAGAAGAACCATAGATACACAAACAACATCATCATTATGAGTAGCATAAAAGGATCATGATGAAATATGGAGAATAGCACATGAAGGAACGAAGTGTAGTATCTATATTAGGATGGTGGTATCTTTCTCTGATTACTGCTTCTTGTAGCATCGTTCATTGGTTACAGGCATTGAGGTATGTTGTCAAAATCAGTCGTCCCGGTCATGTTACTTGGTCGCTATTGTCTACATACATTGACCACTACCAAAACATCCACGGGTGTTGATCCTAAATGTAAGAACAAGCGAGACGTAAACAATACATTGACGGCTGTGAATTGTGATAACGAAATTTTAGCATAAATGTAGCCTTAGATCAATGGTTGGTTTGAGGTTTGCCATAAAATTAGCCAGAGATTTTATCCCTGTAACACGACAATGCAATGATTTCCTTTATCCTCTACATAGCAGCAATGCAAGGTAAATCATGTACGTACCTGCTGATTGGGTAATGTGTAAAGCGCCACTCACCCATATTATAGTACACTGTGCTACATTTCTCGCTATGGTTGCACTGGGTACACCTGTTATGTATATGTTTGGCGTCTTACCTTTGGAATGAAAGTCGCAAATTGTATACCTTTTGGTACCCTCGCTTCTTTAAGGATACGTTTATTGAATGTAATCGAGCTTCAACGTGCATGTACGTGGTATGCTTAGCATTAAGCCTGTCACTTTATAGCCAACAATGCATACGCAAAGCGCTGGTCAAGTCTGTGGGACATTGTTTACGTCTTGTAGTTACACTTGTTATACCATCCCCTTGGATTTATTAGCCGGTGTGTGATGGTGCGCTCTTCTAATCTTCTTGTTTTTCTTGCAAAGATACATTTTTTTCGCTTCCTCTTACAGCTATCGACGACAACTCATGAACCATCCTTTGTCGTTAAGTCTCACGAGAACATACGTGGAAAGCTATTTTGCTTTTACCAAACAGCTATTGAATCGACATCGGATCAGCACAGCCGTGGCACTTGCTGTTGTTGGCCTGTGCATTTCCTTCTCCAACCTCGCCAAAGGTCCTCGCAATACACGTCATATTCCAAGAGTTGACTTTATAAAGTATGTGCGTTCCATTTTGGCTAAGAAATCTCGGGAACAAATTGCTCGAGAAGTCAACCTGCCAACTATACTTGCATCAGAAACCGGTCTTTATATGGTAATCCCCCCTCGTATTATTACCATCCTCATCTAAATGCCTTTTTTTTCCTTCAGGGTTATGATCAAAATCAATGGTGCCTTCATATTGCCATGCCTAAGCATGTTAAACATGTTCTCATGAACCAAGGTAAAAAGGACATTGGATCTTTTATTGTTGCTTCTTCATGATGATGCTAATGCTTGATCATGTTGATCTATCTCCAAAGAGCTATTTCCCAAGGGCGATGGTATCACTACCCGTAAAAACACTTTACTAGGTCGCTTTGCCTTTGGTCCCAACCTTGTCACTTTGGAAGGAGACAAATGGAAGCAACATCGTATGGTATGGCAACGCGCTTAAAATTTCATCAGCGGCATAAATCCACCAACATACATCCATCATTAGATTGCCAATCCCGCCTTTCGACGTTCAATGCCGGTGGGCATGTTTGGCAACCTCTGTGAAAAGCTGTTTTCAGTCATGGGTGCTAACGATACAAAAGATTTCCGTGGTTTGACTGAACGTTTTGCTCTTGATGCTATCGGCTGTGGTGGATTTGGTAATAGGATGGAAATGGTTGCTCACATACAAATGCTTGATTGCTTACATGCTACAATAATAGGATTTGACTTTAATGCCGTGCTCGACAAGAATAGCCCCTGGGTGGTCAAGTACTTGGATATTATCAGCTCTGCCTTTGACCCATTCTTCCTTGTGTTTTCCTTTTTCGACAAGAGATTGCGATTCCTTTTCCCCTCGCGCGTACGTGCTCATGAGCAATTATCCGAGTTTTTGTTGAAGATGCGTGAGATTATTGATTACAAACGTCGCACATTGGAAACATCAAGGGATACCATCAAAGATACTGAGAAGGATTTATTGATGCTTATGATTGAAGCTGAGAAAGATGGGGAAGCAGCTTTAACAGATGACGAGCTTATGGTACGGTACCTATACTACGCTGATTTCTATTTCACTTACGTACAACGTGTATCCGGTTATATGCGTAATAGAGCAACCTTTGTGTATTCTTTATTGCCGGACATGACACAACAGCTAATTCTATGGCTTGTGCAGCGTACTATCTCGCAAGGAATCCAGTAGGTATCCATTCTCTTATCAAAACAGGAGGACTCATAACGATATTGATAGGAAATTCAAGCCAAAGCAAGAGAGGAAGTGATCCGTATTTTGGGTGATGAGCCAAACCATATCTTCCCTAGCATCGAGCAAACTCGTCAAATGCATTACATCACCATGATCATCAAAGAGACATTGCGTTTGAATCCACCCCTTCCCAATGCATCATTTCGAGTGGCAGCACGAGACACAGAAATTGATGGCGTGTTTATCCCCAAAGGCACTCGCATCCAAGTCGACATTTACGAAAGTCAACACAATCCTCGCGTATGGCAAGAACCTGAGGTCTTCCGCCCTGAACGATTTGCAGCTGATGATGAAGCCGATCATATTGAAGGCTTTGGATGGACGCCTTTTGGTAATGGTACCAGGCAATGCATAGGCATGAGTAAATATCGACCGCAAAGATAAAATGAAAGTGACAAAAGGTGCTGACGTTGTATCATTCCATCGTAGATTTCAGTTTGACTGAACAACGCGTATTCTTATCCATGTTGCGTAAGTCATTGCTGCATGCATGTATCCTTTCTCTCATTCTCATCATCGATCGTTTGATAGTGCGTAAATATGAATTGTCATTGCCCAAAGACACGATTCATGCGGATGGTATTGTGACCCATGGTATGCCCGTATCCGCTCCTCTCAACATGCAAATCACATATAAAAGTCGCTACTAGTTGCATCATGAAAAGTCGTATATATATAAATGCGCGTGGGTGTGTGTTCAAACAATAATACAACGTTGGTGGATATGATCTAGGGCGATGGTGGTGGGGGTTCAGATGGTGACTTTGCTTCTTCGGCTGGTTCGGTTTGTGGTACAGCGTGCTTTTGTAGCCATGCATCGTCGCTCCATACTATAACACATTCATTATGAGATTCAATGTCCCTTTCACACATCCCCATCATATAATCCACTAACCTGCTCTGTTGGATCCTGCAAGTACTCGATGTGGTTTAGCCTTGGTCACCTTGATCACCTTGCCGTGTAATTCAGCCAAGTTCATATTATCAATAGCAGCTTCGCAATCCTCCTCCTCTTCGAATTCGACAAAACCATAGCCCTTGTGCGGATTGCCTAACGATTACACACGTTCTGTCAGTTTCAGTTACAACGATAGTGTTAGTGTAGCTTACGTGATCCCGGATCGTTTGCAAGTTGAACCGATACAATGTCACCAAAAGGAATAAAGGCTGCATGCACGAGTTCCTCTGTCATGCTGTGATCAAGCCCTCCTGTTGAACAGATTAGTCCCATCGCTATACTCAGTGGTTGTAAAATGACTCACCAACATAAGCTGTGGTCTTGCTCTCAGTATTGGTATTGGACATGAGGAGAAAAGGTAGGTGAAAGGTAGTGTACAAGTCCCGAGCGCTGCTTGATTTAAGAGACACTCGTCGTATCCCAGCCAACCGCGTCCTGGACACTCACTCACTCCTCCTACGATGTTATCAACATAGAAGGATCTAAACGTAGCATTGTTTCTAGTGTCATCTTTCACCGTATATCGATAAATCTTATAAGGCTTAAATCACAAAAAAGGGGTAGATGAGTTATACTATATAGGATGCAACCTTTGTTCAAGACACAATGAATCACTTTCTTTATCACAACATTCACAAGGGGCTCTTAACCTGCATCTCCCATACCATAAATTCTTTCTACAACACATATTACCAAATGACCACATACGATGAGATCCAATTTAGGATGTAGGAAGGTGTCTTACACGATAGGGAACTTAGCAATGATTGCCCAATGCAATCCTCGTGTCCTCTAAAGTAATTCTTTAATCCAACATCATTCACAAAAAGGTAGAACTGGCACGAGATTGCAAGGTACAACAACGAACTGCTCCAATGGGGGTGAAGGTACATTGATCTTGAAAGTTTTATCCTTTAGGCGTGCATTGTGCAAAGATAAATGGATGGACGTGAGGTGACACTTGATGCGTGGTGGCGGGTTATGTGTACAGTACTAGATGCTGCATTCATGCTGAGTATGAATGACGATGGTGGGATTAGATCCTCGTTATACGACAATGGTGAAGCATGTTATATTGTAAAGCTTTATGTTTGTATACTTTAATCGAAAACTGTATTGCACGTATCTAAAGTTGTACTGCTAGACCAACGTTTGTATCGAGAACTAAAGATTTTACTGAGCTGCTTGGCGATTGTATCATGACTCGTCAATTGTTGTATTCTCAAACGCAAAACACCGTGTATATCTCGCAGCTTGCGGCTTTGGAGTGATGCATTTCGATGAGCAAGGAATTCGTGGCACATTCAAGTAATCTGATGGTATCATTGAGGCTATGTGCTGCGTTCTGTTCCCGATTGCCACTCTATGCACGCGTCGTTTAGATCTCTATAACCAGCCATCACTTTTAGCTTTACTTACCCCCGATGCTTCCAACAATACGGCTTCCATTGGACCATGTGCTGTAGTTGCTTGACCAAGGCCATCCATCATACGAGAAGTCGAATGTTTGCTATTGGCATCCAACTTGAGATGTACAAGCATGTATATATGTCAACTACAAAGGAGTCCCAAGTTTCCCATCAGATTGAGATGTTGCCTTTTGCCTAAAAATACACCTACCACAAAGCTCCATCAAGGAACACAGTCAAATGCCATTAGGCACCAATGAGTACAGCGCACCAAGTGGTAAAGCAATGAAGTGAGCTACATAGATGAATGCATGAGTGCCCTCAGTTTGGGGATCACATAATAAAGGACATCCTTCTTGAGACTTACTAAATAAGGCCATGAATGATTGATGATGTGCATACAAGTAGAAAGAAAAGGCGCATGATAGTGTTGGTGATAACAACGTTGTTTTATGAGAGTGGGCGTGAGAATCGTTGTCATGATAGATCGAACTGATAAAATGGTCAAGCATCTTGGAGTACTGAGTCGAAGTGATAAATCATCCACCTGCCACCTGAAAGGTGATCGTTTGAAGGTGACATAAGTGTATCCGTCAACAGGGATCATAATGCCATTGTATTCTTGCTCGCTGTCGTCATAAACATCCTTCATCCATGATTGCGAAATAGCTGCTGCATGCATTGGCTCGAGTATTCCAATATGATCCATGGCTGTAAAACACTTGTCAAATCCATCCTCTTTGGCCGTATCCACGTGATGCGATCCATCGTTCCTGCTGACAACGCGACAAGTAATCAAAGTAGCTTTCCATGATTTCTCATCATTGCACTTGATTGCGTCCATCCATCGATCATAGCCATTGCAGATCCAATAATTGCTGCTGATCCTTTTTCCATCCGGCTGCTGGTCGATCTCTTCTTTGGTCATTTCCATCGTTGCTCAACCAGGTGAAGATTGCTTGTATTGAGGTGAACTTGATAGCTGATATGGCATCATCCATAGGAACTCGTATGTACCAAAGCAAGTTGCTGCACGTAAATAAAGATGCTTCTATACAATGGCTATCTGCTGTTCACGTAAACAAGGCTGCAGGGCAGGTTGCTGCAAGTAAAGAACGCTGTTTGAGTCTTGCTAATAGCAACAGCTGCTACCTGATCGTGGCAGAGGAGTGTGCAGGAGCATGTGTTGTAGTAGAGTGACAAGATTGTAAACGCTGTATGAGACAATGGAGTGAAGACATCACTGGTAGCAACTGCTGGAATGAACGATGTTACTCTTGATCGTGGAAGAGGAGTGTACAAGAGAAGGTGTTGTATCAAGAAACGCGGGTGTTGTAGTGGGCTGCACACGCCATGGACTTGCCATTCAGTTAAACGCAATCGGATCAAGACAACTGTAGGATTGGCGTGATGGGTTGAAGCAGGACAAAGGTGGTAGTTGTGCTTGAATGGGGCAACAGTTGGGAATGGGAGGAAAAGGCAATACGCTAGGAGTGGAAGAAGTGGAAATTAAACATTGTACATCAAACTTCAGATCTTTCTCGGTGTGTGCATTGACTATCAATGAAGTAGATTACTGTGGTGCACCATTATTGGATAGAGTTATAGGTTATGAATATATTTATGGGAACAAGGGGATCAAGGGAGAGCTGTCTGGACCATCGTCCACAAAGTAGCAAGCATGTACACGTTCAGTTATCTTGATGATTGCTGCATTCACTAAGCAAGATAAATCTCGATCCTTTGGTAGTTTTTTTATAGCGATATTCCTTCATCACTCTATGCGCTTCTTCGAGGTCATCAATCTTCGCCAGTGTTTTTTTCAATCCGCTCCTGCAATGTAAAACGTATGATAAGGTAAAGGTTCTACGTGCCATATAGGGAAACAAGGCAAACATACCTTCAGGCTCCAGCCAAACCGAATGTAATCGAGAAGTATGTGTCTGTCGTCATTGAATGCTGTCGGGATCCCACATTTGTCCTCGCGCGTCATGACAAATATACCTGGTGAAGGGCTGCTGATACTCCATAACCTGATATGCTTGGCTTTAACAATATAAGTTTCCAATTATCAATTCTTTAAAGCATAAACTTACTGTGCATGTGTATGAAGTATAGCTTCAGGTCTTTAAAGCATTCAAACGGTGCGTATTTTTATAGATCAGCAATCGTCTTCAACATCGCAACGCTTCCATACATCCCTTTATGGAAATCGAAATTGATCTTCTTTGTTGAGGCGTTATTGTAAGCGTTGGATATCTCAAGCAGTAGAAGTTCCATGTTGCTGCCAGTCAAAAATCCATCGTCATCGACCCACCAACTCAAACGCAGCCCTATAGAGCCCTGGACGCGTTCCAAGAAGCTTTTCCAGCACACTTGGCTAGTGCAGAGCGACGCAGCAGCCACTTGATCTAGGCTTGGCCTTGAACCCAAAGAGAAGATGATGATGTCCCCAAGTTGCAACATGTACTTATGTCACCTACAAAGGAGTCCCAAATTTCTCATCAGATTGAGAGGTTGCTTTTTGCCTTCCAGTGTACCTACCACAAGAGCTCCATCAAGGAATACAGCCAAATGCCATTAGGCAGCAATGAGCGCACCAAATGGTGAAGCAACGAAGTGGGCTATGTACATGATAGATGAATGCATCATGAGTGCCATCATTGTGGGGTTTACCTAAAGACTATCCTTGAGACTTACCAAAGACCATTGATGATGATGCGCGATCAAGTAGAAAGAAAGGGCGTGTGATAGTGTTGGTGCAAATAGTCTTGTTTATATGCGATTGGGCGTGGGTATTGTTGTCATGATTATCAAACTGATAAAGTGGTTAAGTACCATGGAGTAATGAGTCAAAGTGATGGAAAAGTAACGGTTGATAAATTTGTAGGTGACATAAGTATGTGCATTGCCTGACCAAAGAAACCTATTCAACTCATTATTAGCACACACACAATAAACACCCTTTTCATTGTTTGTTTCATGGTACTTGCCTTTTCCATATACACAAAGACCAGTTGTTGTTGGTTATTGGAAACCGAAAACCATGGTGTAGTGTTGTTGAGCCGAAACAGAACGCCAAACCAGCCAACGTCTTGACACCAAACTTGCCCCCTATATAAGCTAACACGTCAATGGAAACAGTTCGGCTGCAACATTGGACTCTCAATGTACCTGTTGACACCAAGCGTAGAGCGGGAATAGCAACGAACAAGAGGAAGCAGCGATATCGCCATGGCAACCACCAACCACCAACCACCAACCACCAACCACGCTCATTCCTCAGCACTTGGACACACTCACTCCTTGACAATACATGTTACCTCACAGTCAACAAGAGCACTCTCTTATAATACATTACCTTGATTGCAATGTCGTGCATTGGATAAAAGTAGAGGAGGGAGAAAGAGAAGAGAAGCGTTGTATCAAGTCGTGGAGTTGCTGTCCCCCAAGTTTAAATCCCCCTACTGCTATTACACTGAGGCCACTCAATGACCCCACACACACCATCCACCCATCGTCATCATCACCCTCACGATAGACAATAGGTACATAGGTACACGCAAATAAAAGAAATAATCCTCACGTATAGCAAAAGGGTGTGTGCCATTTTACACTTTACATGATAACGATGATGATCCAACAACGGCCATTACCTTACTACCAAGGTTAGCTCGAATCATGAAAGTTAAATGATGGGCATGCTGGGCTGGAGCAGGACAATCGTTCGTATGCATTGGATTGGACAACAAAGGAGAATGGGAGCAATGGGCTGCTAGCTGGCAGTTTACAAATAACTTTGCAAAATGATTTTTCTCATATTGGATGATGTTTTGTGTTTGAGCGTAACTCAACCAAATCCTCTCGGATCAAGCAAGTTGAAGGATGGAAATGATGGGCTGGAGCAGAAGAATCGTTCACATGCATTGGATTGGGAAACAAAGGTGATTGGGAGGAATGGGCTATCAAGTGGCAGTTTACAAATAACTTACCAATTTGATTCTTCTGATATTGGATGATGTTTCTGTGTTTGAGCGTTTTTCAGTCAAATCTCATCGGATCAAGAAAGTTGAATGATGGGCATGCTGGGCTGGAGCAGGCAATCGTTCGTATGCATTGGATTGGACAACAATGGAGAATGGGAGGACTAAGGTTATTAGGTGGCATTTTGAACTATTCCTAAATAGTGTACAAGAATCATGCATCGCCTGTGCTGAATGACTCAAGTTACACAAACACGCCCTCTGCATCTTTTGCTCTATTATAGTCATACTACTTTACATTAAACAAAGATCGCTTTTCATATAGCATCACGCTTGCAGCATAGTAAAAACATAAACGTGCCTGTATCTCCAAACTTTACAATCAAACGTGGGCTCTTTAATAGATCAACGTGCTCGTCGGGGTCAAAGGAATCTTGTGTCAAAGTATGAAGTTCATCGTGGGCGATCCCAGATTTCGCAATGTCGCTACCAGCCAAACTGAATCTGTGGGTCGACCTCTTCGACGACGACGACCAAAAAAATATTTTTTGGGCTAGTTGCGACATTGAACGTGAAACTTTCACACAAGGTGCTGTTGGCCAAGCCGAGCCCATTGCTCTATTCAAAACCCCACGTTTCATTGTAAAGTTTGGAGATACAGGCACCTTTATGTTTGTAAGCGTGATGCTATATGAGAAGTGGTCTTTGTTTAATGTAAAGTAGCTAGACTCTGACAGAGCAAAAGATGCAGAAGGACCTCTTTGGGTAACTCAGCTAAAAAGTCAGGACTTCAGGGACAATGCATGATAGGTACGCAACCCTCATTTTCAGGTCATACATTGGCAGCTAATAGCCATTTTTGTGCATTCCCAACTTTTGTACATTCTATTGTAGGTGGACGATGCCCCTGCTCTAGACATTCATTTCCATGATTAAAGTAGGTTGATCCGAGCTGATTTGGTTGAGTTACGCTCACACAAGATTACATCGGTTGAGCTACATCGAGCGTGCTCTATGTCCAGAGTGATGTAATCTCTATTTGACCACAGCTCAGTCAAATCAGCTCGGATCAACCTACTTTAATCATGGAAATGAATGTCTGGAGCAGGGGCATCGTTCCCATGCAGTGGATCTCGCAACAATGATGATTGGATAAAAGTGGCCGTTAGCTAGCAATACATGCCTGTTCCTAGATGATCCATAAAGTAATTATACATTGACCCTTTCATTCATGCAAACGTAGCTGTGTTACACAACACGACCCTCTGCATCTTTTGCTCTGTCAGAGTCTAGCTACTTTACATTAAACAAAGACCACTTCTCATATAGCATCACGCTTACAAACATAAAGGTGCCTGTATCTCCAAACTTTACAATGAAACGTGGGGTTTTGAATAGAGCAATGGGCTCGGCTTGGCCAACAGCACCTTGTGTGAAAGTTTCACGTTCAATGTCGCAACTAGCCCAAAAAATATTTTTTTGGTCGTCGTCGTCGAAGAGGTCGACCCACGGATCCAGTTTGGCTGGTAGCGACATTGCGAAATCTGGGATCGCCCACGATGAACTTCATACTTTGACACAAGATTCCTTTGACCCCGACGAGCACGTTGATCTATTAAAGAGCCCACGTTTGATTGTAAAGTTTGGAGATACAGGCACGTTTATGTTTTTACTATGCTGCAAGCGTGATGCTATATGAAAAGCGATCTTTGTTTAATGTAAAGTAGTATGACTATAATAGAGCAAAAGATGCAGAGGGCGTGTTTGTGTAACTTGAGTCATTCAGCACAGGCGATGCATGATTCTTGTACACTATTTAGGAATAGTTCAAAATGCCACCTAATAACCTTAGTCCTCCCATTCTCCATTGTTGTCCAATCCAATGCATACGAACGATTGCCTGCTCCAGCCCAGCATGCCCATCATTCAACTTTCTTGATCCGATGAGATTTGACTGAAAAACGCTCAAACACAGAAACATCATCCAATATCAGAAGAATCAAATTGGTAAGTTATTTGTAAACTGCCACTTGATAGCCCATTCCTCCCAATCACCTTTGTTTCCCAATCCAATGCATGTGAACGATTCTTCTGCTCCAGCCCATCATTTCCATCCTTCAACTTGCTTGATCCGAGAGGATTTGGTTGAGTTACGCTCAAACACAAAACATCATCCAATATGAGAAAAATCATTTTGCAAAGTTATTTGTAAACTGCCAGCTAGCAGCCCATTGCTCCCATTCTCCTTTGTTGTCCAATCCAATGCATACGAACGATTGTCCTGCTCCAGCCCAGCATGCCCATCATTTAACTTTCATGATTCGAGCTAACCTTGGTAGTAAGGTAATGGCCGTTGTTGGATCATCATCGTTATCATGTAAAGTGTAAAATGGCACACACCCTTTTGCTATACGTGAGGATTATTTCTTTTATTTGCGTGTACCTATGTACCTATTGTCTATCGTGAGGGTGATGATGACGATGGGTGGATGGTGTGTGTGGGGTCATTGAGTGGCCTCAGTGTAATAGCAGTAGGGGGATTTAAACTTGGGGGACAGCAACTCCACGACTTGATACAACGCTTCTCTTCTCTTTCTCCCTCCTCTACTTTTATCCAATGCACGACATTGCAATCAAGGTAATGTATTATAAGAGAGTGCTCTTGTTGACTGTGAGGTAACATGTATTGTCAAGGAGTGAGTGTGTCCAAGTGCTGAGGAATGAGCGTGGTTGGTGGTTGGTGGTTGGTGGTTGGTGGTTGCCATGGCGATATCGCTGCTTCCTCTTGTTCGTTGCTATTCCCGCTCTACGCTTGGTGTCAACAGGTACATTGAGAGTCCAATGTTGCAGCCGAACTGTTTCCATTGACGTGTTAGCTTATATAGGGGGCAAGTTTGGTGTCAAGACGTTGGCTGGTTTGGCGTTCTGTTTCGGCTCAACAACACTACACCATGGTTTTCGGTTTCCAATAACCAACAACAACTGGTCTTTGTGTATATGGAAAAGGCAAGTACCATGAAACAAACAATGAAAAGGGTGTTTATTGTGTGTGTGCTAATAATGAGTTGAATAGGTTTCTTTGGTCAGGCAATGCACATACTTATGTCACCTACAAATTTATCAACCGTTACTTTTCCATCACTTTGACTCATTACTCCATGGTACTTAACCACTTTATCAGTTTGATAATCATGACAACAATACCCACGCCCAATCGCATATAAACAAGACTATTTGCACCAACACTATCACACGCCCTTTCTTTCTACTTGATCGCGCATCATCATCAATGGTCTTTGGTAAGTCTCAAGGATAGTCTTTAGGTAAACCCCACAATGATGGCACTCATGATGCATTCATCTATCATGTACATAGCCCACTTCGTTGCTTCACCATTTGGTGCGCTCATTGCTGCCTAATGGCATTTGGCTGTATTCCTTGATGGAGCTCTTGTGGTAGGTACACTGGAAGGCAAAAAGCAACCTCTCAATCTGATGAGAAATTTGGGACTCCTTTGTAGGTGACATAAGTACATGTTGCAACTTGGGGACATCATCATCTTCTCTTTGGGTTCAAGGCCAAGCCTAGATCAAGTGGCTGCTGCGTCGCTCTGCACTAGCCAAGTGTGCTGGAAAAGCTTCTTGGAACGCGTCCAGGGCTCTATAGGGCTGCGTTTGAGTTGGTGGGTCGATGACGATGGATTTTTGACTGGCAGCAACATGGAACTTCTACTGCTTGAGATATCCAACGCTTACAATAACGCCTCAACAAAGAAGATCAATTTCGATTTCCATAAAGGGATGTATGGAAGCGTTGCGATGTTGAAGACGATTGCTGATCTATAAAAATACGCACCGTTTGAATGCTTTAAAGACCTGAAGCTATACTTCATACACATGCACAGTAAGTTTATGCTTTAAAGAATTGATAATTGGAAACTTATATTGTTAAAGCCAAGCATATCAGGTTATGGAGTATCAGCAGCCCTTCACCAGGTATATTTGTCATGACGCGCGAGGACAAATGTGGGATCCCGACAGCATTCAATGACGACAGACACATACTTCTCGATTACATTCGGTTTGGCTGGAGCCTGAAGGTATGTTTGCCTTGTTTCCCTATATGGCACGTAGAACCTTTACCTTATCATACGTTTTACATTGCAGGAGCGGATTGAAAAAAACACTGGCGAAGATTGATGACCTCGAAGAAGCGCATAGAGTGATGAAGGAATATCGCTATAAAAAAACTACCAAAGGATCGAGATTTATCTTGCTTAGTGAATGCAGCAATCATCAAGATAACTGAACGTGTACATGCTTGCTACTTTGTGGACGATGGTCCAGACAGCTCTCCCTTGATCCCCTTGTTCCCATAAATATATTCATAACCTATAACTCTATCCAATAATGGTGCACCACAGTAATCTACTTCATTGATAGTCAATGCACACACCGAGAAAGATCTGAAGTTTGATGTACAATGTTTAATTTCCACTTCTTCCACTCCTAGCGTATTGCCTTTTCCTCCCATTCCCAACTGTTGCCCCATTCAAGCACAACTACCACCTTTGTCCTGCTTCAACCCATCATGTCAATCCTACAGTTGTCTTGATCCGATTGCGTTTAACTGAATGGCGTGTGCAGCCCACTACAACACCCGCGTTTCTTGATACGACACCTTCTCTTGTACACTCCTCGACCACGATCAAGCGTAACATCGTTCATTCCAGCAGTTGCTACCAATGATGTCTTCACTCCATTGTCTCATACAGCGTTTACAATCTTGTCACTCTACTACAACACATGCTCCTGCACACTCCTCTGCCACGATCAGGTAGCAGCTGTTGCTATTAGCAAGACTCAAACAGCGTTCTTTACTTGCAGCAACCTGCCCTGCAGCCTTGTTTACGTGAACAGCAGATAGCCATTGTATAGAAGCATCTTTATTTACGTGCAGCAACTTGCTTTGGTACATACGAGTTCCTATGGATGATGCCATATCAGCTATCAAGTTCACCTCAATACAAGCAATCTTCACCTGGTTGAGCAACGATGGAAATGACCAAAGAAGAGATCGACCAGCAGCCGGATGGAAAAAGGATCAGCAGCAATTATTGGATCTGCAATGGCTATGATCGATGGATGGACGCAATCAAGTGCAATGATGAGAAATCATGGAAAGCTACTTTGATTACTTGTCGCGTTGTCAGCAGGAACGATGGATCGCATCACGTGGATACGGCCAAAGAGGATGGATTTGACAAGTGTTTTACAGCCATGGATCATATTGGAATACTCGAGCCAATGCATGCAGCAGCTATTTCGCAATCATGGATGAAGGATGTTTATGACGACAGCGAGCAAGAATACAATGGCATTATGATCCCTGTTGACGGATACACTTATGTCACCTTCAAACGATCACCTTTCAGGTGGCAGGTGGATGATTTATCACTTCGACTCAGTACTCCAAGATGCTTGACCATTTTATCAGTTCGATCTATCATGACAACGATTCTCACGCCCACTCTCATAAAACAACGTTGTTATCACCAACACTATCATGCGCCTTTTCTTTCTACTTGTATGCACATCATCAATCATTCATGGCCTTATTTAGTAAGTCTCAAGAAGGATGTCCTTTATTATGTGATCCCCAAACTGAGGGCACTCATGCATTCATCTATGTAGCTCACTTCATTGCTTTACCACTTGGTGCGCTGTACTCATTGGTGCCTAATGGCATTTGACTGTGTTCCTTGATGGAGCTTTGTGGTAGGTGTATTTTTAGGCAAAAGGCAACATCTCAATCTGATGGGAAACTTGGGACTCCTTTGTAGTTGACATATATACATGCTTGTACATCTCAAGTTGGATGCCAATAGCAAACATTCGACTTCTCGTATGATGGATGGCCTTGGTCAAGCAACTACAGCACATGGTCCAATGGAAGCCGTATTGTTGGAAGCATCGGGGGTAAGTAAAGCTAAAAGTGATGGCTGGTTATAGAGATCTAAACGACGCGTGCATAGAGTGGCAATCGGGAACAGAATGCAGCACATAGCCTCAATGATACCATCAGATTACTTGAATGTGCCACGAATTCCTTGCTCATCGAAATGCATCACTCCAAAGCCGCAAGCTACGACACATACACAAAGCTGAAAGTTTTTACAGTGCAGTGCATTAAGGATCAGCTGGCAATGAACGAAGTGTCCCTGTTGAATCCCAGCAAATGGAAATCTATCGAGAAACGAACATGTCAAGTCCCAAATTCTTGGAGTCAACGTGCACTGTGGACCAAATTGTTTGAACTTGTAGCAACTTTAATGGTAAGTAACCTGTAGGCAGTGCAATGGATACATACTCACTGGTGTATATTGTAGATATCCCTCAACGAAGCCAAGCGCGTACTGGAAAGCTTAAGCATGGAATCGGCAGGATTAGTGGAATTTGAAGGGAAATCGGTCAAGGAGGGCTTTCTATCATAACAAGGGATCTGGCGTTTTGGTTACACAACACGTCCTTGACAGTTTACAGCACAAATTGATGGTGATGATGATTGTCTTTACAAGTACAAATCTTGGTTGTCAATAAAATGTTGTATCGAGTATAAGAACAGTAATCTTGACATCAATCCGATTACATTTGGTGGTATATTTCGTGCTTAAATATGGTCCATCTTCATGTCTAAGCATTTATCCAGCAAGTAGTACTATTGGGAATGCTTAATTCCAGGCTCAACAATCTTCTGCATCACATTACAATCCTTCATCACTATACAGCTATATGCAATCTCAAGGAAAGCACGAGATGTATTACTGTATAGTTGTCAACCAAACACCACATCCTTCCTTCATCTAAGATCAAGGCACCTATTACTCTCTTTATCCTTTGACGTGGCCCTAATTTGACCAATGTATGCATAGACGAACATTACACCCAGGGTCTTTGGACTTTATTCTAGTATATGCGCCCCATCACTTTATCAGCTCATACATCAATTATCAATACATCATCCCCGACAAACAGAGATACATACCCACGCGCACCGTGACATGATGTTGATGCGCATAGCTGAACAGCGAGAGAGCAAGAGACTTCTTGTCAAACATGCTTATAGAGAATTGAGTGGTGAGCAAATGGAAGGAGTGGATGATGGTAACAAGGGGAAAAAGGAACATCAGGTGGATGTCTCATACCCGGGCGGTTTTTTTTATCATTGAGACCTCTTCATCCCCATCAATTGATTATCTTTTATTATGACCCTGCCATCAACTCTATCTTGAATGCTCACTACTTGTAGGCGTTGACGCAATGCAATCATCACAGGAATAAGGAATTGGAATTATTGGATGTATCACGTGCGTTGTCGTCGTTGTCCACCATGTTTGGTACCACATGCTGTCATAGTAACACAGCTCCTCTTTTCCATGCAAATACCTTCTGGCCAACTCGTGTTGCGCTTGACCGAAATTAGAGACGACCCACAAGCGTTTGCCAACAAATCAGTGCGCCTTAAAGGCATGTAAGTGGTATAAGCCGGTGTCCACAGCATCGCCCTAATGGACCTCTTTGCTCTAGTTTAAAAACCTTCGATCCTGGAGCCAACTTTGCAACGATTGAATACGATGACTACCAATTGGAAATCGACACAGCACTGCTTGATCCGTTTTCTTTTCCGATCGGTACCATGATTGAGTTTATTGGAGAGCTGCAAAGTAACGAGGTGAGGCATAATACATGCATCCTTTTGACGTTGCTAGGGTCTGATCCAGGATACTGTATGTAGGCGAAGTTGATTCTACGCCCACGCGTTGCTCGAAGTATGGATACCCTAGATCTAGAATTGTACGAGAAGGCTGCTCAATACAAGCGTAAATACATGGAACAGTTCCAGTAGAATGGATCAAATATGGGATTGATGAGGCAGCCGGTGACGGCATTGGTGATTGGTTGTAACATACGTGCATGAAACGTTATTGCTCATGGATACATGTATTTCATCTACTCCACCCATGCTTGAGACAATGAATACTCGATCAAGAAGGGAAAAAGAAACCATTGTTTGATGAAAATGAAAAAAGGGAGGGGGGATACTATGGATTAAACAAGGTTGGCTGCGCTGGGTTGGGTTGCTATGATTTGCTCAAGACGCTTCACACGGATATAATCAGCGATGGCTCGTAGGATAATGAACCAACCACACACCATCAGCATATAAGCTATGACATCGGATTGCCCATTGTCTGATGAATCCTCTTCCTCGTCATCCTGTAGGACACCATCTGAAAGACTCTTAGATACTCTTGTGATTACTCAAGATTGATCCTTCTTCACTTACTACTCTTCATGAGAAAACCAAATTGGACAAAGGTAGCTCCTAGACCACAGCGGGACCCATTCTATGATACAGCCATTAGTTAGGATTGATATCGAGTACTCCCTTAAATTTCCCTTACTCTAGCAGCATGCGTTGTACTGAATAAATAGGTGAGCATGAATCCTATGAATTGGAAGCTGACAGAGACTGTAATGGATGTGGATGAGTCAAAAGAATCAATACCATGCCTTATTGGGTCCAACTCACTGCAAAGATTCCATCCAAATTGTAGCAGATTGCCAACAGGTAAGCCTTCAATCAAGACAAAGTCATCACCAGAGGGAGCAACGACTGCGGTATGCCAGTAAGGTGGTGTGGTATCAGCTGCTGCTTCTTCATAAACCTTGCATCATCATCATCATTATCAGAGTCACTCGTTCTTTGAGATACATTGGTAACCACACACTTACAGGGGGTGTCTCATTACTGCTGCTACTGCCATCCTTGCTCGTATCGGGTTTTGCAGAGATGTTGTTGAACACGCCGTCGTTTGTGGGTGCAACATGATGATGATGATGATGGTGTTGTTGTGTTTGAGAACTCGTTTCTGGTTGTGGCAATAGTTGTTGTGTTTCGCTGGCATCCAAAGATTCATCAAAGGTAGCCTCCAAGTCGTTACGTTGTTGGTCGTTTACGGATCGTTGGTAGGGTGGTGGAGACGACGATCTCGATGGCGACGGATGCAGAATGGCGGCATCGTCTTCTTGTTGGGGGATTGTTGTTGGAATCTGAAGCATGGTCGTCAATAATAGAGTGAAACGAACAAAGAACAAAGATACAATACCCTTTGGTAACTGCTGTTGTTACTCATGGGCAGATTACCACGGCAATAGAAACCAAAGCAAAGTAATTAAGAGCAGCTGAAATTCAAGACGTGAGCAATGCATCCCACATTTGGTGTTACACCGCCATATCTTACTCCTGACCGCTGCAAACCACACATCAACTTTTTGGCGTGGGACAACTTAAACATATGCATCAGACCCCATTGACATTTCATTTTCCAAGCAGCCATGTATTAAATAATGCAACCCAACCCAATCCCTTCTTGATCATATCTTGTTGTCATATGGTGGTAAAAGTAGTGCACGCACATTGTAAATAAAGGATGCAGGAACAACAAATGATCACGCAGCCCATGATGGTGCAAGGAAGGTACTTTGAGATTGTGTTTTGATCTCGCAGGCAACATAAATAAATTTACATTATATATGCACAATGCCATATGGATCCAGCAGATATAGATGGTGGTGGCGGGGATACCAAAAAACAGTATTATTATAGTAGAGGCGATAAGTAAAAGAACATTCCAAACTTGAACAGGGCGGTGTCAATCCCAAAGATGGGAATACTTACAATCGGTCATCGGATAGAGATACCCGATGTATGTCCATCAAAGTAGTAACAAAGGTAATGCAAGATATGCATCCATGCAGCGGGCATAAATGAGATTGCATTAGGTTGCAACCTACCGATTGTGCACAGATCCGACGTTTCGCGTTGTTCCAACAAGGCCGAATGGGCCCGTGAACCTTTTCTCAATGGATCAGGGTTCTATCACACGTGGTACATGCGTCCAAAAGCTCACTAGTGCTGACTATGAAAAGCCAATAAACACATGGCATTCCCAGGAGGATTTTTTTCCGTGCCACCATGATGATTGATATACTATCATCATCAAATCTTATCGCCATCTGATCTCCCAACAAGTTGGGCACAGGCTACTTTATTATCGTTTATCGACAAAAGAAAAAAGATAACAATGACAGAATTCAATAATGAAGGATCGTCAAATGAGACATCGGCATACCCGCCAATGGTTGAAGACGAGAGCCCGGATCTTGCCGATGGGTTTATATTTAGGTTGCGAACACGCGCAACAAAGAGCAAACAAGACATATATATATTATTGCCTCGGTAGGGTAGTTTTTTCATGTACAACCGAACCAACGATCAGGGATATGCCGCACGAAAACGAAAACTGAGTATGAAACAATCACCCAATACAATAAACCAGGGCATTTAGTGTGTGAGTATGTGAATTGTCTCAAAGGATACATGAAAAATGGCATCATGCTGGAATGGAACAAGTGCGCAATTAAGCGATTTGCACCCAGGCCAAGGTGTTTTTAGGCTGAGAAAGAACAGACAAATGATGTTCTATTTGCTTACATTTGCCTGTCAAATCACAAAATGGGCTCTTGCGGAAAGGGCCTCGACTATAAAGTCCGCTTGCCGGGAAATGCCTTTTTTTGTGCAGAGTACAAAGAGAGGGTTTCTTTCAAGTTTCAGCCTTCTTGTTGTCTCTTCTCTCCCGCCGTCAAGTTTCTTTTTCCCCCTCTTTTTCTCTTTAAGCGAACATTACAGCGTCACTTTATCTCTTGCATCGTCAATGCAACTCGTTCACGGGCCCGAATTCACAATTAACCTTGAGAATGACCATGTCATTCTTCATGGTACTGTCGACGAGTCAGCTGGTGTTATCCTCCGTGGCACAGTGATCCTCAATTGCCATGAGAACACAAAGATCAAATCCATCATCCTCAAATTCCAAGGCAAAACCAAAGTGAATTGGGTTGAAGGTAAATGCAATGAAGGGTGTATGATCATAATGCAATCAACAAGCTAACATCCGACGGCATTGTTATCAAGGGCACGGATCAAGTCAACGGCACTTTAAAGAGGAGCGTACGGTCATTGAGCATTCATGGAACTTTTTGGAACCAAAGCGTAAGACGTATCATTTGGCAGTGGGTCGATACAAGTGGTAAGACTATTGGGAAAACGATCAAACAAGGCAACCGATCACTGATAAGCTCTATATGGGAAATGTTGTTTCATTAGGGATTTCGAGTTACCGCTCCCTGGCGATCTACCCAGCACTGTTCAACATGATCTAGGACAAGTTTACTATCGGTTGAAGGCTGTTGCCGAACGACCTGCTTTCTCAATCAATTATGTGGCCAAACGCAACATTCGAGTATCCCGAGTCATGCTTCCTTCATCGCTCGAATTAAACCAATCGGTGGTGATTTCAAACGAGTGGACAAACAAGCTTGCCTACAACATTAGCGTACCTCGCATGGTGTTTAGCTGTGGCAGCACGATACCCGTCAGCTTTGATTTGATTCCGACTGCTCCCGGTCTTTCCGTTCGTGCCATTTCCTGCACCCTCAAGGAATACATCACCTTGACAAGCCATGAGCATACAAGAAGTGAAGGCCGAGTCATCAAAACAGTGCGTGATGAGCAATTTGCTCCTTCTATGGATCGATGGACAAGGACAGAGGTACTCCAAGTGCCAAATGAGCATCAAGGACGTATTCAATCGGATACTACAAGTGAGCTGATCAAAATCAAGCACAAGCTCAAATTCACTGTTTCACTTATCAACGGCGATGGTCATATTTCAGGTATGCATCCATCATCCTTGCTATCTCATTTTTGTCCTAGTCTGACATGGTTATTTTTTCCCCCGCAATAGAATTACGTGCAGCTGTGCCTATCATCATTGCCGCAGTAGCACCCGATGAAGACGCCAATCAATTACCAGCCTATGAAGACGCGTGGAAAACATTGCCCTATGACACTCGTACCATTGAAGGCATGATTGCTTCTGGAAACTTGCCACAATCTGTAGCCATCGCTATTCCCAATGCAGCTGCCAATCGTATCCAAGAAATTCCTGATAGTGCCAATAATAGTGGGGATGAAGGAGAACAGCAACAACAACAGCAGCAACAACAACAACCATTACCATGGGAAGGATTTGATTTATCACGTGTGCCATCCTACACCACTGCTGTACGATCAGGTCGCTTGTACAGCTTCTCTGGTTCTCTCCCAACCTACGAATCCATTGCCATCCCTGGTACCACCGCATAATTTAATCTGCATGCATTGTCACATTGTCCTCCTTTTCCCCCCCACCCCTCCTCACCTCCCTCCTCTCTCATCATCATCATCTCATTGTTCCTCTTCCTGGCATCATCTCTTTTCTACTATATACGTAAATGTTTCACTTCGTAATTATATATACATAGCATCCTTTTTTGTCATTATTCAACAGTGCATCGAAAAAGAAAAAGAAAAGAAAAAAACTTTTCACCTTCAGAGAAATGTAACTATATGCATTGTTGCACAAGTCCAATTGCTCGAATGTCACATGTGCAAGCAACACCAGTCTGAACGAAGTACAC